ACTTTCAGATTAATAATCAAATGGCACGAATATAAAACTGACAATTTAATACGGTCTTGAGCTTATTTTCTGCTCTCGATCGTACTCCTGTACCTACCATAAGTGCTACATTCATTTACAATTCTCAGTAGTCCATCTATTCTCATCATGATAAGAACCCAAGGTGATGCTTATAAATATTAACTTGCGTTTATGAGTATTTGCTTAGTATAAGGCCGGTATCAACACCCTATAATATTTATGTATTGGGGACTTATATTGGACACGCGATCATAGAGAACAATGCAAGGAGACTCTGCCCATCATAATCGCGACCTAGACTTCTTTCCACTTAATTGTTCCCCACATCGCCACGGCGCGTATATTTCACTGAAACAATAGATCAATCCAGTTGCGGTGCGCCGTAATGACCGCGGCACTCTCGTCCCGCGATATTATTGCTATCGTATCCTTGGCGTGAGCCGATATCTATCATGTGATCTATTGTAGGTACCGTCGACATCGGTCTTAGATTAAAGCGATAATTAATGCTGATTCCATACGACCTAGATTTGGGACCGCTCGATAAAGTTAATTTACAGTTATAGTTGTAAATCTCGTTGCAAAATAAACGGCCGGCGAGCGCTGCCTGAACGTAGACAACACGCGGTGACTCCCACACAGAGCCGACACGTCGGGTCGTCGGCCCGCCGGAAGCGAATGTGTCCCGGCTATAAACACCATAACGCGCCAATATGCGCACCTTACAACCCCCATAACTCTACCGCGTTACGAGCAGCTTATCGCCGACCGTAACTGAACACCGTTCCGCCACTTTCCTCTCGTCGGGTTATACGGATCACGCACGCGGCGAGACACAACAGCACATGTGCGTGATACGCGTGTGAGCGAGAGGGTGCACCAAAACTTTTGTCTGAATGAACGAGGAAACTTCGACAAGTTGTGTACACATGCCCGTGAAAGGGTGAGTTGTGAACAAACTTTCGAGCGCTTTCGATTTCGATGCGTGTTGCATATGGGGCGGACGGCGATCGATCGAAAAAACAACACAGTTTGGTCGGCTTTCTGAAGTTTGTCTACATCAAACTGTTCCAATTAACAGGTGTTTAATTTTAAACGAACAAAGCGCCGTTTACTCAAGCCTTAGAGGTGTTGCGAAAAATGTAGAAGAATTTTGTGAAACTTACGAAAATTCTTGAAAAAAACGACGAATCGAATCAAGTGCGAACGTATTGCGAGCCGGTTAGTGGGTGTATTTCGTAAAGCATTGTTTATGGTCGAGTAGTTCTCTGAAGGGGTCCGATAGTGCAGAATTAGAAAGCGTCAAGCTAGCCGCTGCCGATACAACTAATTGACCGCAAGGTTTACGCTATTCTGCTAGAAAATATGATGTAATAAAATCCATTTCGTCCGATCCCATTATAGGAGCGCAAAATAACTCCATAAATAAGATATCAAATATTATATCGTTCACTGAAATGAAACGTTTAGAAATGTTTCAATCATGATTTGCCTTTAAGGGCTTTACATGTATTTTTTCTTTACAAACCTTTGATGACCATCAAAAATGCAATCTTATAAAATCAATTATTTGTATAATTAAATTTAGTTGTTATGGCATTTTAGGCTTAGAAAAAATAAGAACGCACATCACTATTACCGTCTTCGACGTGTGTGATATGTACAAACTAGTGCGACCAGTCTGTGAATATCGCAGAAGTACATTTTTACTACGATTCCACCGATTATGAATGCAGGCTTATTGATTGTCGGTAATTATGCTAAATAACGAGTATCTGTTGGACCAACGAGTACTTTAATGAGTGACACGAATTAACGGTTCGTTAGGTATTCCTATGGCTGTAATAAAATCTAAGCACAGTTAAAGCTGAGCCCGCATGCGTGTAGTATCCGACATATCGTTAAATATATCGGATTATTGCATGCGTTTTACTGGAGCGAAGTTGTTTTGCTTCTCCGATATCCGCTATTAATTAATTGTAATAGTTTTATACTAATTTAATTGAATGTTATGATTTTATATTATGCAATTAGAATATCCAAGATAAAAGTTGTTTAACAATGATATTTTCTTGGGAAACCTGTTTTAACTTGAAAATAATTGGATCAAACTTCTATTATATGTCGAACGTTAATAGATATAAATGTCATTCGAAAAGGGCAGGATCATGTAAAGTAATTTATGAAATGGTTGAAATAAACGTTCGCCGAAAATCTAAAACATTGCTTTTGTTAATTTACTTTATAGCATTAATACTATATGCGCAAAAGTATTTGACCGTTTATATATATAATATATATAATAATAGTTTTTACGGTTCCGTACCCGAAACTATAATGTATGGACCATAAATCATTTTAATAAGTGATACATACCTACGGCAGAATAACGTATATAAAAATTTAGTTAACGTATTAATAATTTATAACCTTACTGTTATATCTTGAATTCTCTAATATTCTCACTCACATAGAACTCATTTTTGTCATCCCTACTATTGTGTTCTAATGAATTATAATACTTAAATACCAATCAATCGATAAACTTAAAACTATTTCTATGCCCAATAAATAATTTTTCCTTAGTAAAATTTAGGATAAAAAATATAAATACATTCTGAATTTTAACAAACTAAATTATTATATCATCAACCCTTTGCCCACTGACCTTTGAACGCCTGAGTCCCTACTCAGGCGTTCCTCGTGGATGGTTAAGGACGATGGGCCATTAGCCTCCACGCTGGCCCAATGAGGATTGGAGACTATTAACGATTGGACCAACGGCTTTACGTGCCTTCCGAAACACGGAGTAGCTCATGTTAATAATATTTTGATCACCCATCGTGTCCCCTTGAGAAAGTTGCTTAACAAAAACGATCGCGGGCCGCGGCGCTTATCATAATATATATAAATCCCGATCCTGCTATAAAAAGTCCCAATAAAACAAAGCAGGCACCGTATCGATTTGTCGCATTTGGTTCAACGGACTAAGCAAGTCGAGAAAGTGTCTGCATTTACATCTTGGTACAGACGAATACTTACGAGATACCTGACTATACAGCTTAACATGGTTCTTAATCCTTTAGTCGTTTGGGACCATTTTCTCTCGTACCGTAGCATCCGGAGTTTGTGGGGGGCGACTATTACATGAAATGATAATCTTATTATTGATTTTATGTATCTATAAAAAAAGTAGGCATGTAATTATTATATGTAGTAATATTTTTATAAGGCTCCGTGGACCACTTAGCATCCTAAGGGTCAGGGTCTACCAGTGGTCAACGGACTCACGGTTAAGAACCATAGACTTAACAAAACACGACTTCAGACGCCGAACGAAAATTTGAGTGTTGACGATATTATTATTGCCGTGCCTAAATAATTAAAACCTTGGTTAAGAAATCGAGATTGAAAGTTATATGAGTCGAAGTATGAACACCGACATATAAATCAAAATATTACTTGATAAAATAAGAATTGCGAAGACTATAATGCAATGTCACAAAAAATCTGAAACTCGGCAGTGTGCAAACATTGAAAGTTAATAAAAATGTTATCTATATTTTCTGTACCTAAATATATAAAATTTATAACAGCGAAATATATTTCATAACATTTCAACGTTGATTCCAAAAAATAATAAAACGAACCTAGAGAGAAATCTTGTTTAGTTACTAGCCACAAACTAGTAACGCCATCTAGTGACGAGTAGATAAACTATATACATGCCGACCAAGTTCATAATGCAAGCAGTGATGGTCGTCGGATTTGATAATTTTGTTTATTTCTCATTTCAATATACCTAATACTTGCAACTACAATGGATTATTAGTAATTTTCATTTTAATTCTCAAAGATTATCCATAACCATTGAAAAAACATTTAATTCGGTATTTAAAACTCAAACAACCGGAGTTTCATGTTACTTTTCGCGTCTAATTTTTCATTTCTCTCTATCGAGGAGCATTCCTACAAATCAAACTACAAAGGTGTCAATCAACATATCAAAACCGATAACTAATACTTATTGTTTCCAATGTGGCTTTAATTTCACGTTCAGTAGATACGGCAGGTATTTTTATTTATCACTCAGTACCAACGACTTACGCTATATTGTTTAAATAATTATTTTAATTACCGTAATAACAAACTTAAATAATTATTTTTATTGATTTTGAATTAAAATTAGTAAAACCAGTTCCTTACCCGATAGAGACTGCAAAAACATCTAAAATTTTATAAAACCTACTAAAGTAAATATACGCGCTCAAACCAGTTCAAAAAAGTATTTAAGTAAATGAGCAGTTGGCGAGGATATACTATTAGAAACTATAGGGTATATGATTGATGTGTAATATAAACAGGATTTTTTTATAATACGGATAATAACAATACGGATAAATCTAAATTATTTTTAATTCGTCAAATTAATAATTCGATAATTATTGGCTAATAAGCGAATGTAGTGGAGCTGGCTGCACGCGCCTTGCTTACGGATTACTATACTGTGACTTCATAGTGTAGCATATGTGTATGTGTCTAATGAAAGTATTAAACGTATATTATATTAAATTATGGAAACAATGTTTTTGAAAAAAAAAAACTTGACGCTTCAATAAAAGTATATCATCATCATGATATTGGGGCTCAGTTTTTCCCTATGGATGGAATCGAATAGGGAGAATGGGCCATGGCCCACCACGCGGTGCCAGTACGGATAAGTGGGTATTAAGGACCGTAGAGCAGCCAGGGATAACAGCTTATTGTAGGTACCTTCCGCAGCATTTTTGGTCACCCAATTTACGAAAGGCCCTTGCGGAAGTTTCTTAACAACGATATCGCAGACCAAACGCGTTAAAACTGCGCTGTTGAATCTCCTCAATGATAAATATATAGCCTATAATTCAAAATTTTTTTTTCCCGTAGTGTTCGGCATCGACTCTCCTCTCGGGCTCTTCCCACCGGGCATGGAACACAAGATGTACCCAATGATGGACGTGGAACACCGCGCGCCGCCTTTGGACGCCCAACTATTTACCAACGTCAAAAAGAAATGTAAGTAATCACTATTTGGAAAACTTAGATGTAGTAGAAAACTTACAATGGCATGCTTCCATGATTTTATGACAAAATTGCAGCACAGACCTGTTATATTTCAAACTTAGGCTGCTTTTACAATATAATGGTTCACGCTAAAACCTGTTTTTCATAATCTAATTACTTTTCATCAAACAAATAAATAAAATTGGAGTGTCTCATTGTGATATTAAAATTAGCGCTTTTTACTAAATGCAAATTTACATGTATAACCAAATAACATTTTTTTACATTATTTGACTAATCTCTGAAACAGCTGGACCTTATGCTTATGTAATAAGGAGTAACCAGTCGCTGACACGGCTTTAATATAGAGAAACATCCTTTAAGTTATTATTTCAGTTAAATTCGGATTCACGGTTTTTTCGTAATATTACCGGTTGAAAATTAAGATTTGTTCAAAAAAATGAATCGAGTGTCTAATTCGAAAATCTTTTTTACTGAATGCAAGAACTAAAGTACCGATATTGTTTTATCACTCTAAACTATTTTTTCTTTTATTTGGATAGGTTTTAATGTTATACCGTAATCACGCGTAATCAAAAGAATATAATTATGCTCCTATAACACCTTTGCCAGGACTATACAGGACAGGACCTTTGAATCATTTCATTATAATTAATACCGTCATTGGTGGGACTCTGTACAATGTATCAAAAGTTTTAGTTCCGCTTCTGTCCGCTAGTAGCGTTGCACTAACGACTAATCATTTTATTAGGTAACTCGTAAAAAGAGACCCCTATGAAAAAAAAAATCCTGTTGGAAAATGATTAACGTCCCCATATTTTTTTTAATTTAATTAATGTACAATTATGTCCATTTACATTAACTAACTTAAAGTAATATAAAATTCATTCTAAACAATGTAGAAATTCTTTAGCAATACAAAAATAAATACATAGTTATATTAAACTAGTCATTATAAGCACTCCGGACTTCCGAAGGTAATTTGATAACGCGTGCATTTCAATAAAACAATACCTACAGTTGCGAGCTTTTGTCAAGATATTCTTCAGAGCAGCTATACTCGATCTTAACATAAGTTTCAGTCAATCTTTTGTATGAATATTTACAAGGTGTTACTGAATTCATTTTATAAGGCGTATTTCCAAAATTTTCTTTTTCAAATGAGAATTATTTTTTTACAAAACTATTAAACTAAACGAACAAAATAGATAATAAATTGCCGTTCTAGTATAACTACAATTCATTGTAATGTTATAAATAACCTTTATATTTTTATTACAATGAGGTATTATTCATTTTCAATGCAACTATTATAATAGGTTAGAGATCGGCAGTTACGCAGTTAGGCGACCCTCACTACGCGATTAAGTACTCAAGAGATTTATTGAAACAAATAATATAATATTCCGCAACGAGTAAGTTTCACAACAATGGTCTCGGCCGATAATACTGCACCGTGCAGTTGCACCACATCCATACATCTGATCAAGAGGCATCGCTATCATTTTAAACAAGTATTGTTTCCCAGCAAATGTTTATTAAGACGATCAGATATCGTATCGTATAGGGGAACGGCATCGAGTCTAACGTATGCTATCAATGGGCGCGCTCCGCTCGTCGCTGCCGTGCTGACGTCCGCACAATAGTCACCGATCGATTACCGCCGAGACAGCGCGCACACGACGCACGCTCCCTCATAAAATGCTAACGAGCTACAAATGGAAAACATCCTTTTTAATTCACCTTTCACATCCTCGCGTGACCCGCGAAATGCTATTAAAAGAAAAACTAATTTCCATAATAAAATTATCATTCCATACCCATAATCCGAAACGTTCTACGAATTATCCGATCGGAATCGAGTTAACGTGCACCGCGGAAATTATAAAACTATAAAGTTATACGCGGGGCGACGACGACGTCGCGGCATATGCATGTCCGCGTTTCTTTTTGACAAAAGTCGCCGTAATAGTCGCGTGTTCGCATCGAATTAATGACAAATCGCCGCCAACGAAATGTCGCCGCAACCCGCTCATTTTGATCGTAAGCCGGTACAGAGTTATTGTTCCACCGAAACACGGTTATTAGATAGTGGTGCATTCGCTTAATGCCGGCGACGGCGGCACACGGCACATGTCGTGCGCCGACTCTGCATTCGCTACTCGTAAATCACAAACTCCACATTATCGTTCATAACATACCTAATTAGTTAACTAAACATTTTGGTGGACATGCAATTGTACGATATCTCTTTTGTTGACAGGGAGGCCGAAAGGCCAACACAGCGCGCCGCGCGGTGGGCCACCTCGATCTTGGACGAACGCTGAGCTTACAGAAGCCCTACAACATGTATGGAACAAGAAAATGACTACGAGTCAGGCATCAAGGATTTTCGGTATCCCGTACAACTCACTGCTTATGTACGTACGGGGCAAGTACGGCAAGAGCCTCAAACTAGAGCAGCTGAGGAAAGACTGCATCGGCGGGCCCCTCGACGTACTCAACATGAATTCCGGGAACAACAACAACAATCATCCGCCCAGCAAACACCAGCATGATAAAGAAGACCACCAAAACGCCAGCCAAAGACCAGCCAGCTCGGAGCCAGACATTGCCTCAAACCCAATGTTTAATCCGTTCTCACAAGGCTTCTATCCAGAGTTCCCGCCAGGGTTCCCGATGCCGCTAAATATGCTGCATCTCCTGCCGCCAAATGAGAAAGCAAGAGAGCTGTATCAGTCAATGCCGATGGCTTTAGATACCCTCTCCGGAGTAGTAACAAAAGAAGAAGATTGTAAAAGTGATAGGTCTAAAGAGAACTCTGCAGATGAGGAGGGCGACGCGTACCGCGCGCCCTCTCACCCGCCGCACCCTCCCGACAATCGTACGCTACTCCATCACAATGGTCAGGACTAAAGTCCACTCCTCTTCCGTCATTAGTTCAAACGTCTTCGAATCTTTGCCGTACCTAATACTAGGTTGAAGTCGATAGAACACATTCAGTGCTCTCGGTCTTATCGGCTAAGTATCGAATGAGGACATTAAACTAAATTCTTTCTTAGTATAACACTCTTACTGCATAGGGTGGAAGGTCATCTGACAAGTGTCCCTTTTTCGGCATACCCAGGATACAATTTCTTTATATTCACTTGAACTTCTACGAATCTTTAATTATGAAATGAAAGTGCAGGTCATACTCAATTTTCCTATTTCGATGTGCAATAGCTAACCGAAAAGGGGACACATTAATTGATCTCTGCTATGCACCAGTCAGATTGACGCAGTGTATTCCCAAGAATCGTGTAATAATATTTTTAGAAAGTATTTGTGAAACACTTCCGTAGCTCTGGAGAGCGACGTCCACATTCAAATTAGTTAAATTTATATTTAAAGATGTGTTAATATTGTAAATGTATATTAAATCGCTCTTAAGTGATAGGCGATAATTTATTCCGAAGGAGTGCAATAAGTATGAAAGGTGTTGTGATTGTTATCGTTAAGATTTTCCGAGTACTTATTTTGATCGTTATCATTCCGACGAACATTCCTTTTAGTGTTACTTATCATTTACAGTTTAATTAATAGTATTAACTAATTTTATTAAAGACTTTGCTTTTAGATGCGTCCTATTCTGTGTTATACGGTCCCAATGTAGATATGTGTTATATGTGCGATTAGGTACACTACTGCATTTCACCAAAGTTTGTAAAATATTTCGTAATAATAATAATAGTTATATTCGATGATAAATAAACAATTTTTAAATGTAAATAGTTATTGATATGATAAATTAAATGGGAATTTGAATTAACCATTTATTATGGAGACATTTATGTGTCTAAAATGGTAAATCGTAGTGTATTTGTAATTGTTGTAGTATTAGTGAACTGGTAAACGAAACAGTGAAAATGTTCTGTAGAGAACGCAGACAGAGACGGTACGCACGCACTAGTCACAAGTCACAATACCCATTGAATAAGAACATAATCCCATAACAGCACTCCTATAAACATTTATAAATTATTGGATCCATATCTTCGTAGTTCATTAACTTCAAAGGAGTAACTCCAAAACGCTGCAAACCTAATGTGGAATAAAATACCAATGGAACAGAAAACATCTTATTTGCTAATCGCTCGATTTTCATTCGTGTCCTACCTGACGTGTACAAAAAATATTATCTCTCTCCATAGAAAAACCCGAGTGAAAATCTAGTGGCTATCAAATGAGCGATCTCAAAAAATAAAAACACAAAACAAGCAGTCGACGTCAGATGTTCTTTTGTCACGTCGAAAAACTTTAACAAACGACGGTGCGCGCCAGGTTAGACAAATAAAAGTTTCTGCACTCAATGTTCAAATAAAAAGGAGCTTTCAAATTTTTAGTGAATAATAATGAAAGTTAGAATAAACCAAGGTTCAATCCTAACTGGCTTTAGATAATTGTATACAATGATTTCATAATTAGAGATACCATGTGAACTAGAAAAGTATCTGTCACCTGTTGTATATACCATTTATTTGTATAATAATGATTTTAAACTATGTTGAAAGTGTTTGATGTTTCCTTTATAATGTACTATTAAAGCCGAAAATCACTAACACATATTTTCGATAGTTATCCCGAGTTACGCATACGTGTTCCACTCCGCAGTTTCGCAAATGAATCATCAAGGTTATGATATATTGAATCACATTTACTATACCGTTGGTACATTTAACTGCAAAACTCTAACAGAAGACTGAACACTATTTACGACTATTTTATATAATTATTGTACATTACACATTTATCGCAGTAACTCTGGCAGTGATTCTCATACAAACAGTAGTACACTTAGTGTCACGTCATATAACAATATTATCATTACAGGGATTTTATATATAAACGAATTACATTATATAACTGAATAATTAACTATAGTTTTTATCACATACCTATTGCTTTTTTCTCGTTTCAGTATCAACATGTTACAGAATTTAAAGTTATTGCAGGTTTAAAGCACTTTTGTATGTGGCGTTACACAAGGAATGTAAATGAAAGGTAAAGAAAATAAAAACGATGTCTGTGTAAAAAAAAATGTATGTGCCAAAACTGTATCGCATCAAGAGTTCATACAAAAAATATATGGCAGAGATGACAAAAAAAAACTGTCGTTTTACCAAATCGAAATAGATGTATATTCCATTAATTTTAATTCGATGACACAGAATGAATCATTTTACGGTTTCATTAGTTAATTGTTTACTTGTGTTTAGGGTATGTGTTATCGGACATTTTACCTAATTCGTACAAATTCAAGCAGTATTAGAGTGATTTTGTTAAAGTTTTAATTGAGAAGTTTTTTAATTAAGTTGTTATTTGTTAATAGGATCGATGAAGTGATTATAATAAGTAGGTTTGTCCATATACGGACTCGCCGTTTATGCATAATAATTTGATTTTGACTCGCATCAACCGCCTTATTTATCAGAAGCAATCTGAGAGTTCCTGTTGACTTTCTTTCTACGATTTTTATTTTCCTCTATATGTTGTATCGATCTATACCGTTTTGCTCCTCCTAAGCTGCTTTTCAGCACTATTTAATTAAGCATAAATTAACAGTTATGTTCATATGAATTTCACCAGGAGCCAAATGTAAGGACGTAAAGAATAGATAATATATTTAAGACACATTGAGTATGTACTTATTTTTTTTAGTTGATAGTAGATTCAAATATTTAGTTCCTTCATTTTTGTTACGAGTATTTATATATTGTAATTGCAATGATTTTAGCTTTTAGAAAATTGTTCTCTCCGATGAAAGAGTATAATTAATTATAAGTTGTGTAATTTAATTTGTTGTATTTTGCTTAATATAATGACAAATTAAATGATATCGTTACATTAGGATGTAAAAAAGATTATCTATTTGATCTTAAATAATACGAAAAAATATTTATGTTCTAGTATCATTCTATCGTGTAATTGAAATTGAAATGATGGAGCGATGTAGTTAAATTCGTTTACGGTCACCAACGTAAAGTGTAAAAAATAAAAATATGAAATACCATTACATTGTTTTATTTAGTTTACTGCTCACAGATCACTTATACGCATTAGTTTTCCACCGAAGCTTCTTGACTATTTCTACAATATATCGAGATACAACGTTTCCCAAACATATTCTTCAGATATTCCGTCCTTCATTTATTTGTGGTACCAAACCTACTTCTTTCTAATTTATAGTACAGATGGATAATATATCAAAGTGTGTATATATATGCATTAATGTGCACTCAAGAGCACGTCAAACTATAAAAAACTCAAATTGCCCTACTGGATGTTCAACTTTAATACATTTGAGGGTAGAGGTCAAAATTCATTGCAGAAATTCAACATATTATTGTAATCTGAATGCAGCCGTGTGTACATCCAGAAACACATCAAATCACCAAAAAATATCAATTTTCAAACTTAGCTTTCAGCTTATTTACGAACACATTCATTTACTTAAAGAAATTTGTGATTTCTGTGTAACCTGCAGAGCGATCGCGTAAGTCCTCTAGCTATAACTCTAGCAATATGATACGATATTATGGCGCTATATCGTTTTATATTATCACTTTGACGTGTACGTGTAATTATTTATTCACCAGAAGACCTGTTAAAGTAGTAAAATGAAACGAATGTTATGTTAAAGTAGTAAAATGAACATTGTACAATAATTACATTAACGAAAGCGGATAATGAAACAACAAATCTGATATCACATGTAATCGTACCCTTTTATTTTCTGTTCCATTTAAATACAACTTTATAAATACAAAATTACACACTAGACGGTGGATAGGTATATAGTGCATTATAAGTTTCATTTTAATACTCCAATTGAGCAAATGCAAGCAGATTAGTTCAGTTTCAATATAACAAATGTGATGCGATTTGTCGAAACAATATGTATATCATATAAATTATATATGGCATAGAATTTCTTATTGGTACGAGGTAACTATTTTATATACTTTGTAAATGTTGCTTTATTCATTCAATATCACACTGCTTTGTATTTGTTACTTTATCATTAATATAAATGATTACAACTTTTATACTAACCGGGAATATAGTCATAGTAACTAAAAGCTGTATTATATGTAATTTTATTTTAAACTGTTATTTTGAAAAAAATTGCACGCGGCATTAAGTACATACGTATGTATAATAGTGTCGGGTATCAGAAATTAAAACTTTTAATAAGTAATATCTTTGCTATTCTGTAAAAATACAACTTCAAACACAGGACTGTCACAGCATTATAAGTTAAATTAAATATAAGCTTTATTACCTTATGAATTAAGATTTATTTATTGAAATGTTAATGTTGCGACAGCGCTGTCTTTGCTGCTTCGTTCAACGATGATTTTAACAGAATATCCCTGTTGATGTAAAACAACCACTTTCGACAATTCTCCATCCTAATTATACAGATGTTATAGTTCATAACAGCTACCGCTAGAGGCGCTGCTGCTGTGATGTAAGGAAAAACAAAAGGAGCAGAAGTATTTAAATATTATTCAAACTTAAATCTTACATAATATTAATTAAAATACAAAAAATAAAAAATTTCTGATACCTAACTTTGTGGGTACTTGACAATGTAGTAACATTTTAATAAAGAAAAATCTATCTAACAAAATCATTCAATTTGATCAAATTATTAAATTAACGTAATTTTAGAAATCGTTTTCATAAAGTGTTCTCATACTGTAATTACATATAATGACTTGAATTTATCTCAAAGTTTGGTCCAAAATCGACATTTGTTATAGAGGAACAGATACTCGAACGAACAGACGCCAACTTCAAATCTCATCACTCGCTGACTCGAATCTTGCTAATGAGGCTTGTCAATGCTTAGTTTGACACCAAACGACCATAGTTTTACTTCAATACGACTAATTCATTTATTTACTCCCTTCGGGCTAAACGGGTAATATTATTTGAGCGACGAAACTTTTTTTTTTTAGCTATAAAAGACCATTGTTAACCTAAAAACAGAGGCAAAAATTGCTAATAACTCCTATTTCAATAACACGTTAATAATATTGGATGAAAAATGATTATTCACAATTTTCCGTGAAAGAATATTGCATGAAATTTCTTTTTCGTTAAATATTTAAATTGTATTATGACAAAAGTTAAGTCTGATTGTGATTATAGGCAACGCGTCGCTCAAAATAATAAATATAAAATATATATATTAAAAGTATCAAAGTAAACTTGTATGCCGATATTTCTGTCCTTTTCTATTTATTTTTGACTATTGTATTAGGAAAGTATGCAATATAAAATGAACTGCCATCGAAGAGTGCTCGTGATAAGTGTTTAGATAACGATTCTCATAAACCCTGTAGTTATATATACGTCAACCGAGCTCGTCTTCGACCGCGACATCTTGATTTAGGACACCTGTGCGTTTTCCATCCCTTATTGTGATTTTACTTTTAAAGGTAATATTAATAATATTCTAGCGAAATTACTGTGCGAGAACACCTTATAGCAAATTCACCAGCTTATGAATGCAAAGCCCTTATTATCGTACAAGGACAAATAATTAGTCATAATAAAAAAAAACTTTTACACATTCTTTTCCCTTTAATCTTATAACAGACTAAATTATCAATAATCATAAATAAATTTCATTCAACAGCAATTTGCACAGTTCGTTTGAACATACAACACACAAATCCTTGAAACACCAATAAATAATAGATTAAATAATCAATTTTCATCAACTTATTGTTGAGTTACACATTTCGCAAATACAGATTTGTGGTCTCTTCTAAAAATATTATTTTTAAAACAAATAAATTAGTAACTTTAGTTGATGTGATGCAAATTGATGTTGTAACCACGGACAGAGAATTTAGGCGGTCTAATAAAAATATATCAAATTTTGTTACTGAAATGGCTAAAGTAAATTATGTTCTCGATATTGCCATTCGTTTTATTGAATGGTAATACTTAGATGTCGCGATAATTAAGTCAACAATATTCCATTAAGTAATAATCAATAACACATGGGCGTCGCTAAGTTCCAAGCGAATTGTGCGGTGGGTGACGAAATTTATTTTTATTCCATGCTTATAATTTATCATTACACATGTGGGGTAACCGAGTGCGGTAATGTCAATTATCTAGATTAGAATTTGATACACAACGTGAAATAACATACATCCTTACACACCCCAATTAACAAAACCATATATAATAGAAAAAAAAAAAAACAAATAATAGATTTTTACTTTTATATACTAAAATATTGTTTATATTTATGTTTATAACAAACAGACAATGCATTTGAAAATGATTTTTTTTTTTAGCAAAGTATATAATGCATTTTAAAAAGCCTTATTACATTAAGTTTATTTTTCATTTGTTATGTTATGGGTACAGATGACCATCAGTAACTTGATTCTAATTTGTAAAAATATACTTGTATTATTTATTTCAGAAATTGAATCAGTATCTGTTTTTAAACAAATTATACACATCGTATATTCCTAGACATTAGATATTAAAACAAGATATACACCAAAGTACGTGTTTTAAAACAACACATATGGAAGATTTAGACAACAAAATTAACGCCCAGGACAATATCCCCCAGAGACCCCCCTTTTGTCCACCCACCGCATTACGTCCATGATTATCATATTTCTTTTTAATAATAATACTGAGTACGTGTTAGATCAAAATGATTTTGTTATTGACCGATGGACCACTTCACGACTGTTTCAGAAAATTTTATCATCTGTTTCGGGTTTATTAGATAACTTTTTTTTGTTGACATCAATAAACAAATACGTTGCCTTGATCAAACACGCGTCACTGTTTAAAAAGCACAAAGTATAAAATTATAAGCAATTACGTCATCAATAAAAGTTTTACAGTACTCAGTTATAAGATAGACATCGTAAAGCTTATTTAAATTATTCATACCAATATAGATTGTCACATAGTTACACAAAGGTGTAAGCAAACTGGCCCGTATGTTGTCAACAGAAGGTTGATATTTGTTTATCAATGTTGTGATAACAATCTGAAATTTATGCAGTCATAATATGGATTCTTTTTACAATAATTAAATACTCCTTATACAACCTATATTTGAATATTTCTACACAAACAACCCTAGATTAATGCTTATTTTAATATTTTATAAATATAAAGCATTTATAGTAAATCTATTGTGTTAATTTAACGACGTTTGGGTAATCGTGCGATTTATAAAAAAATATATATGTACGTGATAGACGTAGCCTAGCTAAATTGGACCTTAGAACTTAATCTTATAGTATAGCACTGTCGCCCAACAAAGGGAATTTCGTACAATGACCCGGCACTACACGACTCTTTCACTCATGCGCAAACATATTGCTATTGCGCTCACACATATACAAATAATCAACTTTGTCATACTAAACTGAACCTAAAATCTTAATAATATCTATCAGTAGACACAAAGGTCAACGAATAAAATTCTCTCTGTTCGGCGACCGTACTATATTAAAATTTTATTGACATTCATATTTATTTTGTATTACATCCGAAAAATTAACAAATGCTAAATTGCAAACAAACCCCCTCTTTTCAAATGTAACCAAAAACTATTAAATGTACAATCGAATATAGACTTTACGATATCTATCGAATAAAAAATCAATCAATCTGAATAGGGCAGTGAAATTTCAATGTCCACGTTAAGAACACACAACAATTCATTTACCTAACTATTAATATTAGCTTGACGAAAAATTACAATTAGTACAACCTTAAACCTATAATAAACACGACGGTTAATTCAGCTTATTTGGTAATTAAATTCTTTTAAACATAATCAGTGCGTCAATTTTCCATACCACACCTAAAAAGCCAAACTGTCAGCCAGTACATTAAAAAAAAATTGAATATACTAATTACACGACGCAAATGAATATAATTATCTTGTGAACAACATATACCTGTCTAGCGAAGGTCTTATAATACATCTTGAAGCTATCAGACACACCTACATTATCACAGACCAGAACCAACAACGGGTTATAAAACGGACGACCTTGTTACGTTAGTAATAGAAGCTAAAATTCGATAGAATCAACTTTTTGTTTTTTTTTTTGCAAACAATAATAGTAGAGAAACTAAATATTTTTGTGAAATTGAGTACGATACAACTAGAATTATTCACCTATGTACGTCCACAGAAATCTAAAATTCGCAAAACGTAGCAAATCCTGGACAATCAGAACGATCTAAATAAAGTCCAATCGGGCGATACACACGCTTGACCCCCGCCGAGTGAGACGTCATTATTTAATAAAGTAACCGCATTATTTAATATCTATTAAAATCATAAAAATAATTTGCATTGGATCTCTTTCATAACACTATATTGTAAAGTAATAAAGTACTTCTGTTATAATTTGGCTTTCTAGCTATGGTCACAATCAACATTTAAAGTACGCGAATTATAATTTACAAATAATTTATAGCCGTGAAGGCAGTGATTTGATTACAACTTCGTAGATATGGAATGCTCCAACGCCACAATCCTTAAAATCGAACAACAACGACACAAACGATAACCTCGAAATCCTACCTAATAATATTCATCGAACATTCCTAGTTCACTATCTATAAACTCTTTCGTTTGCTACCTACCAAAAATATATGTAGCCCTCATCTAGTTGCAAATCGACTTTAATCGCCTAATTTATAATAATAAATCGTTTTCAACTGACTGACTCATTCAAAAGCGTGTTAAATCACGTCTTCATCCTCAATATCTAATAATGAAATAGCCAATCTCGTTCCCTGAAGATCCCTAAATTAGCTTTCGATGTTATGCCTAAATTTCATTTAACTCAACAAATCATTCGCGCATCCACAACTTTTGTATACACTCATATAACAATGCATTAGTCCTTACCGAACGCACCACAGGATGCGAAAAAAACTAATTTTAAAACAAAATTTTTATCACCTGTCATTCACATACAAGGAGTAAAGAAAATTCGTTTCGTTTTCCTCCTTCGGCTCCAATTGATTTACTAGCAAAATTTAGCTATTTGTCGTTCTAAATCCAAACCACTTTTTATACATTTCCCCAAATAACACCTCATAAATTATATGACGTTCCAAAACAAAAGACTCTTTTAGATTAACCATTATATGTAGATTGAATCATATTCATTGCATTTCAAATTCAAACCCTTTTAAATTTCTAGTTCCAAATACAAATAGCTGCCGCTAATTGGTAATTCAACCTCTTACCAATGAAATAAGTATGTATTTTTATCTCACTTTGCCATTTGTAGATACCTTGTAACTATGGATTGGAGCTCTTGTGGTAATTTGGTGCGATCGTGTTTTGTGGAATATGTTCGGATGTGTTCACTCGCCTGCGTATGGAGGTCCAATAAAGCATTAAGCCCTATAGAGCGGAGGGCTTTCGCATTCTTATATACAACGTTATCTAACTCAGTCTTGTTTATCAGTACTCTCTCTGTATCTGTAACAAACATGACAATAATGTCAATAAGAGCATAATTTGATGAGATTTAAAAGGTGAATTGCTAATAGTTGAACTTTTAATTTCACTTGATCTTAAACCTTAACACGTCAAAAAACTTAGAAGTTATGATAACATACAAAACAAAGATAAGTGAGTATTCTCACCTGTATTTATGTCATGCCCTGAATTCCTTTTCTTTGGTGAAGTTTTCGGTGTCGACTTATCTGTCGATTTTGTTGGACTGTAAAAGAGCAATATATAGAAATTAAGATTTGCCGAAAAACGATTCATCGATCTATTATAATTTCCGTTGTGGGGCACAGACTTTCACTGTGGTCGATTATAGAGAGATCACTGGTTTATGAGTTTAGTCTGTGATGCGAAGGTTGAGCAACTTTAGCAAAGACCGGACATACGATGCGTGACCAAAAATTCATTATCTCGAGCTCCTCCGCTTTTCGAAAGACACTTTACACCGTTAGTCTTGGCTGCAGCAGAACTTAACCGGCGTGGGGGGCTACAAGATTTTTGATAGTACTTTATATGGTAGTGGATTTATTAATGGCTTTAAAACAATTTTGTTTTAATTAAAGAAGAGCATAATGAGTACTATTTTCAAACTCTTTTAAACATACATTCTTTATCCAGTAGCTATGCCATGTGACTATACAGAGTTATTTGTAAAACATCAATGACAACAACGACAGGTCAAGAGAGCAAAAGCATAATACTGACAATGCTTATTTTAAAACTTTTGATAATCCGTTACATTTTGCTTTCATACAAAAATATAATAATTTAATTTACAGCTCCAATGTTAATAATAGTTCACAAAATGTGCCTTTATAAACAAAACATAGACCTATAAACGTAATAACAGACCAAAAAAAAAAGTAATTTTTCTTAAATTACATTAAACGATTGTCATGGAATCTATATATAGTACTGCGTGGTTGCTAATCTTTTAATAACCCTGTATATAACGCCTTTACCATAATGCAATGCAAAAGAGGCACCCATCGGTCCCTGGGCTCAGTGCGTGCATTATTATCGCATTGTTTTAACCGTACATCTTATGTGAAGTTCAATATCAGTCATGATGTCACTAAATACTAATAGCTCGATAAATAAAATCATTAAATCATCATCATCATCAGCTCTTTTACGGAGGATGGACCATGGCCCTCCACGCTGGCCCAATGCGGATTGGAGGATATAAACAACTGCAAATGCAGCCGCGACCACCGGCTTAGCGTGCCTTCCGAAGCACGGAGTGGCTCGAGATAATCATTTTTTGGTCACCCATCCCGTGACCGACCCTTGCGAAAGTTGCTTAACGACAGCGATCGCGGGCCGCGACGCTTATCCACTACGCCACCGAGCTACTCCTATAAAAAAACACATTAAATAATCCTACTTAAATGTTCAGCTCACCTGTCTAATACATGGTTGTTGCTTGTAGTGTAAGCGCTAACATTGAACAGTGTTTCGTCTTGTGGCCTCCTCAGAGGTGCATTATCGTCAGACTCGGACGATGACGTCACTTCGCCGTTCGGCAACGGAGTCGACGTTATTGGTTTATTCTCTTTGGACTCTTCGTCCGTTATCGGCATGCCCGAATCTTTGAAAGTCTGAAATGCAAACTTTATATGTTTTTTTTTTTATAAATAAAACTCGTTTTATTTTAAATATCTTCAAATTTCAGCTGGTGCAAATGTATAAATTTTCTACTGACGTTTCTCATATTGTTATTTTTTTTATTAATATTAAGCAACATAACATAGATACATTGCTCAGATTCTTAGCTAAGTAACTAAAGCCCCCGTATTACGAAGTACTTGAAACAACGAATGTACAATCAACAGGACATCAAGTTATACAAATCTGTCAAATTTCTCCACTTGGTCAAGTTTAAAATCAATTGACATATTCTATAGTCTATATTTCAAGTAGCGAGTCATCAGCCGCCTAACGAACACCGAATTTATTATATGATGTAAACAAGACAGTTATTAATTTTAATCCTACATTCGGCCATCGTCGCCGTATTACTTGATGTTACTATAACAATTAAAAGCAAAAGAAAAGTAGTAATTATAATTACCTTCTGTGATGTTTTTTGCCTCTTTACAACTAAACCCTTGGACCAAGCGTTCATGCGCCTGCGCTTGCGCCTCGCCGAATGAGATTCACTTTTATCACCATTTTGTGGAGTGCGTATTTTACTATCGTTTGCAATTGAATCGGCTAAATCATGAGCTACAAATAGAATTTTTTATAAATGAAAATGCTGAACCATTTTCTTCAAAGACAACAGTGATAATCATATAAATTTATATCATATTATACCATAGTGTGAAATATGATATTTAAAATAAAAAATAATAAGGAATCGAAAAGGGTGTTATTCTCACAAAAAAAGAAAAATTCTTGTGTACCCTAAATTATGTTTAAATTCAGTAAATCAGTAAATTCTTTCCAAGATAGTTTTATTATAAATAACGTTACGTGCTCTGATTGGTGCTTCATTTGACTTTATACACAGACTACAAATATGAAGGTATAATGTTATCTCTTGATTTAAAAAAAAGAAATCATTATCTGTTTACTGTCCAATCCCCTATGCTACAAGGATAACTAAAAAAATATCAAAATGTACTCGAAATTAAAGTAATGAATCCATAAGATATGCCACAACCGAATTTTCTGCCGTAATAACACTTACGCAAATTAGAAGCTGTGTAGATAAAATCTGGCAAGTCGTTGTCGGCAATATCGCCTTCCTCCCGACGTTTCTTGGCGATCTCTTGACATTCCACTTCGAAGTCGCTGTCCATTTCAACGTCTATAAGCGCGTGAGCATGATCTCTGAGCGAGCACGCCTCGTGACGTATTTGTTTATCAGACGATGTCCTATAGAAACGTTTTAATTATATAATTAGATAACCCATTTGGAAATGTTGTTAATTTTTGTCTCCTATTCATTATTATAAATAATATACTTCTACCCTTTGCTTGTTCCAAAAATATTAGATATTTTGATCATGCAAATATGACTAACGATATAAACATTTTATCTAAAATAATGTTGTCTACTAAAAATAGTGAGAAAATGAACTAATTTAACAAAACAATAGTCTACTTAATAATGAATCGCAAATAAAATCAATCACAATAACCTTCATAATCATGCATATTGTCCAAAATTATGAGTGGACAAAAGGTTAGAGGATGTAATGCAATTAATTACATAAGATGGGTCCTATGTTTAAGGGCCTAAGTAGCATTCTGGCCGTGTTATCTTTCTTGGTAGTAAATGCTCTTTTTAGTATAATAAATGATGTTTATCGATTACAAACCTGTTTTCATCAGTAGAAGGGCTTATGTAGCCAATTTTAAAGGCCTAACGGATACAGGTCTATGCCTTAAATATTTTTCGAAAGTGGATTGAAACATTAATGAAGAAAATAACGTCTTAAGCCTCTCCCGAAAATTTTGCACTTCAGCCCTTATACATAGGAACCATCCAAATATTAATTTTTAATCAAAACAATATAACCTAATAAAGCAATTCTGTCATACCTATACATCCCTCTAGCCCTTTGAATGGCCGAGCAATGCGAAAACAAATGGAACGATTAAAACAAAATGTTAAAACAATGTTAAAATTAAAATGAAAATTATGTTCAAGATTTGAAGAAACATTTAGATAAACCATTCATTACTTTATAGCAGACGCTTTTAATCCATTAAAATTATGTAATATAATTGGCTTTCATCATTATGAGTATTTTAACGTCCCTACTGCTGGGGCACCGGCCTTACCTATGGAGTGAAATCTAATTGATTTATTTATTTCAAACAAAAGCCCTTTTTTATTTTTAACCTCAACCAAATCATTTATTTATGTGAACTCTGTAATACCAAATAAATTAAGTTTGAATCTTCGTGGTTCAATTAAACAAATAAAAATTAAACATCAGCTAAATATACTGATAATAAAAAGAAGAGACCCAACAATAAACACTTAGAAAGAGTTTATCTACACTCAAATCGAAAAATTCGAATTACGAATTCAAAGACGATTCTATACATACGCACTTTATAAACGCTAATACATAAAATTAAAAATAAAACTCATTATAGTACCGCTAACTGTATCATAATAGTTTTTTAAGATACGAGTGCGGAAAGTAAGGTTTTACGAATAAGGGCTAACACGAGCGTAGCGAGGGTTTTCATTGGCACGAATTCGAAAAACCTTTGACGCTCAAGTTTCTTACAACATTTTTCAATGCTTTTTGCGAGGAAATAAAACAAATATATAGGTTAATAAAACTAAGTATGTATTAAAGGTAAAAATTATTAGTTAAAATTAAACGTGATATTTGAACATGTTTTCGTGTCATACATTTTTATTTCAAAACATTCGTTCTAGGCTCCTTGAAATACTTTTGCCTTTAAAGTTTGACATATTTTCATCAATTTTTTTTTTTTAATTTCTTTGGTGCTCGGCCAAAATAATTAAAAAGCACGTGTGCAGTAAAGAATTTCAGTATATTTTTATTTAACACGTGTTTAAAAACTCACTTTCGGTGTTTACAATGGATTAAAAAAATAGCGCTTTATGAGCAACTGCATTGAAAAACTCATAGTACCGCCAACTGTATCATAAAACTCATTATAGTAGCGCTATCTTTTTATATTCATTGGTTTTAGGCTGAATATGAAAAATGGGCGCACGCATGCGCAGTTCGAACTGTGAAAAAAATGGCGCACGCATATATTACTTCCTTGTAACCTACCTAATTTATTTAATTTTAATTTTTCCTATGAGTGAAGATAAAGTAGTGTATGAAACTGCACATCACTACGGTATTAAAACACTCGAGTCAACCTATTATCGATAAACAGATTCCCGTGTTTTAATACCCCTTCTTATATGACAGTTGCATAACTACTATTTTTCAATCAGAATAATATTAGTTGTTACTTTAAAAAATACCATATGCACCACCTGCATAATTCTCTTTATATGTTACACGATAGAAAATTTCTGTTTTGAATACCTGTCGGGATTGTATTCCAGTGCGTTCGCACAAATGAGGTCTATATCATCCAGAAACTCTTTTGCGCAGTTGTACTTGTGCATGTCGACTTTAGTCATCATCGTCTCTAAGTCCATCGGCTGCTTTACAATGTCGAGGTAGTCCGTTACCTACAGCAGGTTTAAAAATATTTTTGATTGGCAAATTGCTAGACTTGATGGATGTTATATGGAATTACTAAGTACTTATATTAATCTTTTAATACCATCATTAGCATACTTACACGCAGACGTGCATGCACTTAATAATTTTAAACCCTAAATTGTAACATGTAAGTTCATAGTCTATTGAAAAAATAACCTAATTGTTTACCCAAACTTGATATTACTGTTACTTAGAAAAAAAAATATAATAAGATATTATTATATGAAAATCAGAAACGATAAAGGCGAAACATTTTTAATAGCTCTAGCGGAAATCTAACCCATAAATCCCATTGAAAGATGGGAAATTTGTGGGTTAACAATTAAGAATCATATTATTTTGATGCCCGAAACATCGTCATTTTGATATTAATTTAACTGTAGTCTTATTTCTTAAGTCTTTCTTATGTCGTAAGTGTTACACCAATTTCCTAATTCAATTTTGACGAATATTTTCTATAGCTTGGAATTTACTATCCCATTACAAAATTACAAAAAACAACCCTAACCTAGAGGCAACTAGAGATAGTTAAATAAATTTAATCTTATATACCTCTTCCAAATCGACTGGTTTTGTGAACTTGTAGAAACGACGGTTGGAGGCGAGTTTACGGCAGATGTCCCTTAAAAATATACGCAATTCACGAAGCTTATAATCTTCCTTGCGCTTCCGCCGAGCTATTTCTTCTTCAGTCTCTCGAGGCGGCGGAGGCGGTGGCGCTGTTTGAATAACATAATCAAAATCATTCTTAGTCAATTAATTTTATTTTCTTTCAATAGTCAAATTTTTTACCAATAGCTTGTAAAGAGAAAAAGCAACAAAACACGAAAAAGTTCTATTTGATACACAAACATCAAACAATAAAATAGCTTCAGATGATCATCCTTATACAAAGTTCAATACAAAAATTTATTAAATATTATATTCACAGAACACAAAAACGGGTCACGATATCGTCGGTTGCAAACCAGACACATCTGTTGAAATTTCATTTGATATGAACTTACGAACACAAATGCAAATTTAAATACAGAAATAATAACGCTCGCATCTCACTCACATAGGCACATAGGACAATTTAGAAATTTGTACTTCGGCATTTCGAGAACCGTTTTATGCGTGAAATATTAACCATGAAAAAAATAAAATTTAAACAATAAGGATAAATCCTTAACCAAAAAAAGAGACTAACAATGCATATTTTATGGATTTACCTTAACAAAAAACAAACTTACAGTTCCCAGACATAAACATATTTAAATTGTTAAATAAATCATTAACACAAAATTAATATTAGTGATAGGCTTATGACTGCTAGTTTTTATTACTTCGTATTCTACAATGAATCCTTCTAAAGTATTTCTGTATTTTTTTAGATATCTATAAACTATACACCAACCTCTTGGCAACGGAGGCGGTGGATCGGTGTTCTCCACTGGTGGTGGTTCTACAAGTGCTTCGGCAACCATAGGTTTCAGAAATGCGATCACTTCAGCGGCACTTGGCTCGCGCATTTTGTATACGCAATCTTTGTACAGTGGAAATAGCTCTTGCAGCTATAGAATGATAAAAGAAATGAAACATAAGTCTAAAGACTCTATATTTATCTGTAAAGGGTAAACACTGATAGCTGTACTTAATTATGGTGTACATAGGGTTTAAAACACGCATGTTTTAGATACAAGAGCCAATTTAAACTTTAATTAAATAGGTCATTTTTTTAATTATAAAAACAATGATATTGTTGCCTCAATCTTAATAATTTCATTTATGGTTATTTAGAACATTAGATGACTCTTTCTATGTGCAAAATAAATAAATTCTAGTGCAGAAACTTAGTTAATAAATAACAAATTAAGAAGGTACCTACTTTTCTATGAAGTAATTTATCTGTACTAATATAGTATACTAGTCACCCTAGGTAACTGTTTATTTGGATATAGTTTCAGATCGTGATTCATGACATGGATATAATTACAATGACATATTAAATAGTAAACAATGGTTATTATGGTGACGTTTCAATTCCCCATATAAACTTCCACTCCCATTTTCATTTCTTTATTTATAAAATATATAAACTATGTTCACAACATATGATATAACTTCCGTGGGTGAAAGAACTTTTTTAAATCGGTCCAGTAGTTTCGGAACCTATTCTATGCAAACAAACAAATCTATCCTCATTATATTATTTGTATAGATAAGTTCTGTGGTAATATGAAAGTCCGTATTATGTGTACTGACCTCTGGCGGTAATTCAACGTGCGGTAACGAAGTGGTTGCCAACAATAGTGTATTGTCACCGGCGGCGCGCGTTCTCCACAACTGCAATAGTAACGCAGTACCCGCGCCGGTCAACGAAATCCACACGGATAGTATGTCGCGAACGAACAGTACGCAGCCGCGATCCGCCCGACGACATTCCGAAAACAACTGGCATGGACGAGGAAAATTTTGTCATATTACGCCGATTTGTGATTATATAACGACCAGAGGCCTATTTTTTAAGATACTAGTGGGGTCGCTCGTACTGGTTAGTACTTGCCTAAAGGGTAGCACTAAAACTTTACAAACCAATGTACATTGTTAGACAATACAGAACAAATGTACTTGATTGTATATTATGTTTAATCTAATCATCAATCGATTGAAATAAATTGCAAAAACAGTTATGATAAAATTAATAAACTTATATTAACAAATTTTCTAATGCATTTCTAAATAAAAAAATAATATTTTAAACACTTCGATCGCTTAAAACTCACCGATATAATGGCCTGTTCAGGGGTGAACGCAACGGCAGAGTGTAGAGTAGCCATGCTGAGTTCTTTAACAGTATAATTTTCCATATCAGATAGGATCGCTGGAGCTATGAAGGTTTCGGCACACTCGCCGGTAATGAGTAACGCACTAGGTGTTAATGAACGATTCATTCTGCAACAAATCAGTGTGATTAAGGCTAACGTTAACGCGATAAAAATGCCATTGGTCGAAAAATTACTTAGTAAAGGATGTTTCTTTCGGAGGGCAATTTATGAACATCAGCCATGCGATTTTGTAAACATATTTCAATCATCAGAAAACTGAATCTGCAGTGAGATTCAAAGAATGTTTACTCTCCATACAAAATAATAAAGTTGTAAAATTAATTAACTTGCTAGTAACGAAAACTTTAGATTTAAAATGAAAAGAGACGACGCATAAATAAATCAGTGACCATGATTTTTTATAGGTACGTTTCTAATGGTTGCTAATGGTTGGTATAAAATATTAGTAGCCAATTTTTACTTTCTTTAATAATAATTTTATAAAAGATAGTTATTTATAAATAACAAAACAAAATGCTATTTAAATGCGATATATTAATTCATTACACACGATGATTGCTTATCTCCATATTGACAGGTCAAAATTGAATGTTTTTCTTTCGTATTCTGTATAACTCGAAAACGCCGCTGGCATCGCACTATCGAACTCGGAGTAAATTTGACACTATTTTCTTATTTTCACTTAAAACTGGCATTAGCGTCATGACTATTTGGCCACAAACCACCTTGACATTCCTTTTAATTAATATATTTTCAAGATGAATAATAACGTAGATTAAACTATTTCATTCAGATATATCACCTACTGATCGACTAATACTCACGGGCCGGCTAGAGGACGGTGGTAACGCAGTAGCAGCGCGGCGGCTTGCAGCTGCGGCGACAACAAAGGCTCATAATGAGGTGGGAGGCGGCGCGCTGCTAAAGGACTACTACGAGCTCCAGCCGCCACTAATGAATCCATCGCATCGAGCATATCTCGCTTCGTGACTTGTACCTGCGAGAAAAGAATTAAGAATCAGTTAATTAAATAAAACACGAAATAACTCTGCTTCTTATTAACATATAACTTACATTTTTCGCATCTATAAGAAGTGCATATTCGCTTTCGTATACTTGTGGGTACACCCTTCTTAACGCTTTCAAAACTGCTTCTGAGCAAAGCGCTTTTAAATCCGATCCTGTTGAAATAAAAATAATTCTGATTAAACATTATATTTTGGTAAAACACTATAAAATACACTCTGCCTTAATCACAAAACATTCATTTGAAAATGACTCTGTACACGTACCTCCATAACCGCTTGTTAGTTGTGCTATATGGTCTAATTCTTGATGCGGCAACTTCGGTGTCCAATGCTGCGTGTATATGTCTAGTATGTCACGCCGGGCGGCCGTAGCAGGCGGTGGAAAGTATAGCTCGCGGTCGAAACGACCCGCACGTCTTAACGCCGGGTCTACAGCGTCGAGGCGATTTGTAGCGCCTATTATAACCACTTCACCTCTAGTAGGAAGAATTTCATTATTATTACACATGTATATATATATTATTGTTGATAAGAAAGATGTAACAGTTGTTTAGTTACACATAGCTCTCTTCTTGTCATTCCAATGTGACTTTTAATTCATGTGAAAAGACAAAATAACTATACAATGCTTATAGTAAGAGAGATGTATTTGGAATGGATTTCTTGACGTGAGCTTCGGCTCGTTACTGGCTATGACGAATTAAAAAAAGGGCTTAAAATCAACGTCGACTTAAGGCCGGTTTTAGTGCTACACAGAGTGTCTGTGTGGACCATTTGTATACAGAAACTCGAACGGTTTACCATTTAGTGCTTTATGGATCAAAGTCCAATGACCAATTTTCATACGATAACTCCGGATAGTGGTCATCCGTATCCTTATAGCACCAAAACCGGCCTTGAGTTTATATCGCGCAGTTGACCCAAAGGACATTATATGAGACATATTTAATTAAAAAATAATGTTTACTACTATGTACGTACTCACTATTATACTAACATATACTTATAGCCAAGGCATACATACCCACACTATGATACAATATGCTCTACATAGCATACATACTTTAATTTACTCAGATCAAAGATACCACTAGCCTATGGCCGTTCATGAATATAGGCCTCTCCAAGTGCAAAGTATCGCACTGCATATTTAACTATCTTCATAAAGTTCTTGCAACTTTACCAAGATTGTCTTACCATCTAGTACGGTATATCATCGTAACACTACATTTTCCGATTGGCTACTTGACTATTTTGGGAAAAGTATTTTAAAGCTTTCATATGTTCATTTTAAACCACTATCAGATTTAGTATTCTCCAAAAAATGTAAAATAAATAATAGAAAAGAATATTTTTAATCATTAATTTAAATAGTCCCTGAAAACAATAAGTCACGTGACAATTCGTACAGTGACGTCTCATATCCATAAACATTAGCCCTGCGATTCCGTAAAAATCTGAACTCGAATTCGAATTTACTCAAGTTTCACTTTTTCATTTCAAAATTCACTTCAAAAGCGGTAACCACTCAACCTTGAATTGGTAATAACGTCGTGGCATAAGTGAAGTGAGTTTTGAAATGACATAGGAATAGAATATCTGAGACGTATGAATCAATCAATCTTGTTTTGTATTTTAATACAAAACTGGAATCAATTTTTACAATAGTGACGTGATTCGGAGACATGAGTGAATTCGAATTCGGTTTTATAAAGAATCGCTCTGCACTACTGGTTCTACACAACAAAGACGTTGACGTTTAGTTTATTGAAATATGACATCACAATGCTCCGTCATGGCTGTTCGAGTTTCGGTTCTTGTAAACCACAGATTATCGCAAGTTCATTTTGTAAAAACAAAATATGCACATATTTACAATTTATTTTAAAAACAAAAATTACTACATAATTGTTTTTTACACATAAGTTGTGATTTTCAACATATTTCATAATTTATTGTTATAACTGTCAAGTAGCCAATATCGGTTTAATTTAAAAGTAAGTCAAATATATCATATTGAACACTAACCGATCGCACAGGCCGTCCATTTCAGCTAACAAGGTGCCCACTACGCTAGTGTGCACTTGTTCCTGACGTACGCTTCGGACAGGCGCGAGTGCATCTATCTCGTCAAAAAATATTATTGACGGCTTCATTTTATTTGCCTATAATAAAATTACGTTATTATAAATAAAGATCTAATATTACACATAACGTTGCTCCAATATCTAAGGAAACGGATAAATCGTTTGTGTTATGAAAATAATTAGATGAGAAAAAAAAAAGAAGAAAATAGTGAATTTATAGTAATCTGTGAACTCTAAAAAGCTTCTTTTAATACTAATGTACTAAGAACGAAAGCTTTTGCTTTTACTTTCCTTATTTATATATATATTAAAGAGGTAAAGTTTCTAAATATGTTTGTTTTGATAAATAATCTTCGGACATACAGTTCCGTCTGATCATGATTTTTTTTTCACCTACGGGAAGCTACATATTTAAAATGAATGTAATGAGTTAAATGTATAACATCACTTGCCTGTTGAAAAAGCAGCTTAAGATGCCTTTCGCTTTCACCAACCCATTTTTTCAGACAATCGGCGCCCTTCCTCATGAAGAAGGCTACTTTTCTGCCACCAATTAGAGTACACTCATTGGCAAGAGCACGGGCCAACAAAGTCTTGCCAGTACCTGGCGGACCGTGAAATAGAACGCCTTTGGCCGGACGAGTCTTGAACTTTTGAAATAGATCCGGATACATGAGAGGAAAGAGTACCATCTCCCGTAGACATTTAATGTGTTCTTCTAAACCGCCCACCTGGTGAATGTCTACTTAGTATACAAACTCATATTTCAAATTATGTACAAACGGCTGCACGCCAAGTAAACACAATATGTACATTTTTAAACCCTACCCTCAAAACATTAAGATTTAAAGTCAAGTGGAGAAACTTAACAAATTTTTATAACCTGGCGTGATGTTGACTATACATTATTAAAGTTTTCTAAATCTAAAGCAACTCACCGATGAGAATCTCACACTTCCATCAACCTCAACAGGTTGTATATCCCTCAATGCCCTATCAGATGATTTCTTGTCATCAGTACCTCTCGACTTTTGTCTAAAAACATATCTTCAATAAATATCGATTAATTCTTCTTACTTATATCAATTGACGTATTACCCGTTTTGTTAACTGTTACTATATTTCCCCAGTAAGTATATACATATATTGCTTACCTTCCTTTGGTTTTATTTTTCATAGAAACATTTAGGTCTTCTTCCGTATCGCTACTCGAAGTACTACTGCTGCTACTAGAAGATGGTGACTGAGCTATCAATTTGAAAAAGATTGTAAATTAATAAAAATGTAATCTCGGCCCTAAATATGATTATTATTATAAACCTTACATCTAATTGTCTTCCTACGAAGGATTTTCGGTTTTCTCTCCCTTAATGAATATGGTTTCTTCCTTATTGTAAATGTTTTAGCTGAAATAAACGTTCTACTTATAAAAACTCAATAAAACTGATAATATTCTACATAAAAAAATTAAATGTAACACATAAAAGATTTAAAGAGCAATAGTAAAACATTTTCTTCTTATATTACTATTATGTATTATGATAAGTATGTGAGTTACCTCTGCCCCTGGTTTCCCGCTGAGCGATTTGCACGAAGGCGGGTTTGGGGTTCCTTGTGCGTTTAGAGCGACGCGGCTGTCTATTGAGCGATAACTCACTGCCCGATTCCGATGACGACGTCTCTGTTTTTATTAATTATCGAGTTATTAACAAGTGACTGAATAATAGTGATTTTCACGAGTTTCATGGTATTTCTGTGAGGAATACCTATTGTCACATCGCGGTTTTGTGAACTAATAAAACACCAACATGCAACATGATTTAACATGACATGAATATAATAAGCAAAACCAATACCTGTTTCTTGTTGACTGTCTTCTTTCTTTGGTCGGCCTTTTTTCTTTTTGGGAGTGATTCTGGTAGCAGCTTGGTTACTAAAACAATATAAGTATGTAAATAAGGTTACAATGAAATAATGGTATATGTTATTTGCATTTTATAATAAATTAAGCTTTATATATTATAGATATACCTTCTATATTTTTCCGTACCAAAGCAAACTAGTTAAAACTCTTGTATGAAGGAATTACTATAAAGACGTAGTATCTTACAAGGTCTCAAATTTACTTAAATTGAACTTTAACAATGATATTTCAAATAATTAAGAATACGTACGATTTTTTTTTTACCGCGTCTGGCGTGCAATGACGCAATCACGATCAAGATCGATTCAACAAAATTTGAAAGAACAAATAAAATATTTCAATAATTATAATTTACTTTTACTAAGACTGTAAAAGTCTAATAAGCCGTAAGCGTCGCACGAGAGTGAAAGGGCTAGAGAGTTTTCCATTCCAACCCCACCAAATTACTTAATGTGTCACTCGATAAATTTTCACAAAACTCAGGCATGTAACATTAAAATTCACTATTTAAGTATAGATATTACTAATTTGCTTCTTATACATTATAATCGTATTTGATATCTAATCACATTCAAGTATATCAGCTGGCATGAAATTCTTGGATTTTACCTTTCGCTATCCTGATTCTGGTCCGGCATTTCAACATCGTTCTTATCACTAAGTGGTGGTGCTTCATCACCTTCTCTCTTGACTTGTTCATCCTCTGTAGTTACAGGTTTTTTCTCTATTACAGTCTGGTTATTGTCATCCTCGGAATCGGATTCAGAAGCATCCTTTAAAAAAATATGTTAGATTGAGAATCAAAAAATTAGTATACTGGACCTGTGTCCTTTTTTTATCATAACCAAAATCAGGACAAAACTCTAGACATAGACTTAAACTGAATACTCGACTGCGTGACTTTTTACCGTATTTGTTAAATGCATTTTTGAACAAATTTCTATAAGGTAAGAGCAATGAATCATCTTTCGTAGGTACATACTCACATTACTTTTCTTACTAAACCTAGCTGATTTTCTTTGTTGGCGAGACGACAATTGTGTATCTTCATCTGTATTGGCTGGAATATTGTGATTCTATAAAACGAAAATAAATAAAATTAACAGCTACATAATAATCGTTACGCGTATTTGTTATTTTATATGCATTTTCTCTTAGTTGGCAAAAAAAATGTTGAATTAATAATTACATCGGTTACTTTAACATTGTATATTTTTACCTTAACCAAACGACATTTTTTGTTACAAAAACCATTACTTGATTGAAAAGTAAATTGTTAATTCAAAAAAGTCCTAAATCAAGATAACTAAGACATTTTTTAATTTAATAAAATTTACATAGTTAACTATGTAAATTTTATTAAATTAACTCTCTTATTTTATTAAATTATTAACTTCGACTCTCTTCTTTTTATCTGTTTTAGCTGAGGTCATATTTGTATCAACAATTGATGGTTGTATGATTAACAAAGCACAAAGTCGAAATAATCATTAGATGTTAAAATGAAATGAACAATTTAATGATTGAAATTGAAAGGAAGATCAAAATTGTTCATTTTAACAAATTTAATGATGTTGTTAAAATGAACAATTTTGATCTTCCTTTCAATTAAGATATATATAAAATCAACTATTTTTAAAGCTAAATCAACTAAGTAACATTGTTGAATCAATTGAGAGTTTACTTAGACATACGAAGATCATATGTTGCACTGACAATGCGCAATGTTATAACAATCACTGGAAACGTTACATTAAATCAGATCTATAGCTGAATTAGACAAGATAATAGTAAATTCTATTATTTCATTTTTTCTATCAACATACATTAATAGTTGTAGCAATTAATTTGTTTAATTATTGCAACAATGACTGCGTTGAATTAATAACGTCCATGATTACAACTCTGCTAAACCGACTTTGTCCGTCTCGTGCCATCTCTGTCATTTAATCATTTGAAATTGTGGTGCAGCGTGTTCAACTGCTCGCAATTAGTTTTGTTTTATTTAATTAGGTATCTAGTGGTATTTACCTCTCATTTAAGTTTTTATATACCACAAAGATGTAAAATATCGATAATAAAACAGTGCGCGGGAAGTACATATCAATCTTAGTGTGTAATTTGTGCTATTATGAAAATAATAGCATGTACGGAGATGTGAAAGAATTGTTATAAGCGTGGGAACTCTCACAATTTATTCCAGTATTTGAAGGTAAGTTCCAGGTTTATTAACAGGTATAAATCTTTATGTTTGACTAGTTTTCCGCTAGCGGCTTCGCCCGCAAGGGCCATATAAACTTCACACCCCTATTTCTAAAAATCCTTGTTTAGTGCTCACTTACGTCATGAAAGTAACCTCTGTACCAAATTTCAAGTTTGTAAGTAGGCACATTAGTTTCAGCTGTGTGTTGATTAGTTTATATACTTATACTAGCTTTTCACCAGCGGCTTTCCTATTTTGTATATTCATTGTTGATCCCTTCCTATAAGTCTAAGCGTGATGTTAATAAATGGATGGATAGCCTTCCTTAATAAATGAACTATTCGACACAAATATTATTTTTCAATTCGAATCCTGAGAAGCGCATTTAACCAAACAAACTCTTCAGCGTTATTATTAGTATTGATATGGTGTATATCTAATATTAAATTATTTATTCTGTTTTAGAGCAGCAGATTATATTCAGGCATTATCTGCCCTCATAAAAGAAGATCTAAGGGACCGAGGGTTTTGTTCACTAGATGCTGGAGTACATGGAAAGCTCAAAATGGTTGCGAGAGTAGTAACAACATCTCATCTATCTCGGTAAGCTTTTATCTCTATCTAAATATTGTTTATTTATCTATTTTACCTTTTTATTTTATCTTACATCTTCTTGTATTAATTATTTTTTATTACTACTAATAAGTTAAGTTAACTTATTATTATTTCATTAGCATTTTCGCATATCTTTGTATCCTTACAATTTGTTTATTATTGTAGTAGGTATTACAAAATAACAGAAAAAGGAATTTGTGACTATAAATCTCACAAACTAATGTCCAAATAGAAAAATTCATGTTGTGTTCGATAGTATATTCATTGATACGGTGCGGTGGTTGTATTATTGGTTATGTGCACGACGACACGACACGACACCTAGCGTACGTAACCTTGCGAACTTTGACGTTTTGAAATTAAACGTGTTATTTTAGACACAATATTAAAATCAAAATTTATCTAATAATTTAAATTACAAAACAAATGCAATACTGTGAATTGGGTGGACAGATGGTTCTCAAATCACTTTTTAATCATTCAAATTAAATGAGGTAACTAAATATTTAAAAAATTTCTTTCATTTTGGTTCAGCTTATTTTTTGTTTCAATTTAACTGTCAAACAAGAAATTAAAACACCTATGATGGTTTTATTAAATAACAGTAAACATATATAATAATCCTGTATCGTTAGTGATAAATGAAATATGGTTTTTAGATCGAAATTAGTATTATTCTGAGGACCGCGTTTGTGTATTATATCACTCACAATATAAAATAAAATCTGTAATATCTTGCAAGGCCTATATGATTTGAAGTAGGTAATTAATCTCCGTTTGAATTTATAATCAGTATGACTGCGTTTTTATTTTAATATAAATTTGATTACTTCTGAATACAGTACAACTAAAGTACTTACCTAAATGATAAAAGCAAACAAACATTATTTTAAGTCATTGTATTGAGAAAATACTACAAATAATTATAACAACAACAAAAGTAATCAATCTGAATGTTATTTTACTTTAAAATATATATGGAACGTGAATATATATATATTACTATACCCTGCCCATAGCAATTGCCCTGCCTACTTCCTTGCATACATATTCTGATGAATAATTCTTATCTATTTCAGCTTCCAATGTAGATCAACAAAATCTAGCAATCTTTCTAGCAATCGCTGATCCGCTGAACACATCTAACATTAAGTTAAAAGATACAAAAGGCAAATCAAAGTCTGGATGCTCCTGGAAGCCATTCGAAGCTGAAGCTAGAGAGGCATTTATAAAACACATACCTACATCAAATGTTGCAATACATGAAACAATAGATTCCTGCTAAACTATTTGAAAACAAAAGGAATATGCCCACAACCATATATTTTATTTGTTGGTGAGAATTTATTTAAGATCAAATCATTTTTAGTTGTAGTAAACCAGTCAACATTATATTGACACTATATTAGAAGCATTTGATATGGTATAAATTTTTTTGGTCAATAGAATACAGTAGTGACTCTTACCCAATATGGTATTATTTACAAAGAATTGGTTCAACTTCAGAAGAAGTTCATAACTGTAATTCATAATTTTATAGTGAACATTGTATTTTTGTTACCTATTGCGTTAAAGTAGAAGTAACATCAGGTTATGTTACTATTGATATACGTTAAAAAAATATATAATTTCCATTATGTTGACCTGTTTTATATGTCATTTGCAATTACCAAATACTAAATTTCTTAAGTTGCACTTCAAATTGTCACATAGTTTTGATATTCTGTGAACGTATTTACTTGTTAACAATGTTTACATGTACCTATGACTCAAATAATTTTATTTTTGTAGGAACATTATGCAGACATTGAGATTTGACGACCATTTTTTTAATTATGAAGTTGTCGAAACTGAAACTAATCAAAATGTTATTAAACGTGACAAGACTCTAGTGTCTCCTATCCCACGGAACATTAATGTTCTTAGCAAAAAATATATTACTGTGCGATGTGCATTATGGTATCTAAAATATTAAATTATTTAGAAAGTAAGTAAATAATGTAAAAGAGATATAATAAAATTTATATTTTAAAATCAAATGTTTATTATTTTTCATAAAACCGTATATCATCATATCAGATAATTGATCTAATAAAGACACTTCTTCCAATACTCAATTAAGCTATAACTACTCTTGTCTGACTGCGACACATTGTGTCGTTACGTTGTGAACGTAAATAAATAAGTTCACAACGTAACGACACAATGTGTAGCGTCAGACAAGAGTAGTTATAGCTTAATTGTGTATTGGAAGAAGTGTCTTTATTAGATCAATTAACTGATATGAACATACCAACAATCACTCTTAGTAGATATAATAAACAAATTTGACAAACTTGACAAAGACCTTGATTAAATGAGCTAATACACATTTTTGCACTGAATATGATAAATGTTATAGTGAACAAGCAGTTTAATTGGATCAATACAGTATTAAGTAGGTGCAACTAAGCGTCTTGGTTGATTGAAGTAGTTTCTTATTGAATCTAAAGGAGTATCGTATTTGAATTAAACAAATTAATTGTTCTTCTAAGTATGTTATATCGTTGATATAACTATTTTCTTAGTAAATACGACTGTGAGAAAAATTAAATCAACAAACATACTTTGTAGATTTAAAATAGTATTAGATAGGCGCAATCAAGAATGTTGGTTGGTTAAATTATGTTCTTAATTAATTTAAACTAGCATTATATTTGAATTGAACGAATGAATTGTTGTTATAAATAAGTAATATTTTTGATATAACTATATTCTTAGTTGATACGACTATGGGAAAAATTGAATCTACAAACATACTTTGTAGGTTTAAAATTGCATTAGGTAGGCAGAATCAAGAATCTTGATTGATTGAAGTAGTGTTTTATTAAATCTTAAAAAGTAATATGTTTGAATTGAATAAAATAATTGTTCGAATAAGCAGGTATTAGCATTGATATAACTATTTGTTTAATTGATTCTATTGTGGAAAATTGTTAGATGTAATATGGTTTCACAATTGCAGTAAACGTATTTTTAATTAAATATTCAACAAAGTTCTCTAAGTCAAATCAATTTAGCTCTTGCCAGGTTCAAATAGAAACAAGAAAGGTGATTATAATAAACAAGATTGTGATTGAAGTAGACATTTTTTTTTTTCAGTGAACTTACGATTTTCTTAGTTGCTCTTGTTTCATCACCAGAACTAGACTCATCTGATGAAGTAGACACAGGTAAACCATATGTATCGGGATAACCTTTGACCTTTAGTTCGTTGGTAATCCAACTCTCATTAAAATTGTGATGTAGCAATTTGCGTTTACGGCAGCTTCTTCGAACATCTACAAATATTGAAGATACTCATAAATTCCCAAAAATTTATACTGATTCGTTAAGTTTACTCATAAACTAAATTTATCAAAAAACATGTGACGTGTTATGAAAATGAATGATCACTCTATACCAATAACCGCATTATCAATATCAATGGGATATAGACATCAAGTGTAAGTAATGCGTAGATTACATAAAAAAGGAATTTTATTTTACGAATAATAAAATCAAAAGTTTATTCTCATTAATCGATTAATGTTGTTTTACTAATAATGTAGAGAGGATGGAGTGGGAACACTCTGTCCTTGTCACACGCGTGCGACCGACGCTTATGGGTTGATACATGTAGCGATACAACTTACTTTCTTGTATAGGTTTATCTTCACTGTCTTCCACGTAATTTTTTCTAGGTTTACTTCTAATTCTCATGCTTCTATTAGCTGAAACATCATCCTCTGCAAAGAAAACTCTCACTTGTCTCGATCTAAAATAATAAATCAATCCAAAGAAGATTTTTTTTTTTTATAAATTCAGTCAAAAAAAGGAGTCGAAATATTTTTCTTTAGATTATTGTTACCTTCTAGAATATTTTTCAGGTTCAGTGTCGCTCTCTGGAAACATCAAACGTGGCATTTTGATTGTACGACGGCGACGGCTATCTAAAATATACAAAAGTATTAATCTTTATTTAAAAAAAACGTAGTATTTTACTCACGACATTCAATGGATTAATACATTGCACTTTAGACCCAGTGCTAACAACCAGAAGGAAAAAAATAACCTCAATTGTATCTCAACCGCTCACACGTACCTTTTTAGACAAGATTAGGGTATACCATAACGTAGTACGTAGTACGTTATGGTAAGGTTATTATCATTGGTCAAAACGCATGTGAAATCAGAGTAAGCAGTAGCTTTCTGTAAGACATGCTAAAGGGACAACATTCGCTCAGTCCGCCCTCGCCGACTTTCTTGCCGGTTGTTCTCAGTACAAGGTGTCTCGTTGTAGATTTACAAACCGATGGCATAGAATTTCGACTTGCAAAAGTGATTCAGATACAGATCGACGATCACAGAACAGAAAGATTTTCGTAAACAATGACCCGGCATTACATATCTCATTCACTCGTGCGCAAACATATTTCAATTGCGCTCACACAAATGCATCTAGCCAATTTTGCCAGAACCTAAAATGTTAACAATACCTATTAGTAGGCACAAAGGACAAAGGTCAACGTACGAAATTCTCTCTGTTCGGCGACGGTACTATGTCGATAGAACCAATCCGTGGAATGCGTGATGTTGCAGATTTTCGTAACGCATACAGTAAGTCAATTACCTCAAGAGAAAAGTTGCAGGAGGTATTGCGATGTTGAGTTTACGCACCTCGATTGGACGAGTGCGATTCACGGTGCACTTTTTTTTTACATCAAAATTGTACTGATTTCAGGCAAGAAATTTTACTCATTAAAGACTAGAAAGAATATTGAGGACTCAATTTTACCGCACTCTGAGAAATTGTACGGCTAGAACCCTTTTTGGATTGGATTAAAATTCTCTACCATGTCCAGACCCGAGAAAAAATGCATTGTCCCAAATCGATCGATCTCTCGGCATCGGCTAATGAGCCTATGAAATATTTCTGTAGACGGCTATTTTGCTCATCAATGTTTTCCGAGAACACCGAAAATTCAATTTAAGTCCTAACTTTGTCCCAAAATCCCGTCTTTTCGAAATTCTTGCCCAGCAATATTAAAATACCAATATAGATCGGGTCCTGGGGATATACCGCGATATGTCCAGAGATTTAATTATTTATCACTCAATCATGCACCAGCTTACAGAATACTCCATCACACTGGCTCATTATACATTTGTCATAAGAATAACATTTTATACAAGTAAAAAAAAAGTAATTGTACTGATATTGAATTAAGTTAGATGTCCAATTAATAATAATAATAATGATAACTACTTTACAACCAATGAATAAGCAATGGCAAGTTATGAAATAATAATGAAAATATTAATTTATATAAAAAAAATCCTCCATGCTATGAAACATTGGTCAGCACCAACTATTTATTATAGAATACTCAGTACTTTATATATCATAGAATACTCAAACTTCTTTATTGCTTTCATGCGGTGAAAAAGATGTTCGTTTTTTTTATGTACGTTGACATAAAAAAAACGAACATCTTTCAACAATAATTAAATTAAACTAGTATCATGTACAACGATAAATAAAAAACAAAATCACAAATTAAATAAAAAATTTCAAAATTTTAATTGGTCATAGAATTACATTTTATTAGAAAATTACTTTTAAAATCTATAATTATATTATTATGACATTATTGTATGTAAATAAAAATATTATAAATTAAAGGGGTAGAAATGAATGAATAGAATTACTTCCCATGTCACTGAAATGCTCCTGCAACGGAATAAAAGCATTTTTGTGATAGATATTTATTCATCCTTTTTTTTTAAACATTTTTTTAATTACTTTTATATGCTCGGGAATAGCATTATATACCTCGAGTGTTTATAAGTTTTGAGACAAACATTATACTGAAAAAATAAAATTAACTGTTATATTTTTTTACCGATTTTGAATTTGGAATGTTAAGTTTTAGTTTATTTGTATCACAAATTCGTTTGTTTATATTTTCTCGATATAGAGAGAACGAAACAATGCAGATTTTCCGCGCAGATTTTCCGCGAAACAACCGATGCAGATTTTCCGCGAGCTGAAAAGATTTCCTGTAAGCCGTAAATTCGTCTATTACACAATACAGCGATACAAAGAGACAACTTCTCTGCAAGATCGCCAAGGGAGTGGCCGACCACTCTCTGCGAACATCATCCGAGAGCGACTTCGCCGAAATCCATGTCGCTCTCAGAAGAAATTAGCTCTGCAAAATTATATTTCGAGCGTTTAAGTGAACAGAACACTGAAATATGATCTTTAGGGTAAAGGCCTATAGCCGTAAAAAAGTTTTTAAACTATTGTCTTCGTAAGTTACGACGCGAACATTGTCCATTGCTGTTGAAGAGACATGATGCCAGGAAGATACTCTTCACCGACGAGAAAATTTTTACTCTTGAAGAAAGGTTCAACCGACAAAACAAGTGTACGCTAAAAGTAGCAAGTAAAGTGTACGCTAAAAGTAGCAAGAATTGGGACATTCTTGCTACTTTTAGCCGTGCAGCTTTTGCACGGAATGTCTCGCGCTCTCATCATCCGGCTTGTGTGATGGTATAGTGGGGAGTTTCGTATGAAGGTGTCACTCCGCTTAATTTCTGCCTACAAGGTGTCAAGGAGAAAGCCAAGAATTATCAGAGTGACATTTTAGAGCCCGTGGTGAAATCCCTGTCTGATACGTTATTTTATAATAAGGATTGGGTTTTTCAGCAAGACTCGACGCCATCTCATAAGGCAAAAAGCACTAAGCTTGACCGATGGAGAATATGCCGGCCTTCATCGCGGCGGACGAGTCCTCCTCTCAACCCCGACATCAATCCACTCGATTATTCTTTATGGACTGAATTAGAACGCAGGGCCTGCCGAAAGTCCCACCCAAACTCGGAGTCACTGAAGCGAAGCCTTGTTCGAGAAGCAAAGCGAATTCCGCTAGAAAAGATGCGTGCCGCCATTGATGACTGGCCAAATCGTCTAAGGGCCTGTATTAAAAACAAGGGCGGTCATTTTCAATAAAATATATTTTTTATTATCTATTTGATGGTTACTGAAAATATTAGCAATATAAGTTCTTTGTTAATAAATGTTACGCAACTTTTATTTCGTCTCAAAACTTATGAACACGTAAAAGAAGTAGCATTTTGAAGATCTATAGACTTTTTGAGTTCGGAAAGAGTATATGTAAAACTAGATAATTTACTATCATTTTTAACGTGTTCATTCTAGTTTAAATTGCTGTCTATAATTATTCCTAAAAGACAATGGAAGTCAACTGTTTCTAAAAGTTTATTATTAAATTTATACATTACTACTAAGGGTTTTCTTTGGTGAGGCTTGAACTGCATTAATTTTGTCTTTTTAAATTAATTTCAAGACTCCATCCTTAAGCCAACTACCTATAATTATCAATGTAAAATTGTAATTTAATAATTCGTTTAATTGTGTGGTATTCTGACATGGTATTATTAAAGATACGTCGTCTGCAAGAAGGACACACGGAATATCTAGATGAGTGGGCAAGTCATTAACGTAAATTAAAAATAGCAGACATACGAGGACACTTTGGGCAATGGCATGGCTTATAAGATTTTCGTCAGATTTCAAAATTTTTATTTGTCCACTTTGATACGATCATCAACTGTATGCCAACATATTGTACTTATTGTTTAAAATATGATGAAAACCACTCATGTGCACTACCTCTTATTCCTATGTTATAAAGCTTACTCGAGAGGATTGGATAAGAAACCCTATCATTAAATTTACACATGCCTAAAAAACACAATACAACAATAACAAAACAATTTGAGACGATCGCTACGCTACACTTCATGATTGTCTTTAATTTCTAACCTATCACGTGACCTAAAGTAGTGAATCATATAGGAACTTAAGTGCAACATATCTTAAAAACTTTTATATCCTCCAATATATTTTTATCATCCTCTGGAGCTAGGTCACAATCCTGTCTTTATCATAACCGGCGACATATCCATAATACTATAGAAATAGCCTTTGCTTCTGCACCTTCGCACTGCACTCCTACATTTATCTCACTAAACTTAATCAAGTAATTGTTTTTCGTAGCTTAGTCACCCTACTTTCTTTAATTTGTTGTATAACCTAAAAATTAAAACAAATAATGTATCACAAAAACAATACGACATCAGCGCCTCTTACAGAGACTTACGTAACTATTACCATATGATCACTTACTCTTGACCACATCATGAAGAAGTCATACTTCAGCAGCGCATATCGTTAAATGCAAATCACAATCACATCATGATGTGTTTCTACGACCAGCGGTTTAGGCTATGCGTTGTCTGTCAGTCAGTAAGTCAGGACATCTTCTTTTATATATGTATAGAGTATTTTTAATAATTCATTGACATATGAATTTACTGCCGGTCCTGTAGAACCTCCTTTACGAAAACCATACTGATTGATATGGAATATTTGATACTTCTCACAATATGAATAGACTCTATTATACATAAAGATTTCAAATATTTTTGAAAAAGAAGTGCTTTTGATTTGTACGAGGGTCAAACTGAAAGTTCTTAGAAAATCAAAAACTGATTACATTAGCCAGTTATTAGTTTTATTTTATCTTTTCAAAATATTGTCCATTCACGTCAATACACCGCTGCATGCGATGGAACCACTGGGAAAAGCACTTTGCCCACTCGTCCTTAGGGGTCTCTTCAATGGCATCGCGATACGCAGCCACCGCTTCTTCAGCATTCATAAACCGCTTTCCTTTAAGTTTTCCTTTAAGTTTTTCTTTAATTTTTGGAAATAAATAAAAATCACAAGGCGCGAGGTCGGGGCTATACGGCGGGTGACCCAGTAATTCAACGTTTGATGTCGCCAAATAGTCGATCGTTCGCTTGGCGGTGTGCGACGAGGCGTTGTCGTGGTGAAGGAGGATCCTACTGCGAGGTCGTTTCTCTCGAACTTTTTCCAAGACAAGTGGCAAACAATTGGTAGTGTACCATTCTGCAGAAACTGTTTTTTGATCCTCTAACACAATTGTTGCAAAATGACCTATCCTTCCAAAGAACGAGGCCACCATTTTTTTTCCCGCACTTCGATCTCTCTTCACTTTAGTTGGCAACTCCTCGAAAGGAAACACCCACTGAGCAGATTGTCTTTTGGTTTTAGGATCATAACAGTAAATCCAGCTTTCGTCACCTGTTAGTATGTCGAACACAGCATTTGAGTCACCTCCGTTAAATCTTTCAATCATTTTACGACACCAATCCACACGATGGAGTTTTTGAGCCTCAGTCAAATTATGAGGTATCCACCGGGCGCAAAGCTTCCTGACCGCTAAATGTTCGTGGAGGATTTTGTGCACTTGACTCATACCGATGCCTAAGCTTGTCCGAATCTGTTGATAGGTCACTCTTTTGTCAGTCTCTATCATACGCCGCACAACACAGATGTTATCTTCAGTCGTCGCCGTAGAAGGCCGTCCCTCACGTAAATCATCAGTGAGATTAGTGCGACCACGTTCAAACTCATTAAACCAGTTGTAAACAGTCGCACGAGATGGGGCTTCATCGTGAAAGGCCAATCGTAGTCTATCATAACTTTCTTGTTGACTTAAATGACATCGAAAGTCATAAAAAATCATTGCACGAAAATTTTCTCGTGTTAAATTCATGATGACGTGACACAGACAATTTTCAATTTGCCGCCAAATCGTAAAACAAATGACAAATGAATGAAATATATACTCAGTAATATTGGCAAAGAGTTATATTTTCAAATTTTAGAATTATTTTTTTATTATATTGTTTATAAGTGGCCAGTTCTAAGAACTTTCAGTTTGACCCTCGTAATTATTGCAGCAGGTTTTATAGTCTTTTTTATTAAATAGTTTAACAATGCTTTCTTTTAATAATTTTTATTACTACATACATACATTTTTTATTACTTTATTTATTTCATTATTAAAAGCGGGAAATACAAATATAGAATTTTCTTTACGAGCAAGAATTTGCGAAGGAATATGCAGTGATTATGCTCTCGGTCACAACGTAACAATCACACTGACTGACACGATAATCGCGTAAAACTGATATATAACTACAAAAGCAAAACATTCTCTCCTTTCCTCAATATCATTTTCAAAAGAATATTATAAGGATGACATCATTATGAACAGTTGAACAACTTACATTTAGTTGGCCAATGTTGAATTTTCCTTGTAACTTTATACTGGCTACTCCTCAGCTCTCGTTGTGACCAATTTGATGCCTGCAAAAATAACTGCTATTAATAACTTTTTATAAATTCCACCTTTCACAATTTAAGTTATAATATTTTTAATTATAAAAAAATCACTTTATCTTTATACATACATATCTAGGCATATCTATGAAACAAGTATAGTTCATGGAAAAAAAAGAAATACCTTGATTACATTTACAAACCATAAGTAGGCAGTAGGCCCTGGTTTAAATAACATGGGTTTAGAATAGATTGATAAACCTTGATCTAGATATGACTCAAACAATAGGCTCATGCTAAAAACGTAAAAAATGAAATGAAATATTAATTTTGTACTATACATTTATGTAAATACTTGTTATACAGGTCAGGGCTTCCAATCACACAATATCGTGTTTTGGGTAATCCAATACCCTACTTCATTTTCCAAGTTGCGGAATCAAGAAAGGCAAGATACCACAGTACTGCTTATCCAAGAAATCTATTTTTAAATTAAAATTAAATTCATAAAAAAAAGGAAATTACTCCTTTATAATCAGGGAGTCAATGGAAAAATATCAAATATTTACATATAAATCTATAAAAGGAATACAGCCAATAGGCTAGTTGACAACTTTTTTTTATTTTATAAATAAATAATCGATTAATATCTGAAAAATAAAGTAGAAGTAACAGCATGTCTGTGATTTATAGTTTTGGAGATACTGTGCTATGTTTGTGGAAGTGCTGCTAGTTGGCCTTTTACTCTCCCTACATCAATGAGGCACTAAGTGCCATGAAACCGTTCTATGGTAGCAAAAATGTATAGGCATCTGGGCAATCTTTATAATATCTTTGTTATTTGTGCAGTTACGTTTATAACTGTTATAATGAAAATTGTAACGTTTTACTTAACAAATTTTGTGCCATATATATTTTAGCAAATTTTTGTAGTATATTTTCCCAACTTTTTTTAAGTTTTCAAAGCGTAATGTTTTCCAAATTAATGTTATACATTTTTTTTTATATTTACTTGTAGGTCACAAGCCTATTAGTGTAGTCGGCAGTAACTTGTTGGAGGACACTATTTTGTATTTTCAATTTGCGGCTGACAACAAATTACATAAATAATCTTTTTTCTAGGTTAAGCTTATTATTATAAGCATTTTTACTTTGATCTTAATAGTGCGATTTGATTGATCTCATGGTTATAGTAAAACTTAAATAAAAGTGAAGTTGCAAGATTTTTTTTAATCACCTAATATATTATTAAATTATGAAATATAAGAAAGAAGCTGTCAAGAGCAAGTCAGGCTCATGCTCCATGTGTTTAATGTTCCTATACTGAATTTTAGGAAAATTTCATTAGTTTCATAGACAATGAGGGAATGATTATTTTTTGCTTGCTTCCCTAATTCACTTCAAATCAAAAAATTTAAATAAAGGACCCAGCTCCTTCATTTGATATGTTACAGAATTTAGTTTACATACACCAAATTGCATGAAAATCCATTAAGAATTAATGATGACTTTTTAAATCTAATAAATGTGTTAAATTTGAATTTTTTTACTGGTAATGTCACTTATAACTAATGACAATTATAATGGATGTTTATGCAACTGGCTGATTTTGTTTACTTATTTGTCCCATATACATACTTCTATATATACTATTTATTCGATATACACTATTAGTATAGATATTATAATTAAAACAAAATAATCTACTCATAGCAAAATTCTCAATCATTTTAAATGTATTGTTATGAGCCAGGGTTCAGAATAAAAATTAAGGTCAACAAAGAAGTATTTTAAAAACTACATAAATTTATGTCCCTAGATGGGAGTACAATTTTTTCCCTTTATTAATGGCTTATCTGTGCATTTTGCACAATTCTGCCAATGACAAGTGAATTAATTAATTTTTACATGTAAAATGAAAATGAAAAGAAATGAAAGATTGCGATGGGGCAGCCATGAGGACACTCCGGAGCACAAATTATACTCTATCAGCGCTACTTATAAACGTGGTATAAAATGTTATACCGAGAATTAGTGCCGAATACGCAAAATGTCAACTTATAAACTCGGTGTAACTTATGCTTAGCATAACCTGGATGTAACGTTCTTACAAAACTTATTCCACCGATATTCCGCCCGTCACCCTAGTATAACTCTGGTGTAGCAACGCATTTGTCAAATAACATTCTGATATTGTTGATGCTTTATTGATATTTACCAAATATTTTCCGTATTAGATAATTTTTAATAATATTGTAACGTGTGTTTATTGAAATATGGCGTTTAGACAATACGTTTATATAATAGTAGTGATCAATCGATCGTTAATGTTTAGGACGAGAAGCAAATCTAAAATATTTAGAACTAGAAATGATCCCTTCCTTTTGTACAATGACGACGAATTTCGTATAAAATATCGTTTTTCCAAAGACGGCGTCTTATTTTTAGGACGTTTATTTGGTAGTGACCTATATTGCAGATACTGATAACGCTAAGATACTACTTTTATTTGCCATTTTGATATTAGTTTATATTTGACTTAATAATTTACAATAACTTCTACAAAATTACCCGCGTCTTGTTCAAGGAATAACAACATGTAACGCCAATCAACCAAACGTCAAACTCAGTGATATTTGACACTTCAACCGAATCACAGACAAAATACTTTCTTTTTTACGATTTTATCTTTGAAATGCGGCGTTGCCGCTACGTGCAACGAACATAAGGGTGGAATACTTACGCCGATGATATACCAAGTTTATAAGTCAAAAGATATTCTTCCGTTATTATGAGCATATACCGAGTATAACTATTCTTGGTATAACGATTGAATAACCATAGTTTAATGAATTTTTATAAGTAAGGCTGTATATTTAATATGAATATAAAAATAATACGCTTTATTGCACTCAATCTAACACAGATGACAGAACCATTACAGTAACAAGAAACAGAACACAAATGGCGGCCTTATTGCTATGCAGCAATCTCTTCCAGGCAACCAATGGAGAAAAATAAATAAATGGTTAGTGTGGGTTGGTAGGTGCAAAATAAGGAAAGAGGAATATAAGGATCTTTATTCACCAAATTTGATAAATATGTCTATTAATTTCAGAACATATAACTGTGACAGACAAATATAATGACACACATGCAAGTAATCCAAATAATAAGGATTTTAAAATCTTGAATAAGCCTTATACCCTTTAATAAATATTGCAGTTGCTTATGTGTAATAAAGGTTTATAAATCAATCAACCAGTTGCACAAACATTCATTAAAATTGTCATTAGTTTATATATATATTACCATTAAACATTACAAGACGAAGTTAAAACACCAAAAAACTGATCTCCATAAGTTTAGTACATAACTGATTTTCATGCTGAAGCCATGATAATGATCATGTGTTTCTACCATTATTAATTTGATTTATTACTTTTTTATTATTACAAAATATAATAATAGCCTCATTAATATTGTATGGTTATGCAAGTACCCACAGCAAAAGTCCAATGGGTGTATATCAAATCACCAAATAAACAAAACATGCCATATACTATTGTGTCTTCAATAACAAAGACATCAATACAATTGCATTAATCTTTATTTTCAATAATTATACTTTCAAATGCATATTATTCAAGTTTTCCAGAATATAAGCTCATGCAACTACTTGCATCATCCATTAAGGAAACTGGGACAGGAAATTGACATTCTCTTCAACAAAGCAGAATAACATAATAAAAGGCTCTATAAAATTATAAATAATATGAGAATGTTTCACCTTCTCATCAGAGACGCTGCCAATGTCGTTAATAGTATAATTTCCGTCGTCAACCTCTCCGTTCTCTCCATTACTCCGACGGGTTTTCACCATTGCAATGCTTGGTTGGTAACGTTACATTCGAAACCGCAAACCCGTAGTGTAATAAAAGAATAATAATTAAACACAAAATGTGTTACAGGCGCTTCTCGACACAGTTTTTGAGTAAGTACTTAGGTCGTAACGTAACTAATACAATAAAGGACGAGCGTAATCGTTTGCACATGTCGCCATAAACGCCATGTTAAACAGACAATGAAATGCTAGATGTTAATACTTTTGAATGATTCAACTCACCAATTAAAACTACCACACTTAATGAACAGACAAAATTTAGGTCTTTATTACAACAAAAAAATAAAATCAGTTAAGTAAAACAAAATCTTTATACAAATTCAGCGAGTTACACCTACACGATGTTTTTATTGACAATGACAACCATGACAACTGACTGTCAAAATAAAGTCAGTATAATTTTTTTTTTTTTATATTTTTCCCACGTTATGTCAATACTTGGCAAAAAAGTCTAGAACACACTTTTTTTTTAAATGGTGAATTTCACGTTGACTTGGTATAGATTAGCTATGCAAAGTGCCATTAAAACTAAGAAGAAGATGTATAGATTAACTGTTTTCCCGCGACTTCGCACTCATAAATTATAACCTATGTCAACTCCGTATGATGTAGTTTTCCGTAGGTGAAAGAATTTTTAAAATCGATCTAATAGTTTCGGAGCCCATTCAGTGCAAACAAAATAATATTAGTATAGATATTATAATAATTATAACAAAATAATCTACTCATAGAAAAATTCTCAATCATTTTAAATGTATTGTTACGAGCCAGGTTTCGGAATAAAAATTAAGGTAAATAAAGAAGTATTTTTAAAAAAAGTACATTAATTTATGTCCCTCGATGGGAGTTCATTTTTTTCCCTTTTTATTAATGGCTTATCTGTGCATTTCGCACAATTCTGTCAATGTCAAGTGAATTAATTAATTTTTACATGTAAAATGAAATGAAAAAAATGAAAGATTGCGATGGAGCAGCCAGGAGGACACTCCGGAGCACAAATTATAGCCTCTAAATAGCGATTCATGACGTTAAACCAAAGAGAATAAAATTGTCAATATTGTTATGGATCTGATAACTATAATAATTATTGAGTTAAAATTCAGTGAGAAGGTATTTAAAAAATAAAAATTAGCTCTTGGAATCAAACTAGATATCACTAACGATGTGTGAATAATGATGAAATATAAAAAAAAAAACATTAGTTCCCGAAATCAATGTAGCTACGGTACGTTCTTGATTTTCCCGTGATAACCCTTCCAGTTGTCTCAATAAAGAACTCATATTCTATTTGTACTTATTCGTCTTTGTGTTGATATCTAAGTTTTGAATTTTTCAAATTCCAGTTTTTTAATATTTTAGTTAAAGGGATAGGAAATGACGTTCTTTAGTTCATTCGTTTCCTGAAAAAATCAACTTTTGCTAGAGTGGCCATCTAGTGGAGTTGGTTTTTTAGCGCTTTCGTTTTTTTTTTAATGCTTTCTAATTGTCTATCTATGATATTCATTCAAATTTTCTTTCTGATCTAATAAAAGTAAATTGAGTACAGAAGATTAACAAATATGACATCGTTTCGTTTTTCTATAATATCTTACTTTCTGATTAATTTAAAATTCATTTGAATCGTAAGTTTAAGTTATTTATTATGTTACGTGTAAAGGAATGTTTGGTTAATAATAGGTACATTAGTGATGAGCCAACTAATTACTTGCTCGTAACTTTAATTGACTCGATACATCTGAATTCAGGTTTTGAATCAAGAACACAAAGCGGAGCGCAGCATTCAGCTTGTTTTTTATGTGCAGTATTTCCATATGTGCCATTATGCATCCACCCATCGAATTATATGTATACCGGATTCATTTAAAATGACTCTCCAAATTTTTCTAGGTATTAGATATCGTTAATAGATCACATATATGAAAAAAAAACGATATGTAAAATTTTCAAAATAAAATGTACACTTGTTGCAATTACAAGATAATTATAACATTCGCATTGTCACATTAGTTATGAATAAAACAAGCAGAGGTAGCAAGGGCGCGTGCGCAGGGGATGTACGCGCATGCGCCAACGACGATGTCTGCTCGGTTTTTTATTTTGTCGGCGCACATCAGTCGCCCGCGCACAACCCCTTTGAACGCACGCGTTTCCGCCTTTGCTTCCGTGTTGCGCGCCGCCCGCCGCAGCCCCACATTTCGCGCGTCGTAATGTATACCAATCGCGAATATTATGAAATGGTGTGGTGTTACATACATATTGATCGATGGATTGGACGCGGAGGCCCCATCGTGTGGCCTGCGCAATCGCCGAACCTAACACCGTGTGAATTTTGTTTGTGGGGCGAAATTAAAAGACGTGTATATGTTGAGGAAGCACAAAGCCTCGAGGACTTAAAAGTGCAAATCAGAGCGGCATTTAACTAAGTGAAAAATGACACGGTAGTGCTCACAAAATACATAAAGTTGATGATTTTTTAAATACGCCTGATTGCAAAAGAATAGCGAGTTAAATACCTACTTTGAATTGGTTTAACTAAACAGAATTTTAGGTAACTCGATATTTACTTACTTTATAAATTTAAAGCAGTATAGCTTTTGTAATAGTAGGAATCTAATAGGATTTTTGCAATTTGACGGTCTTAAGCCCGTAAAATTATGAAGAGGTTTCAACTTTATGTACCATTTCCCCAAGCATGACAAAACGAAAACACTTTAGGTAGCTGCTACTAGCACACCAACTACGGTCAACGCAAGCATACTTGTATTACTATCAATGAATTGCGGGAAGGGAGGGAGGGGTAAGTGTAACATAGCGCGTAAAGCGCATGTACTGGGCAGCAAGAGCGTCCACAAATGTAAGTATTTTGAAAATAACTTGGTGATGATATAACTCAACATTTTTGTTCTAAACGACATAAAAAGACAAAACCCGTATTTCATTATTTGTCGTAAAGATTAACATACTCAAATTTGAAGAGTGGTTTTAAATGCTTCCTGTATAAATATTAAAATAAATTCAGTCTAGGATGTTACATAGTACTTGTGAAAATCGAAAACTTTGACAACGGTTCGCAAAACTAAGGCGGGAGACCTTGTACTGAGAAGAACCGGTAAGAACACAGAGAAATCTTATGGGACACAGAGAAATCTTATGGGAATGTAGCTTAATTAGACTATGAAGTCACTTTACATTATATTATCAGAAAACCTACATAGTCATTGACAAATCAATATAAAATATTCATTAAATTGAGTAGGTAGGTTTCTCAAAGTTAAGTCTATTTTTGTATCAAATTTCATTAAGATGGGTTCAGTTGCGAACTAATTTTGATAATGACAATTTTCCATGCAAACTTTCACCCCCTATTTCCACCTATTTTTCGTGATAAAATGTAGCCTATGTCCTTTTTAAGGTTAAGTCTATTTCTATATAAATTTCCATTAAGATGGATTCATTTGTTTAGGCGTCTAAGCGTAACACCAGATATTTGTCTTACATTAAGTTATCGATACTTTTAATACGATTCTAGAATCTAACAAAATATCGATTCTATAACCATACGATGATCAAATTAGAACTATATAGGCATGTCGATTCACTTGAAAAAAAATCGATCTCTGAATCGATTCGAATCGAATATACTGGAATTGATTCTCGATTAAATCAAGCATAAAAAGAGCGATATTTGATTAATCGCGAATTTTTCAATCAAACATGCCTTATATAGACACAGAGCATTATTGATGATAATTTATCGTTAATACAAGTAATGCAGGAATCGTAGGAAACCAATCAGGCAGTTTTTGATAATAGATGGGTGATGTATGTGTGATTTCACGAGCTGGAGTAACAGTGACAGTAGTTACAACTGTACTATACTGAAATACGAATGGGTTCATAAATATTTATTTTATGCGTTCAAATTATCAATACGTCTGATAACATCAACATCAATTAATAATTCTTATTAACATTATATTGGTTGAATTTTGTTTATACTCGGTGGAACAGAACGACCGACACTCCCGAGGTTCCTGGAGAGTACTATTTGTCTTTAATATGATGTAAAAAATTATAAGTCTAGGTCAAATAGTTTCGGAGATATTAATATACAAAGTTTTTGAAAAAAAGTGAGTGTTTTCAACCCTGAGTCAGCTGTTTTTGGAACGTACTAAGGAAAAGTTTTTAATCGGTCATTGACTTCCTCATTTCTAAAAACGAAATAAACTAGTTTGTGATTTATAAGACTGCGTTCATGCAAATTCTACCAGTCAATCAATAAACAAAGCAGTCAAAATGCTTAAATCGATTTACAGACTAACAGCCGGTTTATGATTTGAAATAAGTAGAACATTTCTACTGCTTATTCTCAATAACCTAAGTTTTTTTAATTTCATAAGTCAAATAGTCTTAGTTTTATCAAACTACTATCAACTGATCATCAAAAAACTAAAATCGGAAACGAAAACTAAGTGATATTAGTTTGAGACGTTTAACTTTAAATACTCAATTAAGAAACAGAGTGTAAAATTTCCTAAATTATTGTAGAGAGATCAGTCTAACATTAACCTACGTTATTTTAAAAAAGCAGTTCTTCATAAAAATTGTTTGAATGGGGTAATGATCCTTTAACAACGGGATCATTAATAAAACTCGATAAACTCACAAATCTTCCAGCGATTCATCATTAACACAAATGAACTTTGTTTTAAAAACATTGAGGAATTTGCTTTTAAAATAGCATTTAAAAAGAACATTAAAAATGCGTGATATCAAAAGACGAATAAAAAAAATATGAACAGAGTTCGTCCCTCAATATCAAAGCCCCACCCACCCGCCAGCCGCCAGGCGGCTTCATTATTCTGTTGGTATTGTCCGGCCGATTAGTCGCCGCCGACCTTTTGCGCTGGAGTGTTGTTGCGCATCGCCGCCGACGCACCGCTGCGAAGCGTCTTTTTTGTCGATTTTTGTTTTGTTCTAGTGTATTTTTAATTGAATTTTTGTTAATAAGATACTAGAGTGTTTGTCTTGAGTGTTAAGTTTAGTTTAGTGAAGATTGTGTTTAGTTTTGTGTGAAATGTGATGTGTTTTGCGCGTGCATACACTGGCATGCAAAAGAACGTGCTTAGCTGTCTTCTGAGCGTGCTTCAGAGAAGAATTGAATATTTTCAGCATCGACTATCATTAAGATATCGGTAAATAATAAAATAAAATTAATGTATTTCGCCGTCTGTTGTAATCTGCGCACAATCGATATTGCGCATGCGCGTTAAAGGGCTGTCAACACTTAGAAATTTAAAATTTTTACTCCATTTGTACACCTCCTCCATTTTTAAATATTTGTCAAATAAAATGAACGTTTGCATGTAACCTAACTTGAAACTTTCGGCTGTGTCGGTCATTTTGTTCCTCCCTGTATATTATTCCATGTCAAGTAATAACCCCTAATTAACTATTCATTCATTCACCACACATAATATAAAAATATTAGTTTTATTTCTCTGTAAGTTCAGCAAACAACTATGTACTTGTACTAACAACAAAGCTAACTTACCTAGTTGGTATTGTTTTCAGTTTTTTTTTAAATATTAAAAATACCTAGACCTGCAATGGCGTAAGTATTTTATTTATAACAACTTTTTCACGGTAATATTATTGTATACCGTAACTAAATGCTACTTTTAATAATTTCAGATATGCCTCTCGATCAGGCCACCTATCCCTTTGGATTCTTAAACTGTAATAGCCATTTCAACACGGCATGATCAGTTCGAAGATGAAACTTACGCCACAGTAGATATTTTTTTAAACCCTGAAATGTTTAACCATAGCTAAAAGTTTTTTTCTTGTGACGCAGTAGTTCTTTTCTGGCTTGAATGATGCTTTACTGAAGAAGGCTATTACAACTTCGTAGTCTCGTTGCGCTGCGATAAAAAACCACCGATTTCGGTGTTGCTCGCATCTGTGTCGACCATAAATTCATTCTCCGCATCTGGAGAGGGTGTAAGGGGGTCCGAACAACATCTAACGGATCCCAAGCCAACCTCACCTGCACACGGTACACCCTGCCGACTAACCAACGAGGCTCTGGCGCTCCCCACCAAATCACACTAGGCCAGCGTGGTGGGAAACGGCCCAAAACCCTTCAAAGATTTGAAAATAGACCCAACCGAAAGGCCCCAAGTGCCCGGCGGTGCCGTAAGCCGTGCCGGCGCGGATGGACGCCGACACGGCAAAGGCACCAGGGGCGCATTGAATCTAAACGTAAAAGCGGAACGGTATCGACTGGTGAAATCTACGCTCCGTCCTGAAGCCACCCAGATCTAGGACCCCGAGCACTTTCAGCTCGAGCTTCAAAATCGCTTCGATTACCTGGAGAGCTGCTCGGATGTGGACGAATACAATGACAGGCTCGTAGAAGCTGTCGTTACGGTGGATTCAAAATTTCTCAAACTTACTCGTACTTAAACGTACTCAAAGGAGAAGCAAGATCTTGGAGCAGACAAGCAAGCTAATGGACGAAAGGCGTGGAAAGGTTCTGCAGTCTTCCGAAGATGCTCGTCGGCAACTCAATAGACAAATTTAGAAGTCTCACGCGACATACGCCAATTTAATACTCAATGTATTAAGGAGGCGATTGAGCGGAATAAAGGCTCCATAGTGTTCGCTAGAGATCTGTCTCTCGGTCAGAGCTTGCTGATGAAGCTGAAGACAGAGGACGGCAGAGTCGTTACTGCCGTCCTGAGCTTGTGGCCGAGATCGCCTATGAGAAAGCCTTTGACTCCGTCGAGACCTGGGCCGTGCTTAGGTCACTCCAGAGGTGCCAAATAGACTTTCGATACATCCACAGAAATATATCTAGTTAGAAGGAAAAAGTGTACGTACTTCGCGTGCCGAAACGACGTCTAGACAGCTTCATTGCTCGCCGCGAGGCTTAGTCCACTTTCGATCGCAATCGGTGTTGGACGATATTTAAAATGATGCGTTGTTCGATAATTACCTGCTCAAACACCACCAATATGGTTGGATCTTATAGTCGAGGTATTTCTTTCCATCGGTAAGTAACTATTTGCCTTGATATATCTATTTTGAATTAAAAATCATAAGTTTTGTTGCTCCGTATTATTTTTATCAAAACGGTCATGTGTCTAGTAATAGCTTTCCATTGCGGCTTTAATTTGACAGTCCAAATTTGCTGTGCTTGTAAAACCATCGATGTATAATTCAAGGTCAATTTGTTGGAGGCCAAAAATGGAGAATAGTGCTGTACAATGCGATTTTTATACCCGATTAAAAAAATATCGTTTTTGAAAGCAGAAGAAAGGATAATTAATTTTATATTAAATTATACTGTAATTTTTGTTTTAGTTTTCCGTATGATCCTAATATTAAAAATAAATGGATTGAAGCAACAGGACTCTAAGGCCAATAGTAGGTATACTTACTGGATATGGAAACTTTAACAAACACCTATATAACATGGGTTATTCTGACAGTCCTCTGAGCAGGGCGTGCATGGAGACTGAGGAGATTGTCTCCTCAGTCTCCATTCCAGTATCACATAAGCGCTTGTGCACTCATGTGATACTGGAATGCAGGAGCCTATTAAGACAAAAGAACTACATATCTATGAAGCCCAAGGATACTAGTGGAAGCATGCGGCAGAGTTCGAGATCTTACGGGCTTCCTGGAGGAGCTGGGGTGGCAGGACTAAAGCAACCCCGTGTCTGGAAAATAGGAACTGAGTATCGAGTTGCAGAAAAGCCCGCCGTGAAACATAACATAACAACACAGGACGTAAAAATGTGTAGCGTGTCGGGAGGGGGTAGCGGCTACTACAAAGTGTTTGCCCACAGAAAAATGCCGATTTCTATTCTATCGCATAAAATCTTTTTTGCGCCGATTCACTAAATTACATACGTGAGTTCGTGACATATACATAATATTTAAGCAAAATGGTAGTCTGTCTATAAAGTCATGAAAAAAATTAAGGGCGCTTCGATCGTGCACGTAGCAACCCTGTGTAGTGAGACAAATGATTTTGATAGTAGGTTTTTTTTTTACTTTTATTACCCCAGAAAAGGTAAAGAAAGGCGTATAATTCGTAGACAATGAGTTTATTCTACATTGAAGATTACAATATAGTAATCGTAATTTTTGATAAATCTTTTTTTTTTATAATTGCCAAGTTGTTTTCTCGTTTTACTGCAATGTGTGCTTGTGTTCGATTAAAGCCTGTAACTTTGACACTCCTTGTAAGAAAACCCAATATATTTCAGAATTTAACGCAGAACTTCTAGGCTACAATTAAAATCCAGATCGGTTTTGGCAATCCACTGATGTTTTCTTCATGTAGGTACCTCTTTTTTTCACAGAGTAAAAGAACTGAATCTTTTGTCGAAGTGCACAAATGTTGCAGTTAACAATTTATTTCTTAGGACGACTATCTATGTTTCCCAGGGGTTTCAAATATGCCACCATTTTCATAACCTTCATCTACAATACGTAGCACTATATTCTCTGATTTTCCTGAAAGTAAGTTTTAAAAATGTAATTCCTATAGGTATTTGGCAAAACGAATGGAATCGCCACAATGATCAAATTAATGCTATAATTTTAGTAATATAAAGCACAAACTTTTTATTGGTGTACATAGGTAAAAATCGTACATTCCTAAAAGGTATATTTTTTATTCAGATTAAAATCAATGATAAATTTGATTATCCAAAAGTATTGAAAGTTCGGCCCGCACTACAGTATAGCCTTCTAACATTTTCAATCTAACTTATAAATGCATAATGTAATCAATACTTCTTTTAGACTTAAATTCATATATTTAGTAAATTTGAAACTTCTGGTAACCAAAACTCAATCAGTAACACGATTACATACCAGCCATAACTGCCGTTCGAGCTTTAACATCCTACAAATATGATAAAATGTGTCCAGCTTCTTGTTCCAATAAACATCACTGAAAAACTTTATAAATAATATCCTGAGCTTCACTCTGATTAATTCTCTTCATTTTTAACACTTTTCGACGGAGTTTAGAAGAAGTAGCTTCAGTTTAATCAAAACAAATCAAAAATGCAGAAAATCGAGCTAAAAAATCAAGTTGTTGACAGTCGATGTACTTTGATTCAGTGTTGTGATACTTGTGTCTAATGTTAGTTCCTCAAACATTCTTTTCATGACTTTATAGACAGAATGTACACGTTGGTCTCCGTCGATCGATATCGTTTTTCAATCGATAAGAATCGGTATGCCGTTTCAAATACAACATGTATTCGATGCAAGTGAAATTATGTCTTTCATCACTAAATTAAGATCGTGACGTCATGATACCTACACAAAATGTGGCACGCTCGGTCTCCATATAAATCGACGAACATTTTCCTTCTAACTAGATTTATTTCTGTGGATACATCCAAGTGTTGCAGTCACTGTATGAAAACGTTACCATGTCAGTTCGGCTCCAGGACCAAAACTTGAAAGCAATACGACTTCAGCGTGGAGTGAGACAGGACGATGTTATATCGCCAAAACTGTTCACTGCCACACTGGAGAACGTATTTAATGACTGTCTTTGATTCATTAGTTTTCTACAAAAATTAACTTTCGCTAGAATCGCCATCCGGCGGAGGTGTTTTTTTAGTGTTTTCTTTTTTTTAATACTTCCTCATTGCGAACCTCAAGTGGCAGTGGGCAGTAACCATAACTCTCTCTTACCGATCTGAAATATATATATCATATAAAAATATTAAAAATCTACATTCAAAAAAAGGTCAAGGACATCTACTCAACTTACTGCATGTATTTAGTTATATTATCTATTAATAAGTATATTATATTCACCAATAAGGAGTGGGCATATTGTATTTAACAATCTTACTAGAACTTAAATAAAAATTTTCTTAGGTTACATTACAGTTTTAAATAAGTAATTTGAAATAAAATGCAATAGGTTTAATATTACTAAATAGACAACAAAACATTATCTGCGGCGATGAAATTACTATTAATCTATAAATAATCATAGGCAACCATAAATCCATCTATTATAGGTAGGTTATCCAACTGCCTTTTTTCGAATTCCTCATCCATTTTAATTCATTGGATAAATACTCTAATACAAGCAAATAACATATAGCGAGTAGCGCTCTCGGTTAGACAGAGTGTTGGAAAATTACGTCACACTCCTGCTACGTGTTTGTGAACGGCCTCGAATTGTTTGCAAATTTCAAATGTCTGTACAATCATAACTGCTTGTTTGTTTTTTTTATGACACTAAAATTAGTGTATTTGTATACATAAGAACTTTACTGTGACGAATTTTGAAGCATTAATTAATTCTATAACTATTTTTGGAAACTGACTAATGTAGGCCAAGACGACAAAGCCGAGGCTGTTAAACATTAAAAAAACGGATGACGATGACATGAGTTTTCGATAGATTTTGCGAAAAAGTCAGATTTGGCTGTATGGCTTAGTTCCTTCGCATATCCCAATATCGAAATAGTACCTTCTTCTTGGTCTGTGACTATAAGATAAGCAAAAACTTTACTCTTTGGGTATATTGTTATTGTTTATTAATTAATTTAATTTTCTGTGTGATTCGGGGGGATGTTTATTAATGTAATATTTCCTAATCATTGTAAACACCAAAGAAAATTTAAAGAGTAAAACACGAGGACATTATTAATATGAATGAAGCTTCTAATGACTCCATTACTTCAACTTCTGAAAGCAGAAAGGATTTTGTGGTATCTCAGAAACATGGTACGGATTTGGATGAAGAAATATCGGCCCGTATGACGGCATCTTATAGTGAAATATCTTTCCATTCTGATCAAGACGGTGGCACTATAATCAATGAGGAACAGAAAACGGCTGGACCATCAAGGCCATATGATTTACCTTCGGAACATCGTAAACAAGAAAAATTTCCTTTAGACATGGATGGACATGTCCGCTACGAAGGCGACATGACACATTATGTTGCTGATGATTTAGAATTTAAAATAAAGCTTTCTAGTCCTGTTACAAAACGAGGTGATACTCCTGTATTTGGTAGTTCAAGTGCTTCAAGATCGAGCACTCCATCTGGAAAACTTTATAGGCAAATTTTAGCACCACAAATAGGGCAAATTGACATAACTGTTTTAAATGATCTCGAATATGAAGCCCAAAAAATTGCACAGTCTGTAGATAATTTAATAGAAAATTTGTCTAGTATTTTACATTCTAATTCTTCACTGACGGCTGAAAATATGGAAGTTTATAAAGATGCTGTTGGTAAAACATGTGATGCTATGGATAATAATATTAAAAGCATGTATACTATTCTTGCCAAAGGTGAAGAGGTTTCACAAGCTATGGTCCCTGTACAAGCACAAGCTGCAAGGATTACAGAAATCAAGAGATTACTTCAAATTTTTGAAAATAACTTCTAAGTGTAATTACAATTTTGTTATAACATCAATATTTTTAAATATATGATTATTTCAGGAGTAGACTTATAGTGCAATAACAATATGCAAAGTTTAATGGACACATTTTTCATTAAAATAATGTTACTACATTTTGAAACACATGAAGACTGTGTAATTTTACATGACTGCCCAAAAAGAAGTGTGTTTCGGGTTAATGTATTTGATTAAAAATATACTTGTTTCTTATATTTTCATGCATACTACTCATTATATAAAACTGCTTCATGAAAAAAGATGTTATTTTTAAACAAATTAAATAATTACATTACTATTAAACCATACAACCATATTTATTAATTAAAAATGTGATTTATGCCTTATCTCTTTGGAATTCTGCATTCGGAACTGAAAAAGACAAAAAAAATGCCAAAACTTGAGATTGTTCAGGTAATAATTGGAGAGCTTATGGAAAAAAAGGGCAAGAGCTTCGATTTTTCGTACTTTACATAGAAATATGATACTTAGCTATACCCCGTCGCCTTATAGTACCTTAGATAGTCTCCGAAATCAAACTATAATAGATATCACGTCGGTACTTTCTTGATTTCTCCATGACAACCCTTTCGGTTTAGTTTCATGTAAAAAGGTAAATTAGTTTTCAAAACTCAATAAACTATTCATTTTCGTATTTGTATTGATATCTAAGTTTCGAACTTTAAAAATTTCAGTTTTTTAATATGTTAGTTAAAAGGAACGGAAATGACTCTGGTCCATTCGTTTTCCGCAAAAATCAACTTTTGCTAGAGTCGCCATCTAGTGGTGGTGTTTTTTAGTGCTTTCTTTTTTTTGAATACTTCCTCATTGAATTTAAACTCTAAATTCAACTAATTAGGGATTAAAACCAAATGGAGAAATTCGATAGAATTGTGTTTCATGACGTGCTGTTGACTGTACTACACTGATGTTTTTTATCAGTTACTAGCTTTTGCCCGCGATTTGGTCCGCGTGGTCTAATTTGAAGTCCAGAAATAAAAAAAAATCTATAAAAACTTTCAATCCCTAATTTACCTCCTTAGGGGTTGAATTTCGTAATATCCCATCTTAGTGAGCATCTACGTCCTAAAAAGAAGCCGCATGCAAAATTCTAAACACCTAGCATTTGTAGTAACGAAGTTTCATATCTAAATTATCCCATTCAGGGTGAAATTTTCAAAAAACTCTCTTAGTGCTCTTCTACACTTCCTAATACAAGAATTATATATATCTCCGTTAGGAGTACTTTTTTTTTTTTTTTAGTTAGTTTACTATTATTCTATGATATATATATATAGATGTGCAACTAGGAAATGTCAATCTTAGTGATCTTCTCTTAGACCCTGATAAAAGATAAAGTTTTATCACAAATGTAATAAAGGTTTGTATTAACTGTACAAATTTTAATCGTATGTATGTTTCCTGAAAGCCTAGACGTCGGTGATTTTTTTTATTATTTCAATGTAAATGTTAAAATTTTAGCTTTAATTAAAATTTTATTAAATTAAAACCACTTGTATGCTGATGATCTTCAAATTTATACGCAAGAGAGATTTGATAACTTGAACGATGCTATCCGCAAGATCAATATTGATTTAGATCGTATAGTGAACTGGAGTTCGTCATTTGGTTTGAATGTTAATCCTAAGAAGACTCAGTGTATAATAATTGGCAGCCCTTACTTTGTGTCCAGGATTGATTTCGGGCAGTTGTCGAAAATTACTTTGGACGGGACAGTGATTCCATTTACAGATACGGTGAAAAACCTAGGACTTTTATTTGACAAATCTTTATCCTGGAGACCACAAGTTGCAGAAGTTAGTAGACGAATGTTTGCTTCAGCTGGGGCACTGCGGCGCTTACGTAACTTCTTACCAACTGCCACCAAAATTACTCTTGCACAATCCCTACTTCTACCTATACTCGATTATGCAGATGTGTGCTATCCAGACCTTACAGTTGAGCTTCTTAATAAGCTAGAACGTCTCCAAAATTTCGCCATAAGGTTCATATTCGGACTGCGTAAATATGACCATGTCTCTCACTATCGTCAAAAGTTGAATTGGTTGACCATTCGCCGACGCAGAGACCTACACATATTATCCCTTCTCTTTTCTGTGCTGTTCAATCCATTGTCACCCAGATATCTCAAGGAGAATTTTAAGTTTCTTTCCTCTACTCACAATCTTCCCCTTCGTTCGTCTGACAATCTCCGCCTTTACATACCGCCTAACTTTTCTCAATTTTACAGCCAATCTTTTACCCTGCGAGCTATCCATTTATGGAATTCTTTACCTGAGAATGTTAGGCGCGCCCAAACGCTGGAGTCTTTCAAATCTCTAGCTGCGAAGTTCTTTTTGTCAGATGAACAGAAATCTACTTGATATGTTGCTTTCTTATCATTGTATGTTTGTTTATTTTATGTAACTTTATTATCATATTTATATTTCTATTAATATTATTAAATTTATTTGTAACGCGCACAGCCTACCTACATTATTGTCATCATTGCTTCTTCCAGTATAGGTTGCCTGGAAGAAATCGCTGTTAAGCGATAAGGCCGCCTATTGTGCAATAGTTTTAATATTTGTAAGTTACTCGTTATTTATTTCTGTTGTGTGTTGTACAATAAAGTGTTTTTATCTTATCTTATCTTATCTTATCTTATCTTAATAAAATTTATGTTTCTAGGAATTCCAAATGTAATTATTTTAGATAAGCGGTAATTTTTCCGATATTTTATTAGTGCAGAAAGGCAATAGGTAAAGGTATGTTGGATTATCACTTTAAGTATGAATTTATAATAACAAAATTTAAGACTTTGAAATTAAGTTTCATTTAAAAAACAATATTACTATGTCATTTCGAAACTCGCTTCACTTATGCCACGAAACGTTAATACTAATTTAAGGTTGAGCGGATGCCGCTTTTTGAAGTGAATTCGGATAACTGAGTGAATTGAAATTCGGGTTTGGATTTTTACAGAATCGCAGGGCTGTACTCGTTTTCCAACTGACAGTGTTATTATGATAGTGGAGAAAATAATCTTTACTAATTTTAGAATATATGCAGATGTGGAGGCATTTAGTGTGATTTATTTAATGCAAGAGGAAGTCTCATTTGAATTTTTACTTCAAAAATGTGTGTAAAGAACTTAATAATTGATAAAGTTAAAATTGAAAAATAAATAAGCTTATTATATTTGATGAATTTTGCATTCACATTGCTATACTGAAAAAAAAATCTTAATGAAAAAACACTCTGAGATATGACTCGAACCCATGACCTTTCACAATCTTAATGAAAAATGTCATTTACAGTCACTAAGTCTATAAGCCTATATTGTTTTACAATAGTGAGATTTTTAATGACACTACAGGCCTAATACACTATAGAATGACTGACACTACAGGCCTAATACACTATAGACTGACTGACACTAATAAAGTTTTCGAATCAAAAATTCGCCGATAAATTATAGGAAAATCAGCGCTTAGCCCATATACCTAATCAGTTTTTGTACTCCCATACTCCATTTATTATAATAACATTAGAAAAAGGAGATAGCAGGAGCAGGGGTGCAAAATATTTTATTTTTAAGATAAATAATAAAAAATAATTAATTGGAGTAGTTTTGTTAAAATCTGTAATAATATTATTAGTCAACATTAGGTAGTCTGAAAGAGTAGGGTAATTTCCCTTCTTTACGGTGTTGAGATGGGACTGATATTTGTTCGAGCAAGGAGTTTTTACTTGTTTATAAAATACTTTTTATAGAACAGTTTTACTCTTCTGATCTATTTTTTGACACAATGTTTTTTTTGTGATTAGTTATCCATGCCTATTGTTTTTTTACTTCACTTCTATTTTGGTGTTCTTGCAAAACATAAATAAAATTTAAAAAATCTTTATTTAATCATGTTCGTCATAGTATCCACTTTAAATCCAATTGAAACATCGGTGGACCAGAATAGGGTATTTGACACTATCGAAAATAAGTTTCATTTTGCGGTCATCCTGATAGATAATAATCTAATAAAGCTTATTTCTTAACATCTGCAGAAAAAACATGTTTAGATTTAGTAAAATAACGTAAAGAAAATGCAATATTTTTAGGAATTTATTCAACGACGAAAACGTCCTATAATTGGTCATCGTCACAACCAATCAGGATTCTGTTTACTGGCCTGTGACGTCATCAGCTGTCAAAGTAGTGTTAGGAGATACATAAAATATCGATGCCTGTAGGTATCGAGTACTTTATAGTAATTTACTGATAACAGAATACTTTGCCGCTTCTACTGATAAGAACTGCCAAAAAGAAATACAGAAAAAAAGAATAATTGACTAAGCTTTTTAAAAAATCCAAGAAATAGGGAAAACGCCTGCAATTTAAAAAAGAGCAACTTACATGTTTTTATGATTTCTTGAATTTTACTATAATAATTCAAAATTACAAAGTCGAATTTGATGATATATACTGTTCTCCAAGTTAAAAACTAATTTTAAAAAATCATCGGTTTCTGATATGTAATTATCAAATGCCATGCATTTAGTGGACAGACATACTACATGCATGTATAAAAAAAAATAGAATATTCTTTTTCGTACTAATGTCTCATCCATCTGTAGGTCGACAGGCTGTAAAGTGCGAGCCCTGTCAACAAATATAAATGAGTCGTAAAATGTTAATGACAAAGAAAAAAACCAAAAAGAAAACCTTCAAATGTATCGATACGAAATAAAAAAGTTTCAACACATTTAGCGAATCCTTTCCTAATTTTACCACCCATCTCTTCTCTATATAGCTACTATACAATTGTGATTGTGAATCTATTTTCTTCTAGCCTAGAAGTTTGTTTGTTATTTATAGAAGTATTAGTACATTGTGGCACTACGCACCACTTGTAGCTCACTTTTTAAAGAAAACCAGAGTAGAGGAAAATAATAAACCTAAAAAATACGCACTACGACCTCAATTTCTCTTTTAAATTATTGTTTCAATTTACTCTAGGGATGATCGATATTCATCGATGTTGAATAAACATCGATGTTTTAAATTGGATAACATCGGCTCATCGATGTTTTCGTGCCAAACATCGAGTTTATGAAAAAATGTCAAGATTTGGGCCATCTAACGTGCTCCAGATGTACTAGCTAGATGATCTCGTATAGCAAGTTCAACTATTTTATATTAGATGTCACCGGTTGCACTCGTTACTGGAGTACGCAAACAAATATTTTTTTCTTTGCTTGCATTTTCCTAGGAAATTAGAAATAAATCTGTCAGCTTCAGCGCTCGTTGGTATCTTATAAGTTACTTTATTCACCGGTCTTAGTTTCAAAGATTCTTACATAAGATAGTTCCACCTGCGTCATTTATGAAAAAGGTCATTTATGTATATAAAAAAAAGTTACTTTATGATCGTTGGGCTCGTTCTCTCTCCGTGAAACTCCCGCGTGATTTTTTTAGACACTTGTCTTATTCCATTACTTTTATTTTAAAGGATAGAATCCACTTATCCCACATTAAAAAAGATTGCATTTAAATATTTCTGTTGCACAGCGACTTCCACGGCTTCAGAGACTCTTTTTTCTAAAGCTGGTCAATTCCTTTAACAGCAACGCAATCGATGTCTGGGGAACATCGATGGTTTTCATCGAATGTTGACTTCGATGTCAATATCGATGTTTTTCCAATATCGATCATCCCTAATTTACTCTAAAGACAGTTGTTACTTATCGATTTAACATATTTACTGGCCTGTGACGTCACGATTAGCGCCATTACATAGAGCAGCGTTTTTCGCGCGGTTTTGGCTATTTAAATTTTAACAATTATTTTCACCAAAAATAGAAAAGATTCCAATGAAATATTATGACAGTGTGTTTAAAATGTAGCAAACAACGATTTAAAATAGTTTTCAGAAAAGTGTCAAATACCCTATTGGGGTTCACCAATAATATTAATACCATAGAACTAATTCTATCTATCTGTTGTTTTGATAAATTCTTATTGTAAGTGTAACTAGTCTAAAATTTAGTACTATCTCAGCAAAGAATGATAAATAAAATGAGAATTTATTTTTCGTTTTATACCATTTACTTAGACATTATACCATCAAACTATCAATTGGATAAACTTTTTAAATGTCCAAGGGTTAAGTTAGGTATGTGGGTTTCAATTTTTTACACTGAGACGCCATTATTGGTTCTTTTTAAGTGGCACTTGATAATTTAAGTTTTAAATTTATTTATTATTGTCCTAAATTTATTTAACGGATCGCTTAGACGATTACATTACAACAACAGTTAAAAAGATTTGACTTTTGGTAGATAAATACCATATCATAAATTAGACATCAATCTCAATAGTAATATGATTATTGATATTTTGTCATAAAGAATATCCTTTTTTTTAGCTATAACATTTCATCGACCTGCACAAAAAGCCGACTAAACCCGGGCTCTCCCACTGCATGGGACGGCGGTCCAGTGCAGTGGGCCTACCGTGTAAAGCCCTCCGTACTACCCTCTCGCCTAGTCCGGTACCTGGTATCTTAAAATAAGTCCCAGGTAGTTACCCTAGAAAGAACCTAATTTAACTTCTGTCTAATGTTTAAGTAAATCGAGTGTAGGTTTAGTATGGGGCATGTCAAAGTTGGTTTGCAATAGCCGTTCATATGGTTGCCAACCGTCAACGTCACCATGGTTGGAGCTTCGATTCGCAACCATGTGGACGTCTTTTTAACTCGTTTGTAGTCTTTTCTAAACGCATGTCTTTAAGTTTGTGCATAGCTTCTTCTTCTTTTTTAATTAATGGCTTATCTGCGCATTTCGCACAATTCTGCCAAAGTCAAGTAAATAAATTAATTTTTACATGTAAAATGAAAATTAAATGAATGAAAGATGGCGATGATACTCTGTGCATAGATGGTAGTGGATCGTTCTGTCAAAGTCATAGAGAAATAGAGAATATTTATCTCTTGGAGTAAATGTGTTCTGTGATATTTATCAAAGTGTCAGTGGCATCGACCGAGGTGGTTGTGTAGTAATAACGTAGGAAAATGTGGTCTACAGCAGAAACGAAGATTAAAACAATAAAATGATTGTTCAGAATACTTTAAATCTAAATAAACAGTTACTGGTCTCATGACCATTTAACTGCCATTGCTGTATAAAATAAGCCAAATGGGTGACGTTGTAAGCTTATTTTCTGTGATAATAATGAAATTTAAATCTAAGTTCAATGAAAGTAAAATTTATTTCCACTATGATCTTCCCTGGGAAAAGCTGAAGAACGTGAAATGGATGAACGAAAGGGCCACATCTAATAAGGCGTACGTTCCAACTACTGTAAGTAAATATGGGAATTTTTATTTTATAGTGTAATGTTATAATTTACAGATCTTGAAGGGTCTTTTGCCTCCAAAAATTACGGTTGTGTCTATAAAATCAGACACAACAGTAATTTTTATGGTATTATTACAGAATTATTTGTGGTTTATATTATTATAATATAGAACATTTTTCACCATATTTTGTAATTATATGTGTTAGATTTGATTGGGCTAAACTATGAAATGTACGAGCATAAAAAAAAATACTTTATAGTAGTATGTATTTATTTATTACTTGTCATTTGGTATATTACTTTAAAGGGTAATAATTCAAAATCACCAACATATTTGACTCTGTATATTTAATATTGAACCTAACCTGAATTGGAAGTAACCTAATAAAAACACCCAAAACATTGCATGTACAAGCATTACCTAATCAGAGTTTCAATTATTTATTAATTGATAATGTAAACCAACTTTAATAAACCAATGTTATTCTACATTGTTACCTATATATGTAGTTACATATATTAATGGTATTTAAATGCAACCATCACTTAAAGGTACACTGCATCTTAGAACTTCTTTACAGTAATTATCATGATAGGCCATAGGAAATTAATAACAACTCTTTATAGTAATTCAGTTGATGAATGAGTCTTGTCTGTTGCCTTAAGTTATTAATTACCTAAATCATGAACAGTGGTGTAACTACAGGTTACCACGAAATTACCAAAATACCACGGGCCCCCAGCTGGAAGGGAGTTTGGTCAGAGGAGACTCCTTTCGCCTGACATTTATTATTATGCAATTAGTAAAAAAAATTTAATATCCGATGAATTTGCCACAGGCCTCAAACGGTATAGTTATGCCATTGATCATGAAACCAATTTAAGTGCTGTAAGAAAATAGATAGACCCTTATAATGTCTGAGAGTAACTTATTTATAATTATCTCCTGAAACTAAGAGAATTTATGTTGAGAGTTATTCTCAATGGCCAGATACAGACCCAGCCGGCTGTCTAGCCCATCTGGAATATCCCGAATGATTTAATGACCGCACATATTCAATACAGTAGAACTCCAATTATCCGGATTAATGGGGACCGGGACCCATTCGGATAATCAAATATTCGGATAATCGGATTTTTTTAAAAAAATTGCCATTGGAGAGAATAAAAGCTACGTTTTGATATTGCACTATTTTTTTATTGAATTAAATGAAAGAAACATGAAATTTTCACATGTTTTAAATATAAATAAAATGTACTTATGTACAAGTTTAGAAATAAAAATCATTGTTTTTTAAACATCTCCGTCAATGTAAGCTGTTTTGCGGTCTTCAACCGTTTTCGGGCAGCCAGGTCACGCATTCGCTTGACGGTGAGCAGTTGCAAGTGGTCACACTCGGGCTGACGCTCCATCCACTTCAAAGCAGTCTCGAGGCCGGCAAATGCTTCACTAGCTGATGGTCCAGCGTCTACTTCAACATCAGCAGAAAGTTCTTCTTCCACTTCCACTTCAACATCTTCTCTCACACTTACAACAATTTCATCGTCATTGAGAATTTGAAAACCAGGGTCAGACGTGTCACAAGCCATCCACTCTCCTACATCTTCAGCACTTACTTCTGTACAACCAGGAATTTTTACAATCATTTTTCTTATTTCCTCTAGTGACAACGCATCTTTATCATCATCATCCTCTCCATATTCTTGTTTCTCATTTTCTTCAGATTCTTTTTTTTTGTTCTTCTCAGACGGTAGGCCTTTCAGTTTATTCCACGCACGTCTTAGCGTCACTGCCGTAACCAAACTCCAAGCTTCCGCTACCATGTAACAGCAGTCCTTTAAATTTATTTTGCTATGATTTGCCAAAACCAATTCTTCATCTTCAGCACCTTCGTTCAGCAGTTTTCTCAGCAGTTGCCTTCTGTAATGGCGCTTCATTGTTTCAATAACAGACTGGTCCATGGGTTGCAGCAAACTTGTAACATTGGGAGGCAAAAACGTCGTTTTGAACTGCCCATTCTCTCTTTCCAACAGTTCTGCTGTAGGATGAGTGGGTGCGTTATCAACAATTAAAAGCACCTTACTGCCTTCTTTTCCCACCGATTTTTGGTGCTTTTTCACTTCAGGAATAAACACTTCATCATACCATTCGGTAAACAAAGCTGCAGTCATCCAGGCCTTGGGTTGACTTTTGTAGAAGAGTGGAAGTTTTTTTACGTTTTTAAATGCTCTTGGATTTCTTGATTTTCCTATCAAAAGAAGTGGCAGTTTATGATTTCCAGTGGAGTTGGCACAGTTAAGCACTGTAACACGTTCTTTACTGACCTTATGTCCAGGGGCACTAGATTCCCTTTTAGAAGCCAAAGTGGTTTTTGGTAATGCTTTCCAAACAAGGCCAGTTTCATCGGCATTATAAACAAACTCCGGATCATAGGATTCTGATGCAGTTTTAAATTTTTCAATAAAATTTTCAGCAGCTGCAGAGTCTGCTGAAAGCTTCTCACCAGCCAAATCTAACTCGCGTACACCATGCCTGAATTTAAAATTCCTTAGCCAGCCGTTACTAGCCTTAAAAGATGAATAACCAAGCTTTTCTGCAAAGATTTTGGCTTTTTCACAAAGGATTGGACCTGAAATCGGATTTCCCATAGAACGTTGCTGCAAAAACCATTTAAACACGGCATCTTCCAAATTTTTGTTGGTTGCTGTCTTCATTGTTTTCCTGGAGGAACTTCCATCTTCATTTTCAAGCACCGAAACAAAGTTTAAAAGTGTTGACTTACTGTTTTTAATGTCAGAAATTGTTGCTTGTCCAACACCATAAATCTCAGACAACTTCTTACCCGTTACACCTTTATCGAGTTGCTCTATAATTTTCAGTTTGTCCGCTAACGATAGCACAACACGTTTTCTTTTCGAAGCCATGGTATAAAAACAATACAGTATTGTACACGCACAAACAAAAGTAAGCCGTAGCGAAAGAGTAGCGTCCTCGAGCAAGGTCAATAGCACACTGGCTAATCAAAACAAACAATGACAGGTGCGCCGTGACTGCAATGCGCCGGAACTTGTCTTAACTTGCCGTTGTGCCTACACACGCGGGGGGAAGTCAGTGTAGGCACAACGGCAGGTTAAGACAAGTCAAGTCAAGACTTGACGCGCAAACACTGGCTTCGCGGGGGGGAGAATAATAGCGCACTTAGACTTTTTTTGGACAATTTTTTGTGATTCGGATAATCGGCGATTCGGATAGTCGGAGTTCGGACATTGGGCCGGCGTGGTGGGAGATGGCCCAAAACTCTTCAAAGATCAGAAAATAAACCCAAACGAAAGGCCCCGAGTGCCCGGCGGTGCCGTAAGCCGTGCTGGCGCGGACGGACGCCTACTCGGCGAAGGCACCAGGGGTGCGAAGAATCCCCGGGCGGCAAAGATCCCCCGTCAAACGACCTTGGCCCTGGCAACCTACAACGCACGCACACTGCGGACCGAGGAGAAGCTGCTGGAACTAGAGAAGGAATTGGGCAGGATTCGTTGGAGTATTGTAGGATTATCCGAAGTCCGAAGAGAGGGCGAGGACACGATGATCCTTAAATCCGGTAACCTGCTCTATTTCCGGGAGGGCGAAGATCTGTCCCAAGGTGGTGTCGGGTTTATCGTCCACAAGTCTCTCGTGAACAATATTGTACAGATCGGAAGTGTATCGAATAGGGTGGCGTACCTTATACTCAGAATCACCGAACGGTATTCGCTGAAGGTCATACAGGTTTACGCCCCGACCTCGACGCACCCCGACGAGGAAGTGGAAGCCATGTATTTCCCGGGCAATACATGGTTCCACGACCCACTACACTGTTGTCATGGGAGACTTCAACGCAAGGCTAGGCAAGCGTGGCGATCAGGAGTTGAAGGTGGGGCATTTTGGATCTGGGATCCGGAATCACCGTGGTCATCCCGGACGTCAGTCTATACGAGATTAGTGTGGCTCTCAAACAGCTCAAGAACAACAAGGCGCCAGGGCATGATGGAATCACAGCGGAACTTCTGAAAGCGGGTGGACTACCAGTCCGGAAAGCGCTTCAGAAGCTATTTAATTCCGCCATACTCGAGGGCAAGACGCCGGAAGCATGGCACAGGGGTGTGGTGGTGCTTTTCTTCAAAAAGGGCGACAGGACCCAATTGAAGAATTACAGACCCATCACGCTTCTGAGTCATGTGTACAAGCTGTTTTCGAGAGTCATCACGAATCGTCTCGCACGTAGATTTGACGACTTCCAGCCTCCTGAACAAGCCGGTTTCCGAAAAGGTTACAGTACCATAGACCACATTCATACGCTGCGACAGGTTATACAGAAGACCGAGGAGTATAATCTGCCACTGTGCTTGGCGTTTGTGGACTATGAGAAAGCCTTTGACTCCGTCGAGACCTGGGCTGTACTTAGGTCACTCCAGAGGTGCCAAATAGACTATCGATACATCCAAGTGCTGCAGTCACTGTATGAAAACGCCACCATGACAGTTCGGCTCCAGGACCAAAACTCGAAAGCAATACGACTTCAGCGTGGAGTGAGACAGGGCGACGTTATATCGCCGAAACTGTTTACTGCCGCACTGGAGGACGTGTTTAAGCTTTTGGACTGGAGAGGACTTGGCATCAATATAAACGGCGAGTACATGACGCACCTTCGTTTCGCTGATGATATCGTAGTCATGGCTGAGACCATGGAAGATCTAGGTACAATGCTCGAAGATCTCTGTAGAGTTTCCCAGCAAGTGGGTCTTAAAATGAACATGGAGAAGACAAAAATAATGTCAAACTCCCATGTCGTACCCACTCCAGTGAATGTTGGAGGCTCTACACTGGAAGTTGTCGACGAGTACGTTTACCTGGGACAAATAGTCCGATTAGGTAAGTCCAACTTCCAGAGAGAGGTAAATCGACGGATCCAACTCGGCTGGGCAGCGTTCGGGAAGCTACGCAGTGTATTCTCGGAACATCTACCGCAGTGTCTCAAGACGAAAGTCTTTAATTCGTGCGTGTTGCCAGTGATGACATACGGTGCTGAGACGTGGCCGCTTACGATGGGCCTCATAAGGAAGCTCAAAGTCGCCCAGAGGGCAATGGAAAGGGCTATGCTCGGGGTTTCTTTGCGAGATCGCATCAGAAACGATGAGATCCGCAGAAGAACTAAAGTCACCGACATAGCCCAAAGAATTGCAAACCTCAAGTGGCAGTGGGCAGGGCACATCGCTCGCAGGACTGACGGCCGTTGGGGCGGTAAGGTCCTGGAGTGGCGACCGCGTACCGGGAGACGCAGTGTTGGCAGGCCCCCCACAAGGTGGACCGACGATCTGGTGAAGGTCGCGGGAAGCCGCTGGATGCGGGAGGCGCAGGACCGATCGCTTTGGAGATCTTTGGGGGAGGCCTATGCCCAGCAGTGGGCGTCTCTCGGCTGAAGTGATGATGATGACTACACTTGATTTCAAAAAGACATAGAAATGGTATTTCATTCCTATGTAATTTTGTTTTTTATTTTCAGACACATATATTTAATTAATTTTGTTTTTTATTTTTATATAAAAATTGGAATCATTAGAATATCTACACTAAATGACGTGAGTTAGCGCACATAAGTGTATTCGGATTCAGGTCTGGATTTCTACAGAATCACAGGGCTGTTGTTCAGAAACATCCATTAAAAATAAGTTCAAAAACTAACAAAAGGGCTCAATTAGCGCATGTCAAGTACATGTATATTGATTGTTTTTGCTTGTGATTTTGCTTAAATATACCCGAAAATAATTAAATAAAAAATCTGTTAAGAACTAAAATCCCTCTACAGTTAGGTCATGCTCTAAAATTTTTTAAATAAGACATTTATTTTATAGTTATGGCTATATTATAATAGCGATGACCAAAGGACGGCTTAGTCATATGCCACAACCGTTTGTTTTGTTATAATCAACGGCATATATTTGAAATGTGTCAATTAAGCCCTTTTATTTGAGACCCTACACGGCATGATTGAATAACATATTTTTTTAGTTTCTTACTTTATCTAAAGGGTGCTGTTACCATTTTAATGTAACATCACATAGTCTATAATCTACATAGTATAATGAAACCACATTTGTCCAGTTACGATGAGTAGTTTCGAAGTTATATCCGGTTTTGGGGGACCTCCAAATGGCTGAAGCCATCCGCAAAAATTATAATAATATAATAAAGTAAATGCAATATCAAATTTCTACCCCGGTTGGACAAACTTGTCGATACGGGCCTATTGCTACCCTGGGCCTTCGATTTGGTTAGTCCGCCACTGCCATTGCTTTAGAAATTTTGGGGCTTCTGATCAAAAAACTGTTTTGGTTTTGGCGACCCTCGCATGATGTTAACCTAACACTGCCTTAAGAATACTTAAGCGACCGAAATAAGTGGAAATCTGAAGGTGCAAGGTCAGGACTATACGGCGCATGCATTCGAAAAACCTCCCAGCCAAATTCTCTTAATTTTAGCTAAGTGGCAAAAGATGTGTGAGGTCTAGAGTTATGATGAAAAACCACACCCCTTCTATTGATTAATTCTGGCCGCTTTCTCTCATATTCTTGCTTTAATCTCATCAGTTGTTCGTAGTAGAGTTCAGAATCGATGGTCCTGCCTGGCGGTAACAACTCATAATGAAAATTGCCCTTCTAGTCCCACCATACATAAAACATCACCTCATTGCGAGTTAACCCGAGATTCACCACAGTCTGTGAATCCTGACCGATCTTTGACCACGAACTTTTTCGTACGTTCTTGTCGTACGTGATCCACATTTTCATCACCACCTTCATCAAAAATGGTTTTGTGGTCAATCCCCAGTTCTTCAGCTACAAAAGGAGGGCTATGATGTAGGCTACATTGTTATTACTGATATGCCAATCTTGCTCCATAAATCATAACCCTCTTTTCGTTTGCGCCGTAGTCGGGTAAAAAAAAGAACTCTTTGAAATAATAAAGAAAATAATTTCAAATAAATAACTTGTGACACTGACAATATACTCGTACCAAATTGTACAAAGGTGCTGGTTATTTTTTAATTTGTTTCATTAAAGAAAGGTTGATCTCCCACGATACGAGTACACATATCCAACTCTTCATGAATCTGAAAATACATCTATGCTTCCATGTCTTACAATATCGTAATTCTTATCTGTTTGCATACAATGTTGTTGTAAGTAATGTTATTGTAATAACAAACAACTTTAGGTATCCATCTAGTTTGCCAGAGTGTTGATTTATATTTATCTATCATGTTAAAGATACTTGTTGTTTATTACCTAATGCAAACGTTATCTATCAGTTCATTTAAATATCTATTAATCAGCATTTAGAAATGATAATATGCCGTTGGATCTAGGCGTCGATATTTTCTATAATATAGATATAATATATTTTAACAATTCATCTATTTTCTATCTTTAGGAAATCTTATCGACTAATTTTACAGTAAACATAATATCTTGGTCTACCTTTACGGCGTATATTCAGGCTCTATACGTAGTTTCTTTATTTGTGACAAAAAATATAACCAGAGATTTCATCAATAACGCCTTATATTTATACTGCGCCACTTTTCATTTATGTATGTCATTTCCAATAAACGAGTGTTAGAGGCTAATCTTGTTTGTTAAGTATTGGTTGCTCGTCGACTTGGAGGTTAAATACCGTCTTCATTATTCTCAATCGGAAATAGTAATTTATATTTACTGTTTCAATTTTAAGTTTATATTCTTGTTGAGCATAAGCCATTTCCTGGTGGTCACAGATTTTCTTGTATCCCTGTACAGGCACTATATAATCATTAAAGCACGTAATCTGAAACGTTACAAAATCATAATAGTCAACTGAAAATTTTTCAGTTGACTATTATGATTTTGTAAGGTTTCAGATTACGTGCTTATTTAATCAATAATGTTGAACTTTTGTAGTGGTTTACCAGTTGGCTTAGTTAAGCATACTAGAGTAAGTTATGCATAATAGAGCTTGCCTAAAGCCTATAGAGTAGCAAACTTTTGAGGCCACTAATGATGTAGCTTCCTGTAGGCGGAAGAATTTTTAAAGTAGGTCTATTGGACCATTGGTTTCTAAGCTTATTTGTTGCAAACGAACAAACAACAAATCTTCCTGTTTATAATATTACATCATATGATTGCGCTTTTATTGTCAGAAATAAACTCATAAATTTTTCATATACAATCTTATCTAAAGCTTTTGTAATCGGTTGTAGAAATAATCTAGGATCTAACACTCGAACCTCTAAAATAGTTCCGCTATTCTCAAAGTGTGCTCCTAGGGCTCCGCACGCATAAATTGGGGGTTTACAGAAATTACAATAACCTTTAACTAACGGAAATTACAATTACCATTAGTTATATTTAATTATAATAACCATCAGACCAGATTTTTTTATTTACTGTAGAGCTGAGTAATTTTTAATTTCAACTTGACATCTTCATGTGTTCTCAGAATTTGGTTCATGACAGATATCATATACAAGAGAAGAGAGAGCAAACCTTGCAACATATTTTATTTGATTCTAAAATTATTTGTAACCTAAAAATATGTACAGCATCCTAGATAAGCGTGACTGACTCGCACTTGTCCGGTATTTTTTAATTAAGTTGGTTTTGTTATCACACGCATACATGATATACACAACTGACGCAGAGATTTTGCTAACGTCATCAGATTACAGTTGTTCTTTCAGTTCTCACCCATAATATCTAATAGCACAAGGTTTCTGCAGACCATCAATCTTAGTCTATCAAAATAACTAGACCTTGACCGCTGTATTTTTCGTGACGTTATAATGAAACGCATAAATCTACGCATGTGGTTGATTAGGTGATTAGTAATTTTGGGTTTTTGAACGTTTATAGAATTACTCTGGAAATTTCAACACTACAAGAAATAAGTACCATAGATCCAAAATTTTTCATGAAAGTATGCAACAAATCGAAATTTGTCTGAAAGCGAATTGTCGAAAATATACTCGTATATGACTCCTTCCAAACTCTTTTTATCATTTTGTTGTCTACTAATCAAGGAATCCCTTGACGCAGGTGGAGAATGTAGCGAACGTATGTACGCATGCATTATGTGTTGCACCCGCGTCATACGGCGCGCGGGAGCTTTTGACACGTTCTTCGAACGCGCCACAAGCGATCGCAGCCGTGGTATACGGCTTAGCGCTGTGCCTCCTTTTTGCTGTCTCAACCACCTTCCACTCCGTATGCTGCAGTCGGTCTGACACGTAAGTAAAGTACACTATTTTTTATCCGGATATGAACAAATTTCAATCCTGCCCTGCGATTCTGTAAAAATCTAGACCCGAATTCGAATTCACTCATGATATACATGATGATCTCGAAACTCACTTCATTCATACTACGAAACGTTATTATGTACACACAGAATCGCGGGGCTGATCAACGATGAAATTTAGTAACATTCATTCAGGATCGAAGATTACATCTTATATAGGAAATCATCATCATCATAATAAGCCCTTTTACGATCTCACTTCAGATCATCCTTATGAATGGTTAAGCAGATATAGGAAATATTTAAGCATATACAATACACATGGATAATTTATAAACATTTTGTTTATCACTGGTAATAATAACATTCAAATAATTCTCTGGCAGTTATTCGAAATGTTTGTCAATACATTGGTTAACACTTTCTGGAGATTTATGTCAATTTTTTCATTTTTAACTTGCAATTTTGTCTCTTGAGTGACCTCTTCTTAAAAATATATTGCAAATAAATAATCTATATGACGAGAATAAAAACTAAAACGTCTAACGTCTTCAAACTTTAAAATAGGGATAAACAATACTTATCACAAAGAAAATGCAATTGAGGTCGGCCGGAGGCCTTCTGTAGATTATTAATTAAATTATAGGTGCCAGACTTCGATAACGTTTCTTGATGATGTCGCTTTTGAGATATGTATGGTATTATTTTCTTCTTTTCACGGTTCCTACTTTTACCCGACGTAGAAAAATGTTTTCATACTTAATTCTTCACTAATAATTATTTTTATTGAAGTAAGTAATGAATATTTACGAATTAATTGAGTATCAAGACTTGTCATCGCTAGTTATCGGTCAATTCATATATACACTTAAAAAAAACTCATCAAACTTCAGCTCCTTTTCACAAATTTTGCAATCATCATCATCATTATCATTAACATTAAAAACAATATTTCTCGCTTGAAATATTAATGGCTTTCTGGGAATTTTCACAAATATTTAAAACAATTTACACTTTAACTTGACAGTTGTCAATAGCAGACAATTTGGTTTCTTTGCCATCAGATTCTGGTACATCAATACATTTTAAGATATATTACAACACTAGTCAATAAATTTGATCAAATATTCAACTTATTTTTATATATATATATACACACATGCAAAAATGGTTTTATTATTTTTCGTAGTATGTTTTAATAAAAAAGTAGAGGTTCTCAATTTTACAGAATTATTTTTTGTATGGTTCCACAATATATGTTTTTGTTTGTAAGAATACATTCCTGAAATAGTTCAGTTGCAACCTAACAAAAATGGAGCAGTAGTTTTGTTTTAAATATAAATAATTAGATGAACTTCACTGAAAAGAACCGTAAACCGTAAATAGTGTATCTTACTTACCCTGGAGTAAGATATACTATTTTATCCCCGCTATGGTACGATATGATACGGATTTTGTGAGTAAGGAAACTATTATTCTACAAGGCAAATCAAAGAAGTAGTTCTAAGGAATTTAAATTAAAAAGAAAACTATGTTCTCTTAATGAAAAATGCTTAAAAATCCACTTTGTCCCTAACACTCTGAGATGGGACTCGAAACGGATTCGAATTCGAATTCCACGACCTTTCGCAATCCGGGCGACTGCTCTAACCACTGAGCCATCGAGGGCCTAACAGGACTGATGAATTTTTCAAGCACTTTTTACTTATTCGCTACTACAGAGTGCTCTGATCGGAAAAGGATCGAGGCTGATAGTTTGACACGCCGGTTCTGCTGGAATTAGTTTCATTGAAAACTGACTACTGGCTTTCGCATCAAAAAGTACTTCCGATTATCTCGAGGAGATGAATACGGACACTTTCACGAATAAATCAATTATTAACTAGCCTGCCAGAACTTTTCATCATAATAATGGACAACGCTTCTAATCACTCAAAACAAGTAAATAAAGCGCTTACTCAGGTCAACAAGAAAACCGATCTCGTAGCCTGGCTAGAACATAATGGTATTGAGGCAACGACCGAAATGCTAGTCTGACCTAATAAAGTTGGTACTTGAGAATAAAAAGTCAAGAGTGCGATACGAAATGGATGAGATAGCTCTAGCACATTGACATCAAGTTTTTCAAATTCTGCCATATAATGCCATTGAGCTAATACGGGCACAAATCAAAGGTATTGTTTTTATCACATAAGTTATGATGAGTAAGAATAAATTATACTAGTATAACATTCAATACTCAGTGTATAAGTAAAAAGATATAATTACCAAGAATTAATAGCTCTTGACTCTCACATGTAGGTAATAGTGTACCATTTCGTTTATTTAATGTAATAAATTAATGTTATTTGGTGTTTACATTGCAGCTTACGCAGCTCGTAATAATACGACTCCACCGTTCAATACAAATAAAATAATGGATCTATTACAAGATGCTTGCAGCAAAATTACAAAAGGAGATTAGGTCAAAGAAGTCGAAAAGACCCGATAACTAATAATGGAAGATTTTGAACAAGACTTAAGAGTGGACACCATTAGAGATAATGAAATTGTCATACAAGTGTCTGATAGCGGCCATGACAACTATCTAATCTGATTCAGAATCTGAATAATTGTCTTGTACTTTGTTCATTATAGAGTAACAGTGTTTACAAATTGCCCACCATGTATACTCTACCAAAGAACCTGTGTCTTTAACTTTAATTCGGTTTAATTTATATAACCACACTCTATACTAAAATTTAAAAAAAAAACTTGTTCCTAAATAAAATTAGTACTACTGCTTCAGTCATTTCACTAGTATTGTCGACAAAGGTCAAATCGGTAATAACTCAGCAATGTATTTTGAGTATGGCGAAACCCAGCCCATTCAAAATTTTATCTAAATTCTTAGCAATCAATAGTAGTCTTAATTTACGAATATATATTTTTTTATATCCATTCTATTTGTATTATCTTTATTTAATATATTAAATTTATATTGTATTATGTATGTATTATTAAAAATACCCTTCACACTTTATCAGATTTTCAGGTAAATTTTTCGTACAAAATAGGTCTACCTGTAAAAGATGTCACTTATTGTGACTAAATCATCGTACACAACATGACAGCATTGTAAAGATTGTTTGATATGACATGAAAAGACTATCCCAAGCGAACGGTGGCGTGTATCGGTAACAAAACCGTTTTCTTCACGATATACGGTTTTTAATAGATGATAATATTTACTAGATTTGGACTTAAAACTACACAAAGTCGAAGAGAAAAACGCGACGAAATTCATCGTTATTGCATTCTAAGTGTCTCCGACGTAGTGACTGACTCACATAATTACAAGAAGATATTGAATATAGTTGAATTTAAGGGGTATATCATTTTCTTTATGATTTAGTTTCTTCGTTTTAGTGACCTCTTTTGTATTCTGTTCTTTTGTCCATAATTAATTTGTAGATTTTAATTTAGGCACCCACCCCCATAATAATGATTCTGTACGTGAATATGTAAACAATAGACATATCAATGTCGAGGATGGGGGAAACGAACAAACCTCCCACACTTTAGATTTGATACTATACCATAGACTCAACTTCTCAACGCCTACATATTACTCAGTATTGGGTGTTTAAAAGTAATTGGTAGGTAAAAAGAGAGAATCTGAAAATATATTGTTCAATTTCTCATTTGACTTTTACACGAGTTCAGGCTTGTTTTTCCATTTTCTCGTCATCCATATTTAATGGATCCAGTCAGACTAACAAAGGCCTAACATTGAAACAGTGACGTTGTTTGTTTGAATATTTAGCTACACTTTCGGTATGTCTGGACATAGCAGTTGGTTTTAATAGACGTTTTATAAACTCTTTAGCAACATTGTTTCCGCGGTGGAATATGAGATTGAGCAGGCCAATACTATTAACGTGTACGGAGAATACAAAGCTGTAACTCTTTATATAATCCTTTCTAATTCCTTGCATACCCTACCTCACTTAATGCCATAAAAAGGCTTATTCGAAAATAAACATAATGTTTATGCAAGCAGTGTTGCTTTAGGGCTTCCATTGTGTAGGTGGGGCAAGGTCGTACTTGGGACATACTTTTTTACAGACGAGGTGAATACTGTTTTCTGAAGAAGTAAATGTAACTTAATTATGCGGTTAATTTTAATTTATGTTTCAATTAAATTTAAGAAATCAATTAACTAAACATACAATAGTAGTAATATTAAACGAATATTTTTATTTTTGAGATTTTGTAGTTTCTTGAACTGACAATTGTATCAAGAATAATAATAGACTAATCATTAGACAATATCCCAAATTACTGGTAGTCCCAAAGCACTTGTATTATGGAAATCTATGAACGATACCTCAACATCCAGAGTGGAAATACAATACGTGTTATACATATGGTTACATCTGCAATGTGTGCAAGTACTTGCGTGCTAACCATAGCGATAACAAGCTTCTCGTCCAAATAAAAACTGTGTATTCTAAACATTATGGATTTTGGATGCTCCTTAAACTTAGCTCATCTTCACAGTAAGGTGAAACACTTCCTGCATCGGTGCGACCGTGCGATGATTTACATCTTCATCGCGAGCTCCTACTTCCCCTGGCTGACGGTGGGCACGGTCTCATGTTGGATGCTGCGTGAGCTGCGCTGGGCAATCTGGTTGTTGGCGGTGCTCGGCATCACCTACCAGCAGATATTCCACGAGCGATACAAAATGCTGGAGCTGCTGTTGTACCTCGTCATGGGGCTGGGCCCTGCGGCTATTATAGTCACCTCAAACGTAAGTTATACGAAATTTAAACTAAAACATTTTAGTCTATATCTCTTACTTCTTTCATCGGCTTTTACGATGAAATGAAATAATGAAAAACACGTTAATATTTTTAAAGTACATGGAGTGTTCGTCAGGAAGTAGGTAGGTATTATGGGAACAAAGAACTCCATTTTATTGCAGTTGGCAATTAACTGTGTAATTATTATGCGTTTACGTATGCTAGTACAACAAGCATTGTTCATTGGCTCGTAACTTGATTTCATTACAAAAAAAAACATAGAGAGACGAAAGAATACGTAAAAGAAACGACGACCTTGACCATTATAGCTTGTTTAATATTTAATTGTTCAGAAAACCGATAACATCGTTTAAATAATGTTTTTATAAGTTTTTACAAAAGAACAAATAATAATAGTTGTTTATGGACATAAATAGACGTATTTTTTTCTGTTATTTACTACATTACATTTTCGCATAAAGTTTGCAATTAACTGTTTTCAAAAGCATATCCAACCGTTTTTAATATCACCTATAGGACTTACGGTCAGTTGCACAAACGTCCATTAAGGTTTAATGACGCCTTTAAGCTCTAATGAATGTCAAATTTATATGGGTAAAGTCGCTTTAAACTAAAGAAAAATTTAATGTACGTTTGTGCAACTGGCTATTAGCACTTTGCTAATGTTAATCTTTTTCCTAAATAATATTAGGTATAGATATCGTTACACAAGCGTCTCTAAGCATGATGTTCCTCTCGACCTTTGTACTACTGATAACGACCTTTAAGTGTGTCTCGCGTTACTGGAAAGCTGAATAAATGATGCATCATAATGAGGCTATATTCCATCATTATGTAATAAGATGCTGTTTTTATATGCTTTGTTGAGTTACTACTCATGCCTGATAGTCATACCGGATATCGGAAATATGGTTTACATTATTGTTTGATGAAAAGGATAGTAAAAATTGCAAATCTGCAGGCATGCAAGTCACACTCGACCATCAAAGTCGAATCACCTTATCAACCACATATGATACACAATACTAATTACATATGTATACTATTACACGGCTGCAGACAATGAATTCAGAATTTCTATAACAGAAAACGAAACGACTGGTTCTGGTCCATAAAACAAGGCCCATAAAGACTAATATATCGCAGGTATTAGAACTAATTTTATTACTGACTAGTTTGTACGTTTTAGAACGTGAAATATTTAAGGCAGCGCGGCCTACCTTGACCGGTCTTGGGCCATGCTATTTTGTGTTGATTTATTAAAGTAACGTACCATTGAGGTTGGCAAGAATCAAATAACAGTTTGATTATAGACTTTACTTGTTTTTCAAGCTCTGGCATCAAGTTAGGTATTTCTAAGAAACTTCTACTATATCCTACGTTAGAAAGACGATTAACAGCTGATAACATAGCTATATAGTTAAATGATATTAATTTAATAGCTTCCCCTTCTGAAACAATTTATTATTTCTTTTAAATAAAACTTTTAGCTTTATTTTGCTGCATCTTTAATCTTCTAGAGTTTATTTAGCTTCTCCACAGTAGCCCGGGAAGCAAAATAAGCAGATTACAATACATAGCAAGGGGAAGTTTTAATTTTTTCCGCTTTAACTAGCTGGTTTTGGAAAACGAACGAAACGAAAAAATAGAATCATCCAATTTAGTGCAGTCGGAATTGGAATTCGGAAGTTATGCGCGTACATACGTTTCTGCGATACATTTTTATTCATCGATATTTAATAGCTCGCCCGGATATTTTTTTATTTTTCGTTAACTCATACATAAGTTATCTTTTTTTTATATTTATAGTGTAAAAGGCAATTTTCTATATTACATCTATATCTATCTATCTATATTACATGCATAACGTATCTAACTTATTTATTTGAATAAAGATTAAAACTGTATTGTTAAAAACTCATCATTTTACTGTTTTAATTATACGTAAAAAAGGGTTATTGTGGGTTATCCTTGGAATATAGACATATACCACCGCGGACCTTTTTGTAGATATTAAAGAGGTACAATTCTACCATACAGTGTTTTGTTTTAACTCAAAAGTTTTTGGCAGCGTTTGCTAGGAAAGCTTTCGTTCGGCTTTATTTTTGCCGACATATTGAACTAATATCATTGTAATATCGTCAGTTTGTACAAAAACTAAACGACACTAAAACCTTCCTCAAAAATGCACTATACTTATATTGTTGAAAACCGCATGAAACTCCGTCCAATACTTTTCGAGTTTATCGCGAACAGACAAGCGGCGGGGGACTTTGTTTTATAATATGTAGTGATATTAACTTTGTATTTGAATTCTTTACAAAATAATGTTGGTCTACAAATGGTTCCATATATTCGTTTACAGATTATAAATAATATGTCTTATTAGTTATGCTATGATTTCCTAGGATCTCTATTCTGGACAATCTCGAAATCGAGACGATGGTTTGTAAACAGTGTTAGGAGGAAGTTTCTTATTAACATCGACAATCGACAGTGAGATTGAGGTCTTATTACTTCAAAGGCACGAGTCACGGCGAAAATTTTTAGTACTTTCACAAAAGAATGTTGAACCTATTTGAACAGCGAAAGTGTAGATTATTAGCGAAGGTTTATAAAATTGTCGCACAGCCAACTTGTAAGCAGCCAGAATAACTGCTCGACCGGATTTCCTAATGAACGCGTTTGGTGAATAACTACGTTGATATAGGGTAATTGTCGTACTAGACATGATAATCAAGTAGAACAACTATATTTCTGCTTGGCAAGGTGTATTGTCTCTTACAATACACCTTGCCAAGCAGAAATATAGTTGTATATCAAAACTCGTAGAAATAGCCGGACAAACGACTCTTCTTGGCTGCTATTTAAATGTGGTGTGAGAGAGATAAAATGGAGAGGCACTATGCCCGAATATGAGTCTTTTACCTGTGTTATGATAATGATTTTCAACTACATAGTTACATTATTTTGCTCAGGAAAAAAATAGAAATAGATTCTTTTTAGATTATAAATAAATGTCATAGGAATTCGTTTCGAACGAATTTATCTTCACTCCTTTATGGTGGCTGAAAAAAAAACTGGCCAAGAGTAGTATTACAAGTGGTGGAACATCTAGAGGCATGCACTGTATTAAAGTTTCAAACATCATAGACAAACTATTTTCTGTAGTTTTACAAAATTTTGGTATTTCTTAAATAACTTTAAAACTATTAATAAATTTTAAATAATAACTAAAATGAAATCAGTTATCTTATTGAAACAATAATATCTTGGTACTTTATCCGTATCTTTCTATAATGATTCAATTCTGATTGATTTTAACCACGGGAATCGGGAATTTAAATTATAATACTATCTGTCTATATTCATTATAGATAATCGCGGATAAAGTAGTTTTGTGTTCGGATTTTATGACGCCGTCTAATAATATCACACTTACATTAGAGTTTTGAGAATTGAAGACATTTGAAAGACGTAGGTACTTTTATTGAGATTTTGCTCCCGTAGAGTTTTTACAATGCAAAGAATTACCTAAGGAGTCTTTGTACAATAGTGTAAGAGTTAATTGAAATTTTATTGCAGGAGCTGGGTTTATTAGTAAAAACCGCCTCCAATACGTTGGTCAAGCAGGTAGGTCTTAGGGTTTAGACTTCTGTAAAAATTATTTGGTGCTCTCCACGCGCTCTCATATTTTTTTTAGGCAGCCCGGACACTTTACGTCCGTGCACATGACTTTAGGTATGTTTACTCCGAACGATGCTGGCCGCTAATATTTTGAATTGTTTTGGTTCTTCGCGCTTGATTCGATAATCTTTTTTTTGACGGAAACCAGATTCGAGTTCAGTATCTTAGAGAAATTACTTATAAGCTATTTGATATATTACCTATGTGGTAATAAACTCCAAAGTTTGAAGAATTTCACCAAGGATTTTATGCTGCGACCCTGAGCTACTTCAGATCCTCCCTATAGTACCCTACCCAACTAACATAACAGCTGCAAATAGAGCTTACTTAAGAACCAAAAGTGTTATAAAGGTTGATAACTGTAATTATAGGTTGTGGTGACAAAAGAGAGTTAGTAATAAAATGTAACGCTTATAGTAACACAGCAAGTTTATAAGAACAATGGTATGGGGGCTAAAGGCGTACAGCAGCGATTATTATCCCTACAGTACAGACCAAAGCTTCTGTGTTAGCTTTGAGCGAATCTTACCACTATAAGATCTATATAAGAAATTATTATTTACTATTATCCTCAAGTTCTAGGCCAGCTATTATAAACTCATTTGAAGCGCTGATAGTTGCACAAAGGGAGCAATTAACGCTACTAGCTCTATAAGTGTATTTCTTAACTCTTTTATAAAACCAAACTCCTAATGGGATACACAACTCCTGTGTATAACTTATTAGGGATCTATATTAGAGGTATTTCCCCCTATTAATAGATGCCATAGTGTCAACTTTATAATATATAGTCACATTCACAGTAAAGTTACTCTCGCAATAAAAATTCCGCTTCAGTTTTCCATTAACAAGTTAAGATTTCACCATTTAACTCCGCCATTTTTTCGTAAAGAGCATTAGTTAGGAGGATAGGTGTAGTAACAATTTAACGTTAAAACAAAACGTAATGTTAAGCAGTCTAGGAAAAAAAGTAAAATATATGTCTTTAAACGTTAAAATTTCCTATTGTAGATCTGTACTGCAACTCAAAGTGTTACAATTTACCTTATTGTCACCCTATATGTAAGAGTTTACCACCCGTATACATATACATACACCCGCTTAAAGAGTTAGTAAGATGCATCTTAGACCTACTATAAACCTTACGGAGTTAATATTTTGCTTCCTTTGTAGCACTCAAAGGTCTGAAGGTAGCCTGTAGCTCTATTATAACACTTGAAGAGTCACTAGACACTTCAATACTTTTTTTACAACGCTTTAGGACTCAGTTAGCGCTTATGTACCTCCACAATAACTATACTTTATGTCTTAAATGCATTCTGTAACTCTTTTATATCGCCATAGTGGAACCTAAGGTCATAAGAATTTGTGCCCAATCCAGCACGCGTAGCATGACGAACGCGAGAACGTTTTGTCTACACTCAAATGTCACTTTTCTCGGGTGCGCCCATACGATATCTCACTCTCGACCCGAGAAACTGACAAATGAGTGTAGACAAAGCGTTTCTCGAGTTTGTCATGCTACGCGTGCTGGGGTACAGTAGAGTTATAGCTCCCTATAACTCCATGTGATAGCACTTATTGAACACCACAGGATCTGTTTAGCTCTTTTGTAGATCTGTTCTAACTCTTTTGTTAGCGCCTAATATTACTTGGGTAACTACGGGGGGGAAAAAACATGTTTACGTTCCAAAAATATTGTAGTCTTATACACGTAACAGCAAATTTTAACCTTCAAAATATTTTTGCATAATAGGTAACAAATAGGTAAAAAATTAAATATTAACGGGTGTCATAGAATATTTACTTTTAAAATAATAATTCGGTCCACTATTGACAAAGTTATCGCGAAACACATTTTTTAAAATATTTTTAGTGATACTTAAGAGTTTGATATTAATAAACTTAAAAGTTTATAATTATAGTAAAAATTATAGGAAGACAAAATATCTTTTACTTTGATGTCATAAATATTTTGTTTGTTTAACATATTCAGTTGTTTTTATTATAAAAACAAAACTGCTAATCCGACTTCGATTAAAGTAAAGTAGTAAATTTTCGGTCACCCATCCTATGATCGGCCCTTATGAAAATTGCTTTACATCCGCAGCACCGACAAGAAAATAGAATCTTTCATGCTTTATTTCTAATAGGAAATTTCAAATATTTACCTAATCTCATAGGTAATTCATAATTCGCCTAAACATGTTTAAGCGTCGATAATTATCACCTTGACGTCGACTGGTATTTATATTTAAGGCATATGCTTCTTTTCAACTACTTAGAAAAAGAAATTATCGAGCGTCGCGGTCGAGATGACTATCGAGTTTTCATTGATAATACCAATCTCTATGCATGAAATGACAAAATCTCACTTATCTTAGTTCAATTCACTCCGTGTATGACAGTGAAGTGCTAGCGGCGTTTTCAGATTAATTATACAAAATACGAAATCTGAATCTCCCCGCAAATTCAGCTTTCCGATATTCGAAATGCGTTTATAGAATCGCATGGGAGAAGTTATAGAATTCAACGTTATGCATACATAGAACGATATTCGTTTCAGAGGCCGTGACGTCATAGCGACGCCATAAATGTGGTGGCGTTTTCGCGGGAAACACTAAACAACGTTTTGGTTAGGTTAAGTTAGAACTATGATCAGAAATTTTCTAAGTACGTCTATTATTTAAGTCCTCTTTACGAATCAAAGACAATCAACGCCGGCATAATTTTCATAATTGACATTTATAAAGGTTTGCCATTAAAATCATGAAGTCTTCATTCCATAATACTCGTATCAAAATTAATTTCATATTCGATACGAAGATTTAAAAATCGTATTCACCGGCAACCCGGAAACTGTAAAGTGGTAAATTAATTGAATTTCCATAGGTATTTGTATTCAATAAGTTTCGCAATTAGATAATTGAAGCTTGTGTCAACAAAAGGTTATTGAGTATGTGTTTCTAAATTATCGGGTTAACTTTTGAATTAATTAAACTTACTATGTTCTTTTGTTCTAAATCCTTGAATTTTTGCATCATAATTAATGTGGACTTTATACGATATATTCTAATAATTGCCTTGCTATCTATAAGTGGGAAATAATCGAAGCTTGTTATGGTTACTTTAATGAATAGTTATTTAAAGAGAAGACTTTCATTTTTTGGTAATATTGATCCGATCATGAAAATTCTATAAACTATTTATTTATATTCGTAAGGTAGGTAATCCTGTTTTCCAATTCTCAACATCTTTAAATAAATTTGATAATTAATGATAAATAGACGAGGTTTATTGATAGTATTTTGTGGTCGGCATACTAGATAAAAATACATTAACTAACTGATTTTCTTGTTTTTTAATGATTTATTTGTGTGATTGTTAACGCCGCGCCGTTACGAGCTATTTTTCTATTACGTAGGCGTATTTATAGAGCGTGGATGTTACGATTAACGAGCGAGTGTTCGGTTGATTGCTTAAGTTTCTCGAGCGGATGCGTCCCGCGATGTATTTTATATACGTAGGTAGATACTGTTTTATATTAAAAAAAAATTGGGGAACTTTCTAAGCACTTTTTTAAGTCTATTGTCTATATTATTGTGTATTAAAAATTGGTTTCCAAAAATTTTAATATTTGTAAAATGCCTTAAGAGGATGCGCAGAATAATTCGAATGTTACGACTAATTAGGATTTATTCCTCTCTAATAAGATAATAAAATAGCAATCACTAATATTATAAGAAGTAAAGATTTGACTGTTTGTTTGTTTGCATTGAATAGGCTCCGAAATTATTGGCTCGATTTAAAACAATTCTTTCATCTACGGTCAGGGAATGCAATCTCGTTGTGCGAGATCTCGGCCTTTTTTAACGAGACTGATTTCGATCTAAAAATAGGCGAGATCTCGCGAGTTTAACGAGATTGCACTTGAGCACAAAAGTGACTTACTCTAAGTGCGGAAGCGTTAATTTATGCGAGTCCAAAGTCAAGCGTAAATTCGAGGGGTCAAAAGGCGAAGTTTTACAATTTTATAGTACTTTTGTTTCCGAAAGGGCCTTCTCAGCGGCTGAAAATCACAATAAAGAGAAAATAAGCAGGCGATTCTTTGGACATTTTGTGTTTCTTAAGAAGCTACTTTTAAAATTATTCGTAATATGGCGTGTGAGGTGAACTGAACAAACCTTTAAATTTATATTATATTTTGTTAATTTATTCTGTAATTCTTAATAGATCTCTGAGGATACATAGTTTTCTTTAATCGATAATAATATCTCAGGTTTTTTTATTAATTCAACTTACATACTTCATGTTTATTGTAATTTTAATTTATTTTAGTTTTGTTATAAAATAACTCTTTAATAAAACACTTTTGTTTGATATTAGTAGAGAAGTTTGGTGGTTTATTTCATTTCGTATTTAGTTCATCTAGTACTTATAAAAGTCTAGTACCTAGATAACTAACCTAATTAAATCGATTATCGCCCCTGCATAATTAATTTCATGAAAATGGTTGGAGCCGTTTCAAGATTCAGAAATCGCTCGTTTAAAAATAGTAAATAAAAAAAATGATTATGTCAAACAATGTTAAATTTATAAAATTTTATTGAAAATACCCTTAAAAATATATTTTTTATTTTATAACATCTATAATTCTTCTAATTTATTCAATAATAGTGATTAAACATAAACACAAAACAAAAAATAAACACACAAAAGAGTCAATCTCGCGAGATCTCGCGGTTTTGATATTCTTAACCTTCGAGATCTCGTCCGAGCCCCGATCTCGCGAGATTGCATATTATTTACGCGGGCGAAGTCGCGTAAAAACAGCAATTACCTACTTTATAAGGAATCCGGAAAAAATAATTAGACGAGCCAAAGAGTCGGACCTCTAATGTCACCTTTCATTAAATTATGATGTGACCAGTTAACTCATTTGATTCGTCGTCTTCGGCTTATATTGAGTTCCGAGGTGAGAGAAAGTCTAAACGTTACACATGTATTGTCCGCAGCACCAGTTTCCAGCGATGTCAGATCTGAAGCTCGGCGGTATGCTGTACCTAGTGGGCGTGTTCTTCTTCAAGTCCGACGGCCGGATCCCGTTCGCGCACGCCATCTGGCATATGTTCGTAGCTCTCGCCGCATCCGTTCACTACCTCGCCATACTCCGACACCTATTCCCAGAACTAAAACCTTAAAGACTGCCCATCATTCTATTGAATCTCGATTAGTAGAGCTCTCTAACTATTTTTGTATCTCAACTTGACCTCAAGGCCGCAGATTAAATAATTTACTCCAATCGTCGTACCCATTCACGAGTTGATGATCGCACTTTTGTACATCCATTCTGTGGCTTTTGTACGGGGCCGGTAATACGTTACATGTCGATGTATCGAGTCATTTAATTTTATATTTATACTCAGATCTCTATTCCATGCTTTTGATTTCGTTTTATAGATCTGATTGTGATTGCATATCTCCATACTTGTGCTTACTACGACGTTGAGCATAAGTTTATATACCTAGATCTGAATAAGCCATAGTTAACGTTGTCATATTTCGTAGTCGTATGTTGAGATAGTTATTATAGTATAGTATATGTTAATTATTTTTCGTAAAGTGGTTGTTCCTTAGTATACAGATAGACAGCATGGACCGCGTTAGGCCAAATACTGAAATAATGATTGAACGTGTGTATATTTTGTAAGATATATGTTGAATGTTATTGTTGTAGTGTTCGTAGTAGAATAGTCTCATAATCTCAAGACCAATCCAACCCTTTTTTGAATATCTATATATAAGTGTCAAGGGGTTTTTAGAGAACTTTATATACTTATATAAAATCCAATTTTTTCAGCAAGATCTTTTATACACCTCAATGTGACTTTACCTTAGGGTAGCTCGTTATACATTTTAGCATAGCTAGTTCAATGTACCGTTTCCTAAATCAGGTAGATTTTAATCTTACGGTATTAAAGTGTCCTATTTCATATGATTTCCTTCAGTATATATTAAGAATTATTAATTGTCCCACTTTTAGATAATTTAAGAATTGCTCAATCGTATTACTAGTTAATTTTTTTGCTAGACTTCCAGATCTTATATTGATATTTTAGTGAAACGCGTGCAAACGTTCACGTATAGCACGATGATGACTTCACTAACAATTTAATATTGTTAAGTGAACTTGCAAATGTGTTGTAGAATAATTATCACTTGTCATTGTTCCTTGTATTGTAACACAATCGAGTTTGTTTTAAAGTAGGACATTCCAGCAAGACAAATGCTGTAATTATGTTCGCCTACTCAATGCACATATAACACCCAACTACCACCTTAAAGTTTGTAAAATGCGTTCCAAAATATACCGATTATTTAATCACAAACGATGGCCTAGACATCGAAAGCAAACGCGCGATTATCGAACAGTGTTTATTTTATGGCTGTATGACCTAAGAAATGAGGTTTAAAATTAAATAATTCGGACACACACCCAATTATAGCGATTCTTTTTGCCAAATAGATCTTTATCTATTATGTTTTAGGTAGGATACAGATTGAAATTGAATTTAATATTTTTAATTGATACAAAATAAAATAAAATGGAAGTAGTATATTAAATTTGAATAATCATTAAGTCTATATTGAGTATTAGACGGCGATTATTTAAACGAGTAATTAGTTATAGAAGATTTAGTTATCTTAATGGGTTGCAATTAGAGATGCGCCGAATACTCGTTTGGTATTCGGTATTCGGCGTGTTCGTCATCTTTTTCACTATATGAATTCGGCCGAATTATCCAGTTTTGGTGCCGAATATATGCGGTCCGAAAATTTGTATTGGCTACACGACACTGATAGAACTAAAACACCAAATGTTTTATGGAAAAATGATGTTACAATATTCGCTATATTACAAGGAGCACTTAAAAACACTAGCTAAATAAAAACAATGAAATGATAAACCGAATAATTAAGGTAAAAGTTAAACCGAATACTATTCGGTTATTCGGTGAATCCACTATTCGGCGCATCTCTAGTTGCAATTCTTTATTCATGCCGAAAATAAACATATAATTGTAAAGTCGGTATGCAATAAAAATTGGGTCTTAATATTAATTGATGGATAAGGCAATTTTTATATTTAGAAAATATAGGTCACAACTGACCCTAACTGTTGAAAATTATTTATTGTACTTTTTTATACACATTTAACAGCAATTATCAACATGAAAAATCGTCACTACTCAAAATAATCTTATATTTTGGAACGAATTAAAAAGATCATACTAACACTTCCTTGAAATTATAAATACAAAGCGAGCATCATGTACTAAAGTTAAAGATATATGCAGCTATTTAAACTTTTCGTGGCTAAATAGTTCATTACATTTGTGTATTGTATCTTTTTGGCCACCTCATTATATTTTCTAGTCAGTTGATTGCTACAAACAAATTGTGATCTATTATGAATTAAATATAAATGAATGTTATTATTTAGATTATGTTAATAATTATTTACAAATGTTCATTTTAAATAAATTATTCGTTTACTTTCGATAGAAAAGTTACTATAAATCAAACATGTTGGTATCGACGCTTATAATATTAAATTAGTTTTCATTCTATAATTCTAATCTAAATTACAAATACACTATCAATTACGTAAACACCAACTCTGTAATTTGACTCTTGTCCTTTATCAAATATACTATATATGTTTATGAACCAAGTGATAAATTGGAGCATTATTCATAATGCCCGCGCGTTATGAATGATGACAAGTTACTTAGGGCAAAATAAATAATCATTATTATGATTCGAACTTCCTTCACAGATGACATTGCCCTGATATTATGAATATTATCATGGGTTATTCGACCAATCTAATAAATGAACATCGTTTCATTTTGATAATGATGATCTGAAAATAATCTCGAAATTGTTCCTAAAACCTATCACGTGACAAACAGGGCTAAGAAGACTAATCCGTGATTTCCACTTTTCAATTCAGTATGATATAAATTACACTATATAAATTATATCTATATAATAGACGTAGGGTTGCTTATTTATAGCTCGGGTGATACTGATACATTTTTCAGTCTTCGTGGGATTTTTTTATAATATCCGATAATCTCTTGGTGAATGACATATAAATATTTAAATCTCTGTATTATTCAGAACGTCTTTGACTTCCAGAATTATATGATATCATAGAAATCATTTTAATATTATAAATATGAAGAATTTTTTTTGGATGTTGTCCGTCAATCACGCCGAAACTACTGAACGGATTTTGATGAAAAATAGTATACAGATAAGGTATTAGCTGACTTAGATACTAGGAAACTTTTTATCCCACTACATAGTTCCATAGGGACCACGCGGGCGTAGCCCTTGTCGGAAAGCTAGTACATCGGAATTTGTAAAAGCCAGTTTTTAAGTTTAATTATTCTTTGTTTCTCTGCCTAGACTATATACTAAATTGGTAATACATCTGTAATATGGTTATTTCTTCAATTGTATGTGTTTGTAAAACATTTGTTAGTATCCCTCGTTATGCTATTTCAAAATTACTTGGCTTTTATTAGTTTTACTAAGTCTGTCAGCAGTTGTTACATTAATAACATGAAAAAAAAAATTAAAGCTAAGTATACATGCTAACTATATACGATATACCTATAACATGCAACAAACTTCTAGATATTTAGAGAAATCGGTCAAAGAATAACGTAATTGCAACATTGTGCGTAATTCTACAAGGGAAATACGTATAAATAAAACAATGTTTTCTATCGAAAGATAATGAATACAAACTGAATTATTTAAAAATATAAAAAACCGGTTAGTCAAGGTTATCACAGGGTAATTTGGTATATTATTACATAAAATTACGTGATTGCACAAAGCCATGGTAAATTTACCATGTAATTAACCATAATAGCGATTGTATTAATGCTATTTTTAATGTGAATTTGAATGTTCAAAATTATTTCTAATGTCAGGAACAATATAGATTGCTTAAACTATATGTGGGCATATGGAAAGAAGGGGATTTAGAATTATGATAAGTTAGGCAAGATGTTTAACTGTGTTGATTTAATTGAAAGAGTGCAAAATATTTTTAATTAGGGACCGGTAGAATACGTATTCGGATTTAATTTTACGTTATAATGGGTTTTATGGGGTCCTGTGTCAGTAATATTTGTGGGTAGAATTACAGCTACAAGTCACAGTATTGTTAAACTATAGTAATGTGTTCTTGTTACAGAAAATACTATACACTAAGCAAAATTTTGTTTGTACATTACATTTTAATTAAAAGTAGAAAATATAGTCACATCGATCATGACGGTGCAGTGTGGCTTCCATAAAACTACGATTAAGAGTTTCCCCTTAGGGTTGCCAGATCGGAAGAGTTTAATATCTGGGCGAAATTTCGTCGTTTTGACAAAAACCGATAAATTCACCATTTGCTTCGAAAAATATTGATGATTAACAAAGATAATGGAATTATTTCTATTTTGTTTCAATCAACAACCAAGATAGATTGATTATACATTTTAATATTTTGACGGGACATTCCCTTCTTTTTCGCGACTCTAGGCATCTTCCGAAAAGTCGAAACAATCCAGACCAATCTTGACTATCTGTCAACCTTATTTCGCCCGCTGTGTGGTGAGACCCTTTGAATAGGGTATTTGACAATTTCTGAAAACTATTCTAAATGTTTTTTTTTGGTAAATTATAAACACACTGTCAATATATTTCACGAGAATCTGTTCTATTTGCGACGAAAATAATTATTAAAGTTCAAATAGCCTTAATCGCGCAAATAACGCTGTTCTATGTAATGGCGCTGATCATGTGGTATTTGTGACGGTATGTCAAGACGACATAACTTATTTATCAACTATTTATTTACGAAGTAAAATAGTATACAGAAGAGAACTTGAAAATAATTTTTATATTTTGTATTTGTATCTACTCTGGTTTTGTTAATAAAAATGACCTACAAATTGTATGTATAAATACAAATTTTGCATAACTCTAATAAAACTGTTTTGACACGACAACTTCCTTTTTACGTGTGACGTCACATGCCAGTAAACTGAACCTGTTATTGATTGCGACGACAACCAATTACAGGGCGTTTTCGTCGTCCATTAAAATTCCTAAAAATGTAGCATTTTCTTTACGATATTTTACTAAATCTAAACATAAAATATGTTTAGCAGATTCCTAGAAATAAACTTTATTAGATTACATAGTGACAGTAATACGCAACTGATTTTTAATAGTGTCAAATACCCTATTACGTGTATTCAATTAAAGTAGTCGGTAATATTAACGCCAAAAATAACCAATAATCTAACGAGTATTTTTTCATATTAGTCTTCCAGACACTTTAATAACTTGTATAGTTCACATTCATTAACACATTTATACTCATTTATGATGAAACAATATAAATGTTAATTATTGACACTACTTTTATCACTATACTTTTATAGACAAATGATTTAAAGTTAAATTAATTACATATTCTTCCATAGATTTTCCATTATGCCGTTTTTGAGAAATACATAAAATGTACCATCAATAAAATGTTAAAAATACAGTTGTTTAAAATACTTAGGTACACTTTTGTTTTACATTGTCAAATTGTAATATAAACACTTTTAAAGAAAAATTTTGCTTTAAACCAAATATATAACGTAAAACAACCATATTATGTAATTTATCGTAGTTAGGTATTGCAGATTGCAGCTGCATTGTAACTAAAACAGATTAAAATTAATCTTTAACAGGGATTATGTTTTCACGTTTTATTTGGATAGTCTATTCCTACCTATGTATTAATTATGTAGATTTAACTTAGGTGTATATATTTTATTACAAATGTTTATAGATAAAGTTATTACAAAGAAAGTCTACGCATTCCTTTCGCAGAGATGGACCTATTTTATTTATATTAGTTCATCATCATTAGTCCGAATTCGTCGACTGCTGCACATATGCCTCTCCGAGCGCACGCCTTTTACTCGATCTTAGGCTACTCGTATCCAGTTTCTGCCAAGAACCCTGCGAAGATCGCCTTCCAACCTTGTTTGAGGGCGTCCCACACTACTCTTGCCATTCCGCGGTCTCCACTCTAGAATGTGTTTGCTCCACCGACTATCGGTTCTACGACTAATGTGGCCTGCCCATTGCCGTTTCAACTTGTTGATTCGATGGGTTATGTCGATAACTTTGGTTTGAATCACCTCATTTCTCTCCATAGCTCGCTGAGTGACTTTCGCCTTATGGATAAGTCCCATTATGAGCGTCCACGTTTCGGTGCCGTATGTCATAACAGGTAGGACACATTGGCTCAAGACTTTCGTTTATAGACTTTGTGGGATAGATGACTGCATAATTTACCAAAAGTTCCCCTACTTAGCTGTATTCTTCTATCGATCTCCTTTTTGAAGTTGTCTTTACCCAACTGCACTATTTGCCCAAGGTAAAGATATTCATGGACAACTTCTAGGACACTGCCTTGTATTATAATTGGTCCCGGAATAACATGGAAGTTCGACATGATTTTCGTTTTGTCCAAATTCATCCGAAGCTCGATGCGCAGAGAAGAGTCAGGCAGATCATTCAGTATCTGCTGTAGATCCTGCGATGTTTCAGCCATGACAACTCGTCGTCAACAAAATGCAAGTGTGAGATGTGTACTCCATTTATGTTAATACCACTAAGATATGTCTAAATCAGTGCTACCTAAACTTTTCTGGTCCATGCACACCTAGTAAAATCAAGCACAATTTCCAGGGCAATAAATTAAAAATAAAGAAAAGCAATGATTTTCGGGCCTTTATTTGTAATGCAAAAAAACCTGCCAAGAGTGAATCGGACGTGCACACCGAGGATTTTGCACCTACATACCTACATTGGATTTAAAAAACGGACTTCTAATAGGTTTTCCTATAATATTTAGGCATAAATCTAATTTCTGCATTATTTCAAAGGGTAGGAATGGTTAATTTTCTCGAATAAATTTAAAACTACTATTGTTGAAACTATAAAAATTATATTTGAGATTCTCATAAGCTCTCTCATTTGAAAAATCTTTAAATATACATAGGTTGCGGCACTTTTAAATTTTCTATTTTTTACCCAAAAGCGACTTCCTGATACATAAGCTCGTGGCAATTTTTTTAAGTAAAATAGAAATTCGCCATGCTATGGTATGTAGACCACAGGTTGGGAAACACTGGTCTAGACGAATAATAGTAATTAGACAAAATACAGTATTCAATATTACCTAACTCTTGAATAGCAATAAGAACTTATATGTTTGGAAAATTGAGTCTGTATAAATTAACGTAACTGTTATTAATTGTAGATGAAATAATTTGTTGTCTATATTTGTGTTACTTTTAATACAAACTAATATGTATAGTATATCGTTTAGATGGTAAGATGATACCTACTTATGTATTTGGATATATTCATGGTGTTGCCCAGTGATTGTTCAACATAATTTTTTAACAGATAGTAGTTGTTTCATAAATGTTACCTTTGATAATGGACCCTGGTATAGTTTTGTAGAGGATTTTGGAAACTCAATAAAAATAATATACAGACAATGTTTTTTATTTTTTTTTTTAAATAAGGTATTGTAATTAATAAACATACTTCTCATTTCATGCTTAGTAATGAATGATCATAAATATTGTGATACGCTTAAAAATAAAACCGTAGTATCACCACACTGACTTGTTAAAGTTACATTTTGGATACTGTTTTAATTCCAAGAATATCAAAACACTTTTCCATTATACAAGCAGTCACTTCACAAAGCATCAATCTCTCATAAAAAATATTTACTATTTCTCCTTCTTTATTTTTTTCAACACAGTAACATTTGTCATAAAATTCTGTGAATGTGGTAGATATTTCATACAAATATTCACATAAAGTATGCAAAAATAAATCATTTGATACTTTGAGGATTACTTCTGGAAATCGTACAAGCACTTTACCAAGTTTCCATTCAGCTTCATGGGTGAACTTGATACCTGTTGTCTGAGCTTTTTTCATCAACTCCGCAACTGAAACTTTTGCAGTTCTAGCTATTGACCGGATTCTAGTCAAAGCATACAATAAATATACAGCTGTATTACCCTTATCATCCAACATCTTGTCAAATGAGAAAATATAGTCATTGATTCTGTTGTGAGATAGATCTGCATATTTAATGCACCCATATGCGACTGCTTCTTGAGCCTCCTTCAATTCTTCTGCAGTGAGTACTTTATCCCGACCTTTCTCTATTAATTTATCCAATGACCTTTTTAAGCCCTCATCAAGAAGTTCAATAAGCTTAACGGTATCTCCTGATCTTGTCTTGAACTTTTTCTTATCTTCTCCTAATACTACACCAAATCCCACATGTTCCAATTTTTGTTGATCTTTCAGTATTCCAGCTCTCTTGGCACAAGCTTCAATTACTACAAAGTGTGTATGTTGCCCTGCATCTGTTACATAAATAAACCTGTCACCTTTTTCATCTTCTACTCTCTGTCTTATGGTGCTCATATCAGACGTGTCATAAGTAAATCCTCCATCAGATTTAACAATGGTTAAAGGTATATTGTCATGATTGTCAGGATTTCCCCACATAATTAATCTCCCCTCATCCTCTTCTAGAAGCCCATTTTCTTTTAGAAAAGCAACATCTCGGACCATTCGACTTTGATAAAAGGATTCACCTCGATCAATTATTTTAATATCAAGACGATCATAGATTTTCTGAAATTCCTGTCTTGATACTTCACAAATCAACTTCCAAGCAGCAATGATGTCTGGTTCTCCAGATTGTAATTGTACAACACAAGTATATGCCCGTTTTTTAAATTGCTCATCTTCATCAAATCTTTTCTTTGATTCTTTATAAAATGCTTGCAAATCTGATATTGGTGGAGAATGTATTTTGAAATCTGGATACTTATCTTGTAAATGAGCTATCAGCATACCAAATTGAGTTCCCCAATCGCCTAGATGATTAATCCTAAGGACATCATTATTTAAAAACTCAAGAGTTCGACAAATACTGTCTCCAATAATGGTTGATCTTAGATGACCTACATGCATTTCCTTTGCAATATTTGGAGATGAAAAATCAACTATAATACGTTCTCGTTTCACTGGTGGTGGTTTTATTCCAAAACGTAATATACAGTTTAGAATATGTTCCACAAATGCTTTATTCAGGTAGATATTTAAAAACCCAGCACCTGCTACTTCTATTCTTTCAATGAGAGGTGATGTAGGAGTTTTGTTTAGAATGTTATTAGCAACTTCTCTTGGATTCGTCTTTATATTTTTCGCTTTCAGCAGCTGTGATATGGGCATGGCAGAATTGCATTGGTAGTCCCCAAACTTAGGGTTATTACCGGAAAGCGTGAGTACTACGGGTGGATCTACCAAATTAGAATATGCCGATGAAATTGCAAATTCAAAAATATTTTTGAGTTCCTCTAAAATGCAAATGTTACCTTCTACGGAACTGATATCCGATATTAAGGTGGGGCGTTTTCTAACTGGTTTACTGATTGATTTTGACGATGTGGTGCTTTCGACTTTGACAGCATTTTCTAGGATAGCTAAACGGTGTTTCAATTTTTCATTATCAGCTAGTAATTTTTCTAAACGTGCATCGTTCAGGTAACTGAGATCATCATTTGAAATTCTGTCTAATTCCTCTTCTATTACTTTTGCTTCCTTCTCAGCTTTACTCGTCCTTTCTTCTAACTCCTTAAGATGAGCGTCTGTCATAATTATTTAAACAATACTGATTGCTACTAATAAAGGTTAAGACTTCAAAATAATTCGCGGAAAGGTTATTTTTTCACCGCACGTTGACGTTTTTTGACAGTTAAGTGACACTGACAAAAAATGACGGTAGTACTCGTAATGACAGTTTCGTACTACGTGCGAAAACCTTCCTCGAGATCTTTGTCGAAGAAATGTATTACTTTTTGTATTAAATCCATAAGCATATAATGAAACATCATTGACGTAATGTTAAACAGCAACCACAACTCAAATAAATAACGTAAGCAATTTACTTTTATTAGAAAATTTATCCTTATTACTCAATTTCTATTTCGTTGAGGTATCACTTTCATTGATTTTAAGTGGTGTTGTTATAGCAACCAAGGTCAAACAAACAGCGGTAAAAATATGTTTCAAAAGTGGCAAGTGTGAATGAAGTAATAAATTTGGTAACAAATATTTTATTTTCTCATAAACGCAAATATTTAAATTTATATACGGCGTAATTGGCCGTAATGCAATGACTTTTCAATTACTTTATTACAATACAGTAGTCCAAATCTAAAATTGCTCCACTCTCATGGCTCAAGGATGGCACATAAACAAAATGGGTATGAATACACGACGAAAGACAAGGAAATACCGTTTTGGCTCGAAGATATTACTAAGTAAGTTCTTTTAAATAATAGGTACACCGTTCTCATAGTGATTAATGACTACTTATACGTCAATAAAAGCTTATTTTTTAGCACAATGTTCTCCTACTTCCGTGAAGGTTCACAAGGTCACCAACCTACCTTATTCTATAGCGCAAAACACTATTATTCAGTTATTTACTGTTTGTTATTTTGTGGCTGTAAAACTACACTGACGTTTTCAGGGAGATGAAAGAAACACACATAAGCGACTTATCTCCACTCGATGAAACACAACGCAATTTAAGCTATCTAAAAAAAGAAAATCCTAGGTAAATGTGAATAGTTTATTTTTTTTATTGTTAAATAATATGGTTTTCACATAGTAGAAAATTCCAGATTGACACGAAGGACATCTTTGGATACCACGTTAGATTTCTTGTCAAAGCCCAAGATGCAAAACACGACTCATTCTGCTGGCACACTTCGTCACAATTACAATAAAGGTACTGGCTTTTATTTTGAAAATCAATTCTATAGAAACTGACAAATTTTGATATTTTACGTAACTTTCGTGTGGCAGTGTATAATCAAAATGGTAGATGGAAGTATAAATATAATAAACTGGATTGGGGTGATACTTCTTCCACGAGTTCCAATGATTTCTTAACTGACTTATTACCGCATTACGTGACTCCGAGGCACAGAGGACGAGGCAACATTATGGTGGATGATGATTTCCATGACGTCATCATAAGCTCTCGTAAGTACCTTAATTTTTGGGTTATATTAAAATTGGTCCTTCGAATCCGATCAATGAATCTACTCTAGTTATTTCTACATTAAGACGAAAATCTATTTGATACATATGTACGAGTCAATGTACATTGTATGTAGGTAAAAATAATAGTCTGATCAGCATTTCAAGTTCAACGCTCTGTAACCTAAATTCACGTATTAATTATTGTCATTTATAATTTTATTACATTAAACCAGTGTACAAACAGCACTCATTGGGTTTGGTGATTTATAACGTTTCCCTCTCCCTACATATCCGTATAAACAATAGGTATCCCCTACAGTTTTTTGGTCCTTCGAATAATAAGGACTTCGCGTTCGCGTCGCGTGCGTGTAGTTTTTTATAACCAGTGACTTGAAAATCGTGACTACGTCACTCTATCACAGACAGTGTTCTACTAAATAGTGACTATCATAAACTGTGAACTGTTCTATATGTAATTTTGTTGCGTTCGTGGTATCCCACTATTCCAACAGAAGTTCAGCCGGCAAGCGGACACACAGTAGCCAACATCTTCCACACCAGATTTGTATCCTGTTATCAAGTAAGGTTTTGCTTATTAATTATTAACAGCATCAGGATGGAGAAACTTTTCAAGCATCACGAAGATATTCTTGAATCGATCAAACAGATCGACCGCAACTTTGGTAAGGACTCCGCGACTCGTAACACGTGTGAGTATTTACGGGACAGGCTGGACAGGCTAGACAAACAATGGGCAGAGTTCCAATCGATTAACGACAAATTATCAGCGTATGGAGAAACTGATCATCCGTATTTTATCGAAAATCAATATGAAAAGACTAGAAAATACTTCGAGTCGGTAAGACACAAAGTATTTTCATATTCGGCGACAGCAGCCTTAGAGAGGACAGATGATGAAAACCCACCAGGTCGGTCGAGAATATCTCGCACGCGATCCGGCACGCCGTGAATTTCGGTTACAGAGCGTAGAACTTAAAATGCTTATCAGACTATTATTTTTACCTACATACAATGTACATTGACTTGTACATCCTGACCACACAAAAAATAAGAAAGAAACTAAACTATATGTTTTACAAGTAGCCCAGAAAAAAAAGAGAATTAAAATGATTAATAAGTAAAGAATTTATGTAGAATTATGTTTGTAATTCAGGTCATCAGGAAAATAATAAACCAAAGAAAAAAATATCTCCAAAGGACGGTTCCATGATCTTACAGCAAACTGATGGTGGTAAGAGAGGATCGTCCAAAAATACGACAAAGAAACCGCAATCTTTAGTGTCGGTCACAAATACCAAATCTGTCCAAAGAGAAAAGTCAAATGAATTTATTATACCCGAACTTCCCGAGGGCAGACTATTAGAAATGAAGATATATGCCAACTGGGGTGATAAATACCTAGTCGGCTTAAACGGCATCGAGTTGTTTGATATGAATGGCGATCCTGTGCAGATTGAAAAGGTATGCTTTAAAACCTTTTCACAGGATTTAACAGATTATTAATTTCCTGTTAAATAATAAATAAAGTATAGCCGTAGGATGGTACCTAAGAAATTGTTTTCTTAACTTATCGAATCGAGTCGATATATTATTTCTTGTAATGATCGCAATATGTGCATTCTCTTTTCCAAGATGTGAAGTTTTTTCTTTAGGTATGGACAGATTCTGATACAGGTGATCAGTCCAATCACGGTCGCGTGGAGAATATCGCTGATGGCGTCATGCGCACGCGAGATGAGAGGCATGCGTGGACTGCGCCCGCGCCACGTACCTTACCCGTAGCGCTCAGCGTATTACTAGCGAATACAACAAAACTAGCTCTTCTAAGGATATGGGTAAAAATAAAGTTACTACTATTGTTTTGTGTATCTATTTCATTTACTTTGCACTAAATACTTTTATACCAACAGGTATGTGAGATTCCTGTTAGTATGTTTGTATTTTTATTTTTATACAGAACTACAATAAATCTCGAATATATTCAACAAGAGGTGTACGCTTAGTGCAAATAAAACTAGATGACAAAATTATTTTCCAAGGAGAAATTGCTCGATCTAGCGGCGAACTTAAAGGTCCTCTTCAAAGTTTTGGAGATGTGAGTAGATAACAATTAATAAATATGTTTGCGCATCTCAGATTTCTTCAAACAGTGTTCTGATTTTCAGACAATTCTATTCACAAAAGATCCTAATATTCTCGAGGCAGTCATGGTTAACGATAAGAATTTCCAAGCTCTCCTTAAAGATAATGAACCAATGAATGAAGCAGTCAGTTTAGAAAGGCCTCTGACGGCGAACGACAGCAATCACAACATGAGCCCTGAAGAACTTCTACAGGCGTTGGACAATGAAGAAAATGAAACCAAATACATCGCGAAACAAATTAAATTAACGCTCATGTCAAACTGGGGACAACGCCATTTGATAGGGCTTACTGGTAAATTGATCAAAGGTTAAGGCTTAACATTTGTATTTTTGGTGATAATCTAGAATTTGCTGAAGAGAAGTAGGTAGTTTAACCAGAACAAACAAAATAATTTACCACAATTTCAGGTATAGAAATTATGTGCTACAACGAACCAGTAAAAGTATACCGAGCATACGCTTACTGCTCATACATAAACGATGAACAGCCGCCTGATCGTGGTGACCTTATCGAATGCAAGAGTCTGTTCTCCGGTCGCAATATCTCTACAGACTTTGAAGATATGTGGTGCACCAGTTTTGAGCCTGGCGTTAAATTTTGCCACATAGTCATGGAGTTTAGGGAGCCTAAAGAAATTACCAGTTAGTAACATTTTACTACTTACTAATTCATCTAATATCTAATGGATCAAATCAATAATAAAATACCAGACTAGATATTTCTGGTGAGATTTTTATATTTAGATTTAATACTTGTTCAGTTGCTAATCGCAATGCAAACGTTTCGTTTCCAGACCCGGATCACCTTACATACCCTCCCCAAGCACGTATTTTTTTTGATTACGTTTAGTTTAATTTAAGGGTTTTAAAAAGTAGCGTTGTGTTACTCACTCTTTTTTAATGAGGATGAGTGAGTACCTCATTTTCCCTCGTGAGGGGCTCGCGAGTTACCCCTCATTTGAGGTGAGGATAGGTAATGTTATAGTAGCAGTGAATGACTACGTAGCGAGGCGAGCGCAACATTGCCGTTTGGTACAAAATAAGGGAGGGAGTCGGCAATGCTAAACAAAACATATTTTGTCTTTAGATTCTAAGAAATAAACTTTATTAGATTATTATTTAACATAATGACCACAACACACAACTTCATTTCAATAGTATCAAATGTTCCATTTTTAAAATCGATCAATCATTTATTGTTCGAATCATATAAATATATTTCTAAATAAAACCGATACATTTTTAATAACTTTGATTTTTACTTAGACTAATTAATATCATTTATCTATAAATTTTTAAATACGTATTTGCGAAGAAACACATAAACAAACCTGAATCGTTCCAAAAAACGCATAAAACTTAACCCTTTCCCTCAATCTTGAATATATTGAGTAAGTATCGAGTCGTCTTTTCATTCGAAACAACTCGCTATTTAGCTCCTCACTCAAAAAGTGAGGAGCTTAATGAGGTAGTTCAAAATTGAAAAACGAGTAATCCCTCATTTGTCGAAATGAGGAACTCAAACGAGGCACCTCGCGAGTGAGGGGCTCATCACTATTAAAAAGATGTTCGTCACATCGTAGCCTATGTCTATGAATTTATTTTAAAAATAATTTTAAAATAAATTCATATTGTATTAAGTTGCTCCCCCCACCCCCTAGATCCGGGTCTGTTCGTTTCTCAAATCGTTACTGCAAGTTATATCAACGTACATTCCATATAAGTATTTCTATTTTGGTAAATTGAAAAGCTTATAGGAAAATCCTTCATTCATTTGATTAGGCATCCGCATTTGGAATTACAACGCGAACATGGAGCTGTCTTATATGGGGTGTAAACACATGCGTGTGTGGATGGACGGTGCGCCTCTAAATTGGCGGCCGGCGCTGGTGCGGCGAGCGCCAGGCGATACTTGCTACGATTATGTGCACCAGTTCGATTTCACTACGCTCGACGACAGGTTCGATTACTCTTTTTTTCTAACGGCATTTCATCAACGCAACGTCTAATTTGAGATTATTTTTTACGTATATAGCATACGGCGACGACATGTTAGATTATTTATTGTGTAGTCCAATGGTTGTAGAATCCTATATAAAACGGCAGCAGCGCCAAAAGCTTTTGTAGGTGCAATGAGCTATGATTATCCCGTTCTATACCAAAACTTTATCCACGCTTCATGTAAAATTAAGAACTCAAACTTTTGGAATATGATATTTTTAAAATCTACAAGGTATTTGGATGTATATGGCGCAACATGGATATATTAGTATCGAACGTCTAATATAACCTGCCATTAAATATAACATTAACATATAACCTGCTTTAAATAACTTCCGGCCATGCACCCTTCAGACGCAAAAAAGGGCGCAACTTGGACGTTTATTTGCGGATATATAACCTATATAGAATCACCTTGTCATTCGGGAAATAATTGCAGTTTTGACCGCCCTTTATTTACCTCTACTACTGTAGGCACTGTTATCAGCAACATAAATTATGCAATTCTTGACCGTTCCTAATATCTGCCCGGCTTAGGCTTGGCCATATCGTAGCCTTAGGTTAAATCCACCCGTTTTTAATTGGTATGAGATTTAATATATCATCATAATATCTATAACCCATCCTCAGATTGGAAGACGCGAAAGATTCTGACAGCTTCCATATGGACTGGCTGGTATATGGTAGCGGGATCAGTGCGGGCGCACCCACCGGGTTCGTGTTGCAGATCAGCATATTCTCAACGTGGGGCGACCCATACTACGTCGGTCTCACCGGTGTAGAGCTGTACGACCCCAGGGGTGAACCGATACCACTCACCGAGACCAGTCAGTATAACGAAAAATAATTATGTACTTTACTGTTTTACTTCTAATTCTCTTAATACCAATTTCAACTCTAGATAGACTTGTCAGCTTTATGTTTACTTGGTAGATGTCTATCGAAAAGCTTAGACTAAAATCGTTAATTCGTCCTATCACTTGGAGTTATAATAATTCGATAAGTTCTAAAATTAACATTAGAAGCCGCAGGTACGCCAGAATAATTTTATTACGGTTTAATATTGTCCAGAAGCAGCGTAATAGATCCAAATCCCAGTTGTAAAAAATACTCATTGCACTGTATATAGTCATACCCAGTGCGGAATCATATGGTGGAACACCTAGTGAAGGTGGGGCAATGTAAAGTACAAAAATCGTAACACATATTATAGGTGCTTTTAAATAAGCGAAAACCTTATTATTAATTTATAAAAGGGAGTCTAAACTCAGCAATTGTGAAAAAGTATGGTTGAAATTTAATTTATTAGTAGTTATTTCACAAAAAATAGTCAGGCTTTCATTTAATGGAACAAAAACATCCCGCAATCGCTATAAGTTTTGTTTCGCGTCGTCGCAACCAGGTGTCCCAGCACTTGACCTCCCCATTGGGTACTGCGATACCTTTAGTCTTTCAACATATAAAAAATCAAGCTTTCAAAGCTCTTGCACATTTTGCCACGAGCTCTCCATCTATAATGATTACGAGTCGTGTATTAACCACTATGAATGTATCTATGGTCGGTAACTATTACTTGTTCGTAACTTGAGTTTGTAACAGCTGCTTTTAAAGTAGCTGTTACAAAACTCAGCCGTGTGAGAATGGCGAACGCCGTTAGTACACCGACACATTCGCTTGCGAATGCGAACAATAATTGTCATCTTTTGAAAAACAAAATTCGTGACATTCGATTAGTTATCAGAAATAGGGGCAGATGGCAGGCAACCCTGCACGCGATACATGTGCGTCTGTGTAACGACATTTTTACTGTGATGACAAGGACGCAACTAATAATACCTAATAATAGAGCGAGACAAAGCACATGCGAAACATTGCCATACAACTGACAAGATTTCGCAAATGTTTCGCACTCGCATGAGATTGTGTCGTTGTACTAACGGCGTTAAGGCTGCCTGAACAGGATAGGTATGTAATTGACAGATGTGTGTGCACACCCGGCGAGTGTAAACGTGCTGGAGACGCGTGCACAGGACGTACGCACACCCGACAAACTCATCGACGGACATAACGCACGCGCCGCTGACGCCGCCCACTCGTGGCTCGCGCCAGTACTGCCCGCCACACTCAACAGGTACGGATGACCTTTATTTTTTAAAGCAGAGGAAATGCAGCCTTAAACCAGGGATGCGTCCGCCTAACCCTCTAGTCACAAGCCCGCACCGTCAGAGAGGCGCCAAAATCATAAAGAATTTATTTCTTAGATATAAAATATATTTATTACGGTGCACAAATAAATAAACATAATACGTTTTTTAGAAAATGGCGCCGTACGAAGTTTCTTCCCTGGTGAAAAATTCGTACATTCGGGGGGCCTGTCTAGCCTTAGGATACGACATCTTAGCGATGTTGTGTCTATATTTCGTTCCATTGTATTACTTAGACATGTACTCAATGACAAACGATTAATAAAGCATGATAATTATGTATTTGCTACCAAATTAGTAATTTATCCACTAAAAGAACGCCATCCCCAGTCAACAGTATTGCAGACTAGACTAACATACACTGCAATAAATAACAAAAAAATAAAATAAACGGAAGACGTTACGTTTGCTCTATGGGAGATATAATTTGTCTTTATTTAGTTATGAGATACAGCCTGGTGAGTTACAGACTGTTACAAGGAAAGGAATCAATAGAATTTTTGCACTAATTGATATCAATTCGGACATCTGAGTGAATTCGAATTCGGGTTCGGATTTCAAGAGAATCCCAGGGCTGAAGCGTAAAGATGTAACAGTTATTGTTCACAGTTCAAAGATGTAACAGTCATACTATATCATATACGAATACAGATGGGTTCATGTCTTATTCCTCTTGTAAGATATATAAGTAAACTTACATTTTCCCTTCAAATCTATTTTATCGGACTTATGCTTAAAAATCCACTTTTCATTAAAAATATTTTTCAATATAGCATTGTGAATGCGAAATTGGTCAAATATAATCTATTTTTTTTGTTATCGGAGAAATTTGACTTTTACTGGATACCAATTGATCTTATTGATATATTGTTACATTATTTTTGCTTCAATCAGAGTCTTCTTCGTATTTGATGTTCCGGTATCAGTCTACGGTATGAAGATATGGAATTACGGAAAAACGCCAACGCGTGGGGTGAAAGAATTCGGCGTAAGTAAATAATAAGCACTTATTACATATACACTACTACATATACATACTGTATTGTTAATTGTTATATTTACCAGGTATTGATGGATGATCTACTCATATACAATGGAACGCTGGACTGTGCCAAAGTCGATGACATTATAGCGCCGCAATGGATCTGCTTACAAAACGTAAATCCTGACAACGTATCTCCAAGGTGAGAAATTTTTAATAGATTACATACGCGCGCAAATTTTGAATCTTTTGTATACTTAATTTACATACCTGTATCAAGGCTTTGAGTTTTGACTAACCAAAATTCATGATCAAAATAATACAAAAAGGCAGAAAATTAGGAATTAGAAATTAGGAAATTAATGGATTTGAGTACCTACCTATCTTGATCAAGCTAAACCTGCAAGTCGTAGTAGTTTCTTTTGCTCTTTTACAAAACAAACCATAAACTTTTTTTAATTATGATAAATATAATATCAATTATTATGAAAACAACTCAACTCGGCAGGCCGTAATTCAACCAATTCGCTTTTCTTTTTTAGATTTCTAATTTAAATGAAGATTTCCGGACAAAGTTATATCTCTGTATTTTAATATTTTTGTTAGAGGTCATATTTGAACATTCGATCATGTTTGAACATTAATAAGCTTTTACTTCGTCACGTATTTATATAATGATAATTAACCGCAGTCCATCGGATCTCAGTCAGCGTACGACTACGAGCGGTTCGCACGAGTCTGCGGACCAGACAGCGCGCCCTCACACCAGCGTCAACTCTGCGCTTGCGCATCGCCGACATAACTAGAACGGAACTTACTAAACTAATCCAATCACTTTACACAAATTATAACAAAACTGTGTAGGTAATATATGCAACCTCCGTATTTTATGCCTATAATGATACAGTTTTTTTTTTTCAGAGAAACGAGTTTTATCCGCCTTGAAATGTTACCGATTTCATTTATTTATTAATTGTTCAATGTACGTAGTTATATGTAACAACAAGAACTTGCTTTAACTTCCAGATGTCAACATCAATTTTGTATCTTATTACAAGTAGATAGAGTTCATACTACTTATCTGTATTTTTAATACTTGAGAAGGTTAAGAAAATAACCTTTTTATGTTTCTTCGCTTGATCATTGCCAATATCCTATTAAGGAAACTATATGAAAATATATGGATGTGAAAAAGAAAGGCATGACGTTTTCTAGAAAAGTTGTGACTTTTTAGTGACGCGAAATGTGAAGTTTGCCCCAGTTTAGTCTCATATACACCTTTACATGAGTGTCTATGATTGTTCTTGTAGAAGTATTATACCAATATAGTTTCCCAATTTTTAACAATTCCGATTTGTAACATCGTAGTATATAGTAATTAATCTTGCGCAATATGTTTCATTGTTGAAATTCCACAAAAATCAAAATGGGCTTTGCTAAGAATATAATTTATGATGAATATATTTCATATTCGGTAGTATGTTGATAAAATTAACATGAACATGAATCCAAACAGTGATGGATTAATGTAAGGTACAAGCAAAAACACGATCACTGCTTACATTTGAACAAATATATTTTTTTCTAAACAATACGAATTTAAAGCATTTTTAATATGTATTTTTATTAAAATGTAGGTTAAGGTAAAATTCAAATGGAATGATGTAGATACTTGAGCACATAAATAAAGCCCATAACGTAACATTTAAACTTTAACAAGCAAAGTCTTGTTAATTATCATAATATTAATCGAATAGGTAGACTGCACATGCGCCAAATAGATTACTTTATGACCTTGTTACTGTTCACTCAATCAAATATGTTTAATAAAAACAGGAAAACAAAAAACATGTCCTTTAAAATAGTTTTAAACTATCGTAGATTATTGTTATTGTTAAATATTATTGCATTTATAAAGCAAATTGTGATCTGTCAAAATCAGTGCTATCGTGCACTCGTGACGTCACTAGTCAAATTTATGTAGTCGTCCGTAATCGTGTAATATTACTTTTGTACCAGAAATAAATGTGTTTATAAATATAATGGCAGTTTGTTTCTTTGTTAATTTAAGTAAATGAAACAAAGCATATGATGATTTGGTTTGTATTTATATAACTAACAATCACAGATTTTGTGGCATTGCACTTTCATTATTAACGAATCTACATAACACAACTCGTATTATAAAATACCCTTGGCAGTTTTGTTAAAAGAAATATCATGGTTTGTCATTTTCATATAGCGTTATTACTAATATACCGATATACCAAAAGATTTTCTGAAACAACAACCTTTATTAGAGTACACTATGAAATTGATGCATAATTTGTTTTAACATTACCTGAATATTTTTATTTAAAGTTTACTTGACCAATGAAATAAAAATTATAAGGACACCGTTTATTTCAAATTGATGATTTTTTTGTGTAAATTTAATAGGAAATAATATATGTTTCCTTCTTTAAATTAATAAAAAGAAATATTAAATTGTATAAACCAAGAACGTAAAGTTGCGTCTTTATTATGGTATGTTTAATTAGTTGGCAAAGGGTCAATACAATTATTAAAGATCCGTTAATCGTTTCACGAAAGTGTGCGTTAATATGTAAAAGAATTTCCATGGACTGTGCAAGGTCGAAAGTCATATATCATTCGGCAGTTCTGGTGTTCCGCGAAGATAATGAGACCTCACGTGAGATATGCACCGACCCTAAGACGTTTATATGGCCAAAAAGTTATCACTTTTAGGCGACTTAAATTCAAAAGCAAAAGGAATTTGATGAGGGCAGTCGATTTCGATAAAATCAATTACAAATGCTTAAATAATAAAAAGGTGCCATTTTGCAACAGCATGTCCTCTTCGTGTTACTACAAATTTTCTCTGAATATATTGTATTTAAAAAATTGATGTAATACTATGACACTGAGGAAGTGCTGCTGACAACCATATTATTACATTTTGCTATATTATTTGTGCTAAGAAAACAAACAAAACACAAGACAAAATCGAATACTATAAAATACCTACAGTGTATTTAAGCGATTTCTCTATCACAAATAATAATTTGTTTGTACTCTACAAGAGTCAACTACATACATATTACACAACAAAAAACAAGGAATCTCCTTTCATCTATAGTCTTTGCATCCAGAATCAAGAGCTGGTTAATAAAAAGTTGATTTTAATTCATAACACAATGGAAAGGATAAGATATAAAATCTTTACACAAGGCAAACATGTGTATAAGGCATTAAAATACAATTTGTAAACCTATCTAACGTTTGTTGCCCTACACACTAATATCTATCAAAAAGACTAGGCATCTAATAATGCAATACTCAACCTTATTAGTATCAGTACATGACACATTTGTCCTATCAGTTCATAGTTCTAAAAAGTATCGGCGTTTTAGCTGAAGAAATATACTGAGTCCAAAACACTGTTCAGGTCGAAAGTTCCTTTTTCAGGCACCTTTTGCAGCATATTGTTGACTCGTTTCTTATTCGCCGCACCTATCGACTGATCTTCCATTTCACTGTAAATTTCACAATATTTCAAGGAAAATTAATAAAAAAAACAACTGAATGCATTACATGATATTAAATAATTTAAACTGTTTCTTAAAATACCTTGTTGAGTAACTGTATCGTTCCGTCAAGAATTTTGATAAATCATCCAAAATTGGTTGCGAATGTAACGCCACAAACTCTTCCCGGCATATCTGAAGAAAAAAATTAAGTTTTAGTACAAAAAAACATTGAATATCAGCGAAAATTGTAACTACTGAATTCGTAAAAAGCACTTCAACTTCTTAACTGACATTTGTCAAGGAGTGAACACAAATGATAACTGTTTAAGTAAATAATACAGAAGCAAGTTTTTTCTCTACTATGAATAACAATTTTGATTTCGCAGGTTACTATGTGTTAACTTTCTAGCGACGAAAAATTAAAACAAAAATTCAATATCTAAATTTGATTCAGACTCAATGATCTTTCGTGCTAAGAGCGTACATACTGTGAACTAAATAAAGGTTTGTATTTAAACGAACACTATGATAACCTAACCAGCGTATTTATATAATTTCAACTATTAATTTCGTGTTTGAAATAATAATTCTCCGAAACAAATACCTGGTTCATAATGTCGACGGTATTTGGATGGGTCCAGAAGCAGTCATGTACGGAGACGAAGGTGAGACCTTCAGCTTGACAGTGCAGCCCTGTCAACATCATGTGCGACGAGTCCAGCGAGTGGATGAAGTTAGGCGGGAACGCGTTACGTTGCTTCATTGTGCACGGTCGTCTAATGACATATATATTAATAAAAATAGAATTGCCGTCTGTGCGGTGCGGAAAATATGTGTATGTATTGAATATTTGGCAAATGTGATATTTTTATGTTTTATAGAAAACAAAATTATTAATCATGTGTGCATAATCACAAATTTCATGAACTCGAATGTTTCAATGCGCACCAGGTGATTCTACAGAATCTAGAACTTTCGGTTTGATACATCCGTCTTTATTGTTCTTGACGGATTGACTGATTTTTTTAGTCTATTGAAATTTAAGTATTCATCAATAGTAATAATAGCCTGGACTTAGGAATATCATATTCAACTAGATAGATTTTTTTTACCTGAGAAAAAAAAAATGACCATAATGACTAAAAGTTTAAGAACAAATTGAACAGGCTAGAGTAACGCCGTTACACTAGTTTAGTAAAATGAGGTAATGAGCGTGCGTACTGAAGTGTTTGTGTGTAGTGCAGTAAGTATATGTGCATGTACATTTTTTATATTTTTATTTTATAGATATACATGAAAGTTATCTAAAAAAAAAATATCATCATTCATATAATAAGTTAAAATCTAAAAAAAATGTAATTTTCAAAATTTCTGTCATGGCGTCGTTATGACGTGACGCCCCTCTAAATCTAATATCGTTCTATGTATGCATAGGAGTTATTATCTAAGTAGCGTTAAGAGTAAGAGGGGCGTGACGTCACACGCTGTTTGCAGAAAAATAAAATAATACTTAATTGTTTATTATTTGACATAATTATATGTATTTATAACATTTGATCTATTTTGCGAGGAAAATATTCATACTGGAAAATTGTCATAATGAAAAATGCTTTAAAAAATCCACTTTGCCCCTGGTACTCTGAGATGGTATTCGAACCCTGTGAAATTCGAAATGACTTCATTCAAGTAAGCTTGTTTCAAGCACTTTTGAATCGACCAAAATTTTTTTTTCCTACCACTCGTTCAGTAAGTATTTTAGCTGAAAAAAGAACAAGCGAAAGTAACTTACCAGCTCTTTATCATAAGTATTACATAAATCATGTCATTACAAAAATAGTATGTATTATAACAACAATAAATACAATTTTCAAAGTCTGTTGGACATATGCTGGTACATATTATTAGTCGTTATAGAACAAAGCGAAGGAAATTAATTCCATACATTGCGGTCCTTAAAATAATCATCAACTTTATAATAGCCTTTACTCATAAGCATGTTCTTTATACGAATTTTAAATTTATTTACGGATAGGTCAATTACATTTTGTGGAACTTTATTGAACATAGCAACGCTTTAACCCAGAAATGATCCTCTGGTTTTTTGAAATCTGAAGCTTAGAAGAGCAAGTTTATTTTTATTTCTTGTGTTAAGATTATGAATACTATTTTTTTTTTTAGAAAGAATCGTAATGTTTTCTTGTTTATAATATATGTTTATTTTCTTTACTGTCTACACCCGTATTGTGTGTGTGTATATATAAGTGTATAGTGTTGTGTGTATGTGTAGTGTAGTCAGTGCAGTGTTGTGTGTGTGTGTGTGTGTGTGTGTGATTTTCTATACTGACTGGTGTTGATCTAGGGGCGCGCGGCATGTGGCGTGCGAGGGCGACGCGCGACGGTAGTATGGCTGCACCACGCGCAGCCCTAGCGGCGTCACCCACTCGACGCTCTCGCCGCACACGCCAGATATCAGTCTGCGATTAACGTTTATACAACATTAATGACAGTGGAACGAGTACATGTATGATTTTTCAGAAATATATAATTACAGTGCCCGGCACGAAAGTTAATCCGATATGATGTCCACTGCGCAGGTACAATCGGGGTGAAAATTAAAACGTGAAGCATTTTTTCTTTAATTAATATTGTTTGGAAGCCAAATAAAATATTTTTTTATCAAAACTAGGGGCAAACTACTCATTTAGGAGGACATTTACCGAATAACAACAATTACATAAATTAAAAATCATTACAATGTTAATAATTAATAATAGTATCAGAAAATAATAGGAGTGTTCGTGATAACAAATTAATCTCATGCATATTTATTAATGTTGAAGTTGTTTAATGAAATATTACACTTCAGTGTGATTCAGAAATTCAAAGCCGAAAGAATTTATAATAACAGCAAAATTCAGTATAGTAATAAATCACTTTATTTTTTGAGTGTACTTATCAATGATAATTGTGCATATCTTGAGTTGACGTTGACGTGACGCACTTGACGTTTCCTTATATATTCACTTCTATATGTAAGGAAACGTCAAGTGCGGGATGACATTACGTCCTGTTGCTATGGTTAAGTTTCTCCCATCGCACACTTCACCTCTTTCGATACCTATTTTCGTTTACTGCGCAGGGTTTACTTTCGTACCGAGCACTGTACTGTAGTCCTGTCGCCGAACAAAGAGAATTTCATCCAACGACCCGATTTATTACATATATTTTTCACCTATGCGCAAACAAACTAGCCAATTTCGGTACAAAGGCACAAAAATCAACGTACAAAACTCTCTGTTTGGCAACTGGACTATAGCTGTGTATAGCGCGCAACTTCACTTGTGTAGCCAAAGAGATAATATCTTCCCGTTTAATTTTTTGACATAAAAAAGTAACCCGTGTCATTCACACAGCCTCTCAGTAATCTCGACGCAAATAAATATACAATAATAACACGTGTCAAACAAACATAAAACACTCTTATTTATACATATATCAAAGCAAATACGCGTTACTAACTTGGCGCAATCAGTGAACCAGTCTTGTATGAGCTTGGTGGAGGTGAACATCTCTCGAAGGCTATCGAACGTCTTCACCGTGAGATACTGTGAGCAAGCCCACACGTGCTCCTTCGGAAAATCGTCGATGTCTGTATTGAATAAAAAAAGTAACTTTTAATATACAGGGGCCTAAGATTGTATGACAACAAAATTTAACTTGCTGCTCTTAGAGCTTTGTAGGTTTTTGGGATAATTGAATATAGATAAATAAAAAGACATTATCTTTTTTTTTTCAGATCCCGAACCAAGTAGCGTTGTAGTAGTACTCTAAATCTATGTTTCTCTTTGATGGTCGAGTGAGAGTAACTTGCTAATCTTAAACTAATGTAATTTTTTCTGATTGACTTTCTTATGCTATGCTATTCCTGTACGTAATAAAACCGAATTCTCATAAAGAGCTGCTCATAAATATCATCATAAGTGCCAGCTAGTATCTCCATATAGCGTTGTTGAGAAAGTTACTGTTGTAAATTTAAACAATGAAGATGCTATAATACCCAGATCCGAGACAACATAAAAAAACAGTATACACTGATCAAACCTTTGAAAGAATTCAAAATATCTATTTAAAATTATACTGTTACTTTGCTCACCTTTCAGTTGCTTGGCAATTTGTAACCTTGCACCGAACTTGGTGACGCCGTAAACGGTAGTCATGACAGTTTGTTTTATCACTTTGCGACGCACGAAGTTCTCTAGGATGATCGCTGGTTGAATTCCAGCGGCGGCGTCTCGTTTGCGCATTTCTTCTACCTAAGCATACATTACACAGTCAACTGCGCAGTTTTACAAAATAATAACATTTCGTTAACCAATTATAAAACCTAATCTGTTGACAATAAAGTCCACAAATAAATTTAGTTTTTTTGTTCTGACCTTATGTGTTGATGAGTGTATGTACTGTGCATATAATGTAAACAGAAAATTAATAACAGTGCCTATTTCGGTATAAGATGTTCACAAGTTTTGAATGTAGTGCAGAATATCCTAAAACTTAAGACAGTCTCCTAGAAACGTTTTCATGTAACTATAATAGTAAAGATAACCTACGCTTATTGTTGTCTCAAATATCCATCTATACATATAAAACCCATTTTCATTTTTTAATTTGCTATGATTTTCTTTCACATCTTATTGTTAAAACCTTAGGTCGAAACCAAAATTGAAAACGAGTTAAAAGCCTATTTAAAACGAGTGATTCTAGCGACCACGAAGTTTACACCAACAGAATTGACTGAAAATATAATGCAGCAGTTAATACCTAAACTGAATTAAAAGCACATATCTGATGTCTGTAAATGTTTTCTTTGTCAATCATGTCCTCGCTGAGTTGGGATAAAAAGTTACTTGTTGCACTCGAATAGCACGTGCAAAGCAACTTTGCACTCTTATTTAACAAATAACTATTTCTTTCTTCCGATAAAATATTCCGATACGATATATACTGACCAGTGCCGCGACAGCGCTGTACACGTCGTTGGGTCTGTCGTCGGGGGCCAGGTTGACGGCGACGGCGCCCGCTTGGTCCCCGCCCAGCGCTGCGTAATGTTGCAGACCATTACATGAACCGTCCTGGTGCACCGGGAACGAGCACATGTACTCTGCACAGAGTACATTATATATAATTAACAGGTCCACATCTAGGGCAGAGAAATTGGGGGCACCTGCTAGTGTAAGGGTGCGCCAAAATTATCATTATACGTACATAATACCTATTTACAGTTAAATAACCAGCTTTACAAATCTCTTCATACACATTACAAGTTAAGATGAGACAGACATGATTAAGAAATAAAGAAAAATACCATATACTGCAGGATAGATGGGAGGGAGTATAAAATAGATAGATAGAATCATTAAGCAATATCAAATACATTGTTGCGATCCCAAATCAAGTACATCATGAGAATATATATCCGACTGGGAAACAGAAGCTGCAATCTAACTACACCCTCCCAAAATCGTACACATTAAATTGAGAAATCTTCTAAAAAGCCAAAGACGTCTTAAACATTATCAATTTGTCGTCCATTTATCATTAAAAATGGAAAACTATTTGTTTTATAATGTGTATAATGAAATCGTGTACTGTGCAATAACAGTAAATTGAGTTTTAATATTTTTTATAACAAAGCATCGTTTTATAATTTTCAAAAAATCCGTTCTTTTTTCTAATGGCGTGGTACGCGCTGTCATTAGTTTGTAGTAGATTTATATCACCATTCGATTCTAAAATTTTCAACTTAACTATATAAGAAATACAGTTAGAGTTTTAATACCCAAATCAGTGTGCTGTTTCAAAGTAGAATGTCATATTAATTAGCTACGCAACCGATGTTACGTTACGGATATTACGTCATATTTGCACCGATCCTAACTATATAAGAAATACAGTTAGAGTTTTAATACCCAAATCAGTGTGCTGTTTCAAAGTAGAATGTCATATTAATTAGCTACGCAACCGATGTTACGTTTCCTGCAGTTGGTGACGTAAAAGGGCTGATGATGATGATGAGGGCCGTTCAAATCTGACGGAAGCTCAGTTAAGCACCTCTCGGAAGTACGTGTTAGTAGACGATTCCCTTCGAGTGTGGAAAGTCGAAATTAAAATATGTATATATTTTTTTATATCATTAATAAATAAAACTCCACGTATCTTCCGTCAGACATGTACCGACCGACTTTTATTGACAAAGAAAGAGATTCACCTAAATAACGCGAGGCGTATTTAACTACCCATCGCAGGCTCATGTCTATAAAGTTGAATCTGAAGCATTTACCGTCAGGGACAATCTCTTGAGCTCTCGGAGAACTCATACAACAAGCGTTTGATCTCAGGAAACTTCTGAAGATCGCATAGCGCGTCTAACTGCTAACCGTAACATACATGCAGTATGGTATGAGTATGAAACTTCCTTTGATAGAGAAATGCGCTTGGTCTCTGAAAGAGCTCGCAGTTTGCACAATAGAGATCGAGAAAGTAGTTTCGATTATCGCCAACCCGTGTTGCCTTCATACTCCACAGGCGTACCGCAGATAAGTTTTCACAAGGTATAATGAACTAGCTGTTTTCCCGCAACTTTGCCGCAAAATTATAGCCTATGACATCCGTGATGTAGCTTCCCGTAGGTAGAATCTCTCTGAAACTATCGGTCCAGTAGTTTTGGGGCAAATTCGATGCAAACAAACAAACAACCAAATCTTTCCCCTTTATAATATAAGTATATCTTAGGTATAAGAGGTCCGATGGCGTAGTGGGTTAGCGCATTCGGTTTAAATTGCAGTGAAATAAACAAGGACATACTTGAATACTTATTTTACATAACTAAGTACAAACGACAAACTCATCGCTAGCAAGCGATTTCTTCCAGGCAACCTAGCATTACATGGAAAATAGAACAATAAATAGCTGATTGTGCATACAACTAGACAAATAATAATAATTTTAAAATATCAAAAACAAAAGAAGGACAGTTTCAAGGTACGAATAAAATTCTCAGACACAGGCGACAACCAGAGCGCGAGAAACGAGAAAAAAGATAGAAAAATTACATTCGTAAGGACAGGATGGGTGACCAAAACATTATTATCTTGAGCACTGTGCACAGCACTGGCACAATGCACGTTAAGCGTTAGTCCTGGCTGCATCAGCAACGTGAACACCCACCGATCCGCATTAAGCACAGTGGGTTATGGCCCATTGATCTTATTCGATTCGACTCCATTCATAGGAATAAAAGAATTCTACCAAAATACTTCCCACGCAGACGAAGTTGCGGGCACAGCTAATATATAATAAAAGCCTATACTGGACTCACCCTCAGGGTTAGGCGAGCGCACGGCGTTAGCTATCTCCATACAACAGGCGAGAGTCTGCCATGGTTCCTCTGATTTCATCCACCACCCCTGACCGTTTAATGGACGGTCCGCTGAATCCAAAATCTTATCCATTATCATTTCAGCATGGTCAAGCCTAGAACATGATTGCTATTATACAAATCAAAATAGTAATTTTATTGGTCAAAACCTAAAATTTCAAATAAATACACAAATGTAACTACAATATTAACAAAAATAATGAACATAACAACTAAATATTCTACGTCTACGTAGTACACCGTATTCTTTACCGACGGGTATACAGTCTACTAAATTAACGTCGATTTCCTTATTTAATTTGATCAATTTTGCATTCTAAATACTATCCCATCTCCGAGTGCCGGGGACAAAGTGGATTTTTTAAGCATTTTTCATCAAAATGCGCAATTCTATGTTAAATTTTCGTTAGTATGTATTAAACGTACACTGCAGTACTTATAGCACACCGCAACTAGAATTAGCAAACGCTAAACGACTTTTACTACACTAAAATGTCATTAGATATCATTAAATCAACAACAAAATCAAAAGGAACAAATTATGAAATGATCCTTCGAGCCGTATAACATATTAAAATAGTTTTTCTGTCTATGAAACTAGAAAAATAACCCGATTATTTACCTCTCCTGTATAGTGTGTCGTTTGAATTCACCAGTAAGGTTAATAGCATGAAGTTTCAACCAGCGAAGTCCCCGCGGTCCAAGAGGTTGTGGTTTTGCAAATTTCAGCAGAGCCCTAGCGCTGTCCGCACCCAATGCGGACACGTGTGGCGGACACGCGTAGACACGACCACGGAAATCCATATTATGAGGCAACCAGAATATACAGTCTCTGTTGGTGAACAAAAAACCAATACCACATGGCTAATTATTATAAGCTTTAAGAGTTACTAGAGCCTATTTATGTTTTGGGTGGCAGTTGAGAAAACAAATGTTTTTCTTTTGTCACACATTGTTTTGCTAACATATACCCGCTGTTATCTTTGGTATCTTCATTAATAAACCTTGATAAAAAAGAAATCATATTAACTATCAAGAAATAATAAAACAAGAACATAATTATAACAATTATGACGTCATAGTTAAATAATTTATACGCATCTCAAGAGAAAAATAAAGAAAATTATCCTGCCTCAACTCCACCCATTTAATATTGTGATAAATAAGTCACAACAATAAAAAACTCTTTAGTTTCCTATCTATCAAAATTGTTTTTCTTCTATTATACTATATCATTCTTCTATTATACTATCAAAGATTATTTTCTTTGTTCCTTAAACAAGAACATCTATATCTATATTATATAAAGCTTAATTTTAATATTATAAAGAGGAAAGATTTGCTTGTTTGTTTGTTTGCATTGAATAGGCCCCGAAACTAGGCGATCGGTTTTAAAAATTCTTTCACCTACGGAAAGCTACATCATAGGCTAAAATTAATGCGGAGAAGTCACGGTGAAACAGCTAGTATATAATAATTTTATTTGAAACAAATATCTTATATGGTGTAGGTACCGTTACGAACCTGTAATGGTTTGCGAGTGACAGTTTGTATAGTGCATCGCACCACAACGAGTGCATTTCAGCTCTGGCACGACTAATAGCGATCCGTCGCTTGAACACGGCGGCTGCATCCGTTTCCGCACCGAAAGTAGATGTGTCCAACGCCGATGCCGGCGGCGCTATGTCCAATTTCTTATTACCACCAGACCTGGTGGAAGCGGGTCTTTATTATAATAACTCGGAACCCTTGACTTGAGTTACTGGGATATTACAATCCAGATACTTTATTCTATCGGTTTTAGTCATTTGAGCAATAGTCAGGGTAGTCGAATATTTAAACAAGACTTTCTTACATATATATCGTAGATTATTTTAATTGTTTGAAGATAACCCGTTTCTAGAATTATACAAGAGCTCATGATAAAAATGTGTTAAGAGTTTTGTAATGTTGATACCTCATAAGTAATATAATTATAAATGTGAAAGTTTCTTTGTTTGGATGTTTAGATGTTTGGACGTTTGGATGTTTTTTTTTAAACATCCAAACTGAACGGATTTTGATGAAATTTGGTATACAGATAGGGTATTCGCTGACTTAGATAATATGATACTTTTTATCGCACTTAACATTTCCCTGGGGTCCACGCGGGCGAAGCCGCTGGCGAAAGCTAGTAAGTAATAAGGGCGGTTATGTTGGTAAAACACCTGCTGGCGGCCTTAGTACAATATTTCCAAAGACTGAACTGACGAGCTCACAGTCTATAAGGAATGTCCCGTCCTCGTCCGTTGAAAGATAAACATTTGTTATATATGTATATAATACTCGAAGGACCAACTTAACGAATGATTACACTTTTAAGGGGTTCCATCGCGTTTGTATTTTTCTTTTATTGACAACAACAACTAACTTATATTGAAACAGTAAGTTTGTTTACGAATACCATTTAAACATTTCTCATTTAACTGTTTTACCTGAACACTTTGAGTTGTATATCGAGTACGGGTTGGTTGATGCGCCAGGGTACTTCACCCAATTGGTTCAAGCTATCCAATACCGGGAACAAAGCTGCGGGCGGCGATTCTTCCAATCGCTTCCATTGCATCGACACGTTGAACGGCATTCTATATAAAAAAAAATAACATAAACTTAGAAAGTTTTGTGTTCTTCCACTTTGCACACTACATTCATCTTACATCCATAAGGTACATAGGCTCTTATAAGGTTTTTGGTACCAGGGTACCAGGTCCATTAATATGCCGAATGAAGTCACGGACAAGTCTCAGATAACACTGTCATTATTTTAAAAACACGTTAGAGGATTCCTTAACGTTATATCGCACATTCGCTATCTTTCTCGATCCAGCAAATGGCAATTCTGCGCGACAGAAAAGGAACAAATTATTTGGAAAAAAATAGGAAGACAGATATGCATGTCACCCTATAAGGTTTCTGTCTGGTATTGAAATATCGAAATCTTTACTCTAATATTATAAAGCTAAAAAGTTTGTTTGTTTAATTAAACGCGTTAAACTCAGGAACTACTACTGATTCTATATGAAAAAAAAAATTGTGTTGAAAAGTCAATTTATTCAGGAAGACTACACGCTATATAATATCACGTTATGGCTAATAGAAGTGGAGCTACTATGAAAATTGTTACAAAAACGGGAAAGACACTAAGGCAAAGCCGCTGACGGAAAGCTAATATTTTATTTAAAAAATAGTTTCGATCTATTTAAAACAATAACACTGATTATTATAAAGAAAAAACCAAATTTTTTAAGATTTGTTAAAAATAGAGTACACATGAACACAGACAGACTAGCTTATCTTGACTAGATTATTTTAATCGTCAAGGAAATGCTTTAAACGCAAACGACAGGGGTGGTGAGGTGGGGCTCTCCTCCGCCACCTGAGGCCCAACCACTAAAATATCTACGGTCATGTGCTGGAGAACGAGGCTTGGAAAAAGACTAGCTCACCTGATGAGCGGTGTGGGTGTGAGCAGGTACGCGCCGGCCCGGTGCGTGATCCAGGGCGCGGGGGGCGCTCGGGTGGGCAACAGGGGGGCGCGCATACGGAGGCGGGGCCGCGCCGCCCCTGTCCACAGGCGAGCTAACGTCGGGTGGGGCTTCAGTTCCAATCTTACCAAACGCCCCCACGGACGGTGCACTTTGTACACCGCTGGCAACTTTTTCCTATACAAATATAATCGAAGAGACTTATGAAACAAAAGGCACGGCCAAAGGTCGGCCTTTGGCAGCTCCTACTGTTGTCTCGGTTTGAATACGTACTCGTCTGTGTTTATTTTAATTTAAGTAAACCATAAAAAATATTTCGGAAAAAATAAATACGTCTTTTGCTTTAAAATTAACGAAAATTTAACCATTTTTATACCTGCAAAAACGCCATTCATGATGCCATTCCGATATGTACACAAAACAGACCCATAGAGTATGTTATTTAATAGATTAAAATATGTCAATCAGACGAGGTCAGAGGTGCCATCTACGAGTTTAATTTATTATAATATTTTGCGAAGCGACGTCACAACATGACGGGTCATGTTTCAAGTCACGTGATATACACACAAAAATTCTAAGAATAAGATATCTCCAGTTCTAATAATAATATGATAAGGTTTAATATTATTATTATTAATATAAAATTATGCGCTTTTATGATTCAAAACCAGAATACCTTTTTTTATTTTAAAGTTAGTACATACATAGTTTTGTGTAATTTCATGACACATTTTTCACTACCGAAACTATCTTATTGACGCAATTTAGCAAGCAAGACAAACTGCAAATGTAACTGGGGGTCGCTATTATAGCGTTTAGCATCGAATCGTAGCACGCCATATGTACGAATAATATGTAAACTTACTTAGTTATGGTTATGTTATGGCATATCTGCGTTATGGCACTATGAATAGAACACAATAGTGCTCTATTCATAGTGCCATAACGCACGGAACAGTAAACAGTGGAGTTAACCGACCGATGTTACGATGTTATGCTGCTCGTTCTTGCAGAACGCAATGTAGAAATAACGCGCTATAATAAATAACTGTATTTCAGACACGGGGATAGTTTAGAAGGGCAATACGATATTACATCTATTTTTAAAAAGTATATCAATTCAATCCTAAGGTCCTAATAAACCACGAAAAAAATAAAAAAAAAATATTCAGACAGTAAGGGCCGGTTTCACCGGTTGCTGATAAAGTCCCTGATAGTCTATCAGGAACTTATCTGCCAGATAAACTACAACTTTTGATTTCACAGGTCTCGGATAACTATATCTGGCAGATAAAGTATTATCTAATACTTTATCTGCCATCAGCCATGCCATGCCATGTTATCAGCCGGTTCAAGTGGCTGATATAGACGTTATCTGATAGATAAAAAAAAAGTGACGGGATCGAAAATAGGTTTAGTTTTAGACCATTATTGTGTGCTTTGCGTTGATTGCAGTCACAAGTGTCACAAATATTCTAAAATGGATTTATTTGTGTTTTTAGAAGACGTATTAGATGAAAATTTCGAACGTATTACGCCACCCGGTAGGAATCGAGTAATTAACCCTAGACCTAATTATTTAGAATCACTTGACGTTCAAGATTTTAGGAATCGATTTCGGCTGTTGTTTATATTCTATCGTTAATAGACAGTGATATAAAAACCACAACGGGCTACTAAGTAGAAAATCTCCGTTAACTAGTAAATAAAGAAGCTCCGTTTCTTCTTAATTAAAATTCACACTTCTTTCACGTTTTTGTTTTTTCATTATTAATTAACAGATCCAAAAAGAATACACAAAGAAAAGTTTAAAAATTGAAAAGCGTCTTAAGTACAAAATATCAACAAAGCAAAACAAATGATAGTTGCGTTTCGTTTCTGTAAACACGTAGCTAAGTATACGAATATCGTATTATGTTCATTCTAGAATCATAAAATTATAATTCAAAATATATGAAAAAAGTTTACTTAAATAATATTGAACACAAAAAAATATATTAATTAAGTTTTAAAAATGATTTTTGATTGACGATTATTTGGGTCGTAGTATTGAAACGCAAAAAAGCGACGTTGCCGTTCCGTCAACTAATAAGTGGCCGATAACTTATCTGCCAGATAAATTATCTAGCAGTTTGATGGTGAAACAGAAAAAAATTAACAGCAACCTTTATCCAGTAGATAGCGTTAACTATCAGATAACTATCTGAAACTTTATCAGTAACCGGTGAAACTGGCCCTAAGTATTATAAAATTACACCTAAACTTTACATTTTCAAATTTCGCGCGAATTGGACCAAAATGCTGGTTGCCATGTTGCTTTGTAGTTGTGAAGTCACTTGGTTTTGTAAGCGCGTTGCTAATGGGTTCCAATATTTTAATGCATTTTTTATCATTTTAAATAATAGTCATAAGAAGATAGTACTTACATAAATACGAGGGTCAAACTGAAAGTTCTTAGAAAATCAAAAACTGATTACATTAGCCAGTTATTAGTTTTATTATATCTTTTCAAAATATTGTCCATTCACGTCAATACACCGCTGCATGCGATGGAACCACTGGGAAAAGCACTTTGCCCACTCGTCCTTAGGGGTCTCTTCAATGGCATCGCGATACGCAGCCACCGCTTCTTCAGCATTCATAAACCGCTTTCCTTTAAGTTTTTCTTTAATTTTTGGAAATAAATAAAAATCACAAGGCGCGAGGTCGGGGCTATACGGCGGGTGACCCAGTAATTCAACGTTTGATGTCGCCAAATAGTCGATCGTTCGCTTGGCGGTGTGCGACGAGGCGTTGTCGTGGTGAAGGAGGATCCTACTGCGAGGTCGTTTCTCTCGAACTTTTTCCAAGACAAGTGGCAAACAATTGGTAGTGTACCATTCTGCAGAAACTGTTTTTTGATCCTCTAACACAATTGTTGCAAAATGACCTATCCTTCCAAAGAACGAGGCCACCATTTTTTTTCCCGCACTTCGATCTCTCTTCACTTTAGTTGGCAACTCCTCGAAAGGAAACACCCACTGAGCAGATTGTCTTTTGGTTTTAGGATCATAACAGTAAATCCAGCTTTCGTCACCTGTTAGTATGTCGAACACAGCATTTGAGTCACCTCCGTTAAATCTTTCAATCATTTTACGACACCAATCCACACGATGGAGTTTTTGAGCCTCAGTCAAATTATGAGGTATCCACCGGGCGCAAAGCTTCCTGACCGCTAAATGTTCGTGGAGGATTTTGTGCACTTGACTCATACCGATGCCTAAGCTTGTCCGAATCTGTTGATAGGTCACTCTTTTGTCAGTCTCTATCATACGCCGCACAACACAGATGTTATCTTCAGTCGTCGCCGTAGAAGGCCGTCCCTCACGTAAATCATCAGTGAGATTAGTGCGACCACGTTTAAACTCATTAAACCAGTTGTAAACAGTCGCACGAGATGGGGCTTCATCGTGAAAGGCCAATCGTAGTCTATCATAACTTTCTTGTTGACTTAAATGACATCGAAAGTCATAAAAAATCATTGCACGAAAATTTTCTCGTGTTAAATTCATGATGACGTGACACAGACAATTTTCAATTTGCCGCCAAATCGTAAAACAAATGACAAATGAATGAAATATATACTCAGTAATATTGGCAAAGAGTTATATTTTCAAATTTTAGAATTATTTTTTATTATATTGTTTATAAGTGGCCAGTTCTAAGAACTTTTAGTTTGACCCTCGTATTTAAACATTGCGTAATACAACAGAACAAAAATGAGATTTGTTTATTAGCAAAAAAGCTTTCCGACGATAAGTGTTTATCTAAAACCTTGTTTTCCTCAATAAATTATAGAAAAATAACATCTAAACGTATTTATCTTGCTTGAAACTTATTTTTCTTCTTAGTTTACAAACCGAATAACGTCACATAATGGCGGCTACAGATTCGCGTAATAAAAACACAGGCTAAAGATTTGAGTTTGATTTGAATTTAAAAAATCACGCTCTAATGAGCATATTTTAGTATATATCGACTACTATATAAGCTTATAACTTTTTTAAGACATAAAAATATCAAACTGAACTCACTGTTTAGGTTTAGACTTGAACATGTTAACGTCGATCTTTACGTCGTTGATGATTATGTTATACAAAAACTTTCCAATGTTCTGTCGCATCTCCATCGGCCACGGAGCTTCTACGGTGTCCTACAAATAAAGAATTTGGAAATGCCACAAAACTTATGGTTTACTAGATTTTGACGTTACAAATGTAGTAATTTCTATTATTCTGTAATGTGTTTTTAACAAAAAGGTTTCTCTGAACTAGACAAGAATACTGATGGATTAAAAGGAAATGTCTTAATTTTATGATTAAAAATTAATTAAATAATTAAAGATGAGTACCAAACTAGCTCCATCGCGGTGCAAGTGAGACAGATGTAACCATGCCTGACGTGCGTTATATGGCCGCTCCTCAGTGCCAGATCGCTGTACAAACCACTGGCAATATTTTTCATAAATCTCTTCGACTTTTTTCAATACCCCATTTCGACGGTATTGCTCAATCTGATATCTGCATGAAATATTTTAATAATAAAAGTTTGGATATTGCATTTTTTATAATAATTATTATTACAATAATTTACTGGCTGATCAATGACATTTATTAGCATTCATATAAGTGAAAAAATTATACCAAACGAAAACCAAAATTAAAGTTATTTCATTTAAAATACATAGTAAAAAATATATATATAAATAGGAAAGTTTATGAGATTTTTAATTCATTCATAAGTTGGGTTGATGTAAAGCGCTCACCTATGATACACTTGTGTACCAATCTCCCTCTGTAACAACTTAAGCGTCGGACTGTATGTTTCGCTACCATCGACCAATTTACTAATTTCGTCCATTATTATATCTACGAATTGGTCAACCTAAAATAAAAATGAATATACGTATTTCCTTCCTAGGATAATTTTTTTACTACACCTATAATTAAATAAATTTTAATATTAGGTCCTTACATATGAAATTAGCGTTTTGTCGTACTGGCCACTTTAATCAAACTTCTCCTCCTTGGTTGGGAATTCCAAATTCAAATATATTAATGAGGGTATAAATTTGAATTAGGTTAGGCCGCATTAATTTTTTTTTTCTTCTGTTTGTCCTATTTACGTCACCCAGTATAAAAAATGGAAAACTTGAAATATTATGTTATTTACGATTTCGAGTTCCACCGTGGTACTAGTACTGCGGAAACGGCTCGAAGGGTTAATGATGTGTATGGCGGTTGTGTCGCAAAAGAAAACACAGTGCGTTTTTGGTTCTAACGTTTTCGTTCTGGAAATTTCGACCTGCAAAACAACCCCCTTGGACGGCCGGAGACCCAAGTTAATAATGAAGAATTTAAGGCTATTGTGGAATCGGATCCATCGCAAACCACGTCCGAGTTAGCTGCAGGCTGCGGTGTTAGTAATAAAACTTTTTTAATCCACTTGAAGCTAATTGGAAAGATTAAAAAGCTTGAAAGATGGGTACCTCACGAATGGAGTGAAGCAAACCGGCACAATAATGAAGGGTTTTTAAATCGAATCATTACCTGTGATTAAAAGTGGATTCTCTACGATAATCGGAAGCGCTCATCGCAATGGTTGGACCCTGACATGCCAGCTAAATCCTGCCCCAAGAGAAAATTGACCCCAAAAAAGTTACTTGTAAGAGTTTGGTGGGCTACTACCGGTGTCGTCAATACACTTTTCTTAAATCTGGCCAGACGTTTACGGCAGACGTCTATTGTCAGAAATTTCAAACCATACTGTAAAAACTAGCTGTTAAACAACCGAGGCTGGTCAATCGCTCTACGCCACTGCTACTTCACGAAAACGCTAGACCACACACTGCACAACAGACGGCTACCAAATTAGAAGAGCTTCAATTGGAATGTCTAAGACATCCACCGTACTCCCCGGACCTTGCACCAACAGATTACCATTTTTTTTCGATTCAACTCCGATGGGGCAGTGCAAATCGCCTTGACAGATTTTATTGATTCCCGTCCGAAAGTTTTTTTTAGTGAGGGGATCAATGATTTACTTATGAGATGACAAAAGTGCATAGATAACAATGGTTTATACTTTGATTATATAAATATATTATATTAAAAAATATTCGACTTTTTGTTCATATGTAAGGACCTAATATTAACCTTAACCCACTTTAAAATAGAATGCAATTAAATTTTATTCACTTATTGAATATATATTAAGGTACAAATTTTATCAGGGGAAAATAGACCTTAATGAGTCACACTAGCATATCAAATATTACTATAAAAGTTACTGCATTTAATGCACATACTCGTGCAAATAATAGTTCTTTAAATTTGCGTTTCTTCGTGTGCTATACGATGACGTCACGTCGCGACACGACAGTCAGGCTCGACTGCAGGTGATACTGAGTGTTTATGTTATGGATAAAATCTGATTTGTAAAGTGGTTTATATTTAATATTTTAAGTGTTTTTATAGTTCTGTGTTATAAATCAATTTGGATATTTTTCTTACTAACTAACATGATTGAAAACAGTGATGGAAAAGGGTTTTGTAAAAGGACAGTCGGATAACCTACCAAAAGTTGTCATTTTTATGGTATTTGCGATATTTGTCCGAGGATGGTGATTGTGTAAGAGCTGAAATGCGAGGCATAAAACTGAATAAATAAGTAATGTCTAACTACTCATTTACGTTACTACAGGTAATTCAGTCAAGTTTTGCTAAAATATGACTTTTGTTTTTGTCGAGTTTCAAATGGCGCTAGGTGTTACAAACATTTTCAAAAATTGTAGTAAAGTAGGTCATTAACCTGCTCATTCAACTAGCTGTAGTTTTAGATTAGGTGTCTATTGCTGTATACATAATGAATACAACACTTAAGTCGTAATGATCTTCACAACATGTACGTGACTTGTGTGTGCGAGAGAATCAGCTCTTTTCATAACCTTCAACCATTTTTTTCGAATATTTCTATCATATGGTAGGTACAGAAAAAAACAATTTTTGGGGTGTTTTTTAACTGAAGTTGGTAGACAATAGGGACAATACAATATTTTCAATTTTGTTCAATCACTTTAAAAAAATATTTTATATTGAAATCACGAGAGCGCATCGAGCCCAAGTATGTAGGTGTCCGCAAGTATCGACTGACAGTATCCCGAAGTGACGACGTGCGGTCGCTTCGCCGGATTTTGCCGCGAAGGCCGGACATTAACGTTTAATATCTCTGTCATTTTTGAAGATAGGAAAAAAATTAAATCAGTTTCTTTTTACTCGAGTTACCTAATTTTTTATAGATCTGCTGATAACAAAAATCATTGGTGTGACTCATCATGCTATTATTATTAAAAATTAAATTATATCGCAAAATGTTAAAACTTACCTCTAATACTTTGAGGTAAGGATAAAGCGTGATCGCTGAATGTGACGCGTTACTCTGAGACTTCAACGTTCCAATGTTACGTATGAACGCCTCCTTTATGACGTCACGCCACTCATTCTCTGTCTCTTGCAATTTCTTCCTCTATCAAAGTGCATACTCAATATAAAGGATATCAATAATATTTTAGGAATTGAAATGATATCTACTTTATAGTAAGGGTAAAAAAATTTCATTTAATGCCTTTTATTCAAAATTAATCAAAACCTTAGTTTACAGATTGCAAAGTAAAACCATAAAATCTATTTTACTACTTACACAGAACTTAACCGACTCTGGTATCACATCTTCTTTAACAATAATATTCTGAACCTCTATATCTCCTTTGATTTCTATTTGCAATTGCTCTTTCCCGTTCTGAATAGTCTCTTCTACAGACAGAAGACCTTCTGCGGGGGACTGGAACAGTCCTTTTCTTGCTTTTACATTTTCCAATTTCAATTTTTCTAGCAAAGGACAATCGTAATCCAATACAGGCGGTGTATATTGTGGTTCAAAGCCCGGTTCTACTCTGCGCACAGCTTTGAGTACTTGTTCCCTTTGGTCATATAGAAATTTTGATCTATCTAATATGTCATTCAAAGTAATAGCCTGAAAGAAACAATACACAGGCGATAAGAATATGATAAAATAAAGTCATGCTATAGCTCTTTATCTCTGTTATTCATAACAGTTTTTATTTATATAGATAAATAAGAATGTATACATAAATAGTTACCTTTTCTTGCATTAATTTTCGGTAGAATTTCAATATCGACACTTTGTCACTCAATTCACTACGTTCTACACATTCAAATATGGCAGCAAAGCTTTGTTCATTAGGTTCCACTTTACCTTCAGTCATAAAAGACAGCAATTCTTTCACATTTTCCAACTGACCCTGGTTGTAAAAAAAAATGTTACTTTTTTACTTCTTAATAATAAATCATAAAATTTTAACCATAAAGTAACAGGATCTCAACCTCTCTGTGTCGGAACGTAGACCCGCACATGATAAAACACACGCGTAAAACTACGCTTATTTCAACTTAATTAAAAAACGGGTGACAAAGCAGCACGAGCCATTAACTTCCAAAGGATGGTGCCCTTTTCAGAGTGCACACCCGGACAGAGGAAAGGTTAAGATATGCAGATACCAGAGTGGAAATTAATCACTTTTTCATACTGCTTAATACATATACAATTACGTATTATGTAAATATTAAATATTTGTTAAATACTTTAGAATATAACACCACTATTTACCATGGAAGCATAGCCATGCAACAAAATATTGTAAATGGTGACATCTGTGACTTTAGGATGGTCAGGCCCTCGAAAACTCTTCTGTCTATAATATTGCAATATTTGACGTGCCTAGGAACAAATAATAAAAGATAAATATATGCATCTGTATATCATAACAAATAAACAAAGATTGGCTAAAATAAAATACTACTAAATAAGAACAATGGCCATCTGCCTAACATAATATCTAGAATCAACTAGTAAAATCGAATAAAATGTAATTTGAAGAAACATATGTTATTTTGTTTGCCTATGCAACTAGAACAAAGTAAGACATTAAATATATTTTTAAAAGCTGGGAGTATGGAGTAATTGTGTTATATGTTTTTGAGGTTATGTCGTTTATTTAAACTGTAGCATTTTGAGTTAGAGGTATTACAGTTGAAATATGTAAAGCACACGTCAGATAATGCCTAATGGTGGTCCTAGAAGTGCATACTTTCACATAATACTTCAAACTTGCTCCATATCTGATATATTATTTTTAATCACTGTAAGAAATTAACAGGGAACCATTGAACCTTCAAAAAAAAAAATAGAATTTTTAACATTGCTCTCAATAACTCTACTTTTCTATCTTACATTATAACGTATATAAAGTAGTAATGAAAACACTAATTTCAAAAGGGTATAGCAAAACAACTTGTTGAATTTTCTTTTCTTTATTACAACTCTAATGAATACCTCATCATGGAATGATACAGGAACAGCTACATTCTGTTCGTGTCGGGCCCATCCAAGCTATGGTCATTATATGAGCACAGCATCCCAGTGTACATCAACCAATAAGACAATTACAGCAGTATTCTCTTATGCCATTTAACCCGGATATGTCATTTATTAAAATGTAGAAATAATATTGTTTCCTCCCAATGTTTTGACTTAATTCTACCCCTTATAATTAAGACTTCATTAATATTTAAGTCTAACTCGAATAAATCCAGAGAATCCGGTATTTCTCTACAGACTACAATTTTATACTGCCCATGGAACCTAGTATGCTCCCCATAATACAGAAGATAAAACAAAATCGCACAGAATGCAAAATTGCTGCCAAAGCTTACAAAAACGTCTATTGTATATCTCGCAATGAATTGATTACTGTAATATCGATTTTTATGATCAAGCATTCGTTTTTAATTTCATTATAAATAATCTATTATCCTCTAGTAACATCTAATTATATTAGTAATCTATCTAAGTTTTATAATTTTCATAGATTTATATGGTTAATAAATAATACAAGATTTGTATCAAATTCGATTAGTCATAAATAAAATAGCATCTTGTTCTTTTTAAAAGAGATGGACTTCTCTAGTAATGTCATTACATATTATTAATTACAGATGCGTTCAAAAATAACATAATTTTAACTGCATTCTAAAAAGTAAAGACATATTTTAGAGAGGATTATCTTTCTTTTCCCAGCTTTTAAAAATAAATTGTTTGTATATAATAATTACATTAAACTTATACTACATTTTGGTCATAGATCCATCTTGGTAACAAGAACTTTTTTTCGTAGTCCATTTTGACCATTGTTCTTTAGCAATGCAAAAGTGATGAAACATAATAAAAAAAATACATGTTATACAAAAAGTAAATCCCACCTCCTGCACCATGTGAAGTGAGCACAGCAGTTGTAGATGTGCAGTCAGCAACTTGTGCAGTGACTCCTGTTTGCCACGCTGCTCCAGTTCTTTAATGTCATGCTTCATATTAAGCTCTTGCAAAGCATGACGTTTATCACGCATTGCTTTCCTTTTTGCTTTCATGGTTTCTTTGCTGGAATTTATTCAAACTATAGTTTACCTACTAAAATTACTTTTCCATGTAGTATATTTGACTATTGTAAATAGCCAGGTCACAAACCTTCCATAAGGATAGAATCGCACAGGGACAATATGCATTGTTTTTTCCCCTTCTACTACTCTGCTACGCTCATGGTGTGGTTGAACCAACCCAATACAAGACGCACAAAATGGTCCTTCGAGCTGGATGGACCAACCCAATACAAAATGCTACATACATATATGTACATGATTTTTCAAATAGCAATAACAAAATAAGCCCCTAATATTATATTAACTAATATTATTAGTTTTAATACTAAAAGAAATAGTTTTAATACTTAAACTACTCAAAGTAATAAATATATACTTACGCTTTCTTTATTTTCAAACTTTTCACTTGATTTTTTTCAGGAACATATTCTATATTCTCTTCAGCATCATGATCTTCTTTTATGTCAGATATTTCATTATGTAATACTGAGTCATCCAACATTTCATCAAGTGCTGGATGTGTGATAGCATGTGACCTGAATTAGTTTATTTAAAAATAACATTTATTAATATCTTAATTATTATTGTAACATTAAATTTAAGTTTCAAATTCAATACCTATTACTTATAAATAGGTTAAAAAAAATTAACTGACAAAATATAAACAGACAAATTTAATTTTAAAATAAACATTTTCATGCTTTTGTTTTGATTTGAATATTAAGTTAATAAAAACTTACTGTATTGTGGATATATGAGCCATTAATTCTTGATCATAACTGTCAAGATTGTTATCTATAAATAGTTCTCTAAAAACTGCACGAGGGCTTTTTGGTATATTATGTTTATATAATTCTTCTTTAACATTTGCTTTTGGAATTTCTATGTCAAACTCTTGTGACAGACCTTCACTTATTGCATATCTAAGATCTTGAAGCCTTTGATCATATATAGTGGCTCTTCTGAAATTATAGTAGCTTTCCTTTATCATTTCTATGTACTGTTTGTTTTTGAGTGTATCTTCAAAGCCCGAAATTTTATTACTTGTGTAAAGAAGGGCACAGTCATCATACTCTAATATGATTTCCTTGGCAGCTGGTTTGTTATTTTTTAGTATTTTATCTCTTACAGTTTTAAGCAATTCTGTATCTACTTCAGAAATATTTGATTCCTTTATAGTTTTTGAGGTCAACTGATACAGTTGTCCAAGAGATATAGAACTAGATGCAAGCTTGGAAAGATGAACAGCATGTAACTTATTTATTGCTACCTTAGTTTCAGTCATTTCTTTTTCACCAACTAAAGACAAACATTAATATTAATTAATTGTGTCAAATAGTATTAAAGTATATAATACTGGCAAAATGTAATTTAAATGATGTACAGTACAGAATGTCATGTTAAAGGAAACTTTCAAATTCCTTAAGTTGTTTGAAATTTTAAAATATTAATCTTTAAGTTCAAACTTGACGACATACATTTTAAATTTATGGTAACCTGACATTCTACTACATTAACAAACTTAAGCTACAAAACAATAAAAACCTGCTAGGAGTTCTCCATATTGCCTATAGGTTTTGTGTTTTGCTTTCTTTTTAAGCGACTTTAGAATACTAGCCGTCCTTGTAGATTGATGTCTCACAGAAATATTTTTTTCTGAAAAGAAGCCGCAAGTTACGCAATGAAACACTAGGTTATTAGTTTCAATATTAAACTAGACATGTATCTTTAATGATAAAATACTATATTAAAATTATAATAATATTAAGGCTAGATTTTATCACCTGGGTTGAGCTGGCCTAAAAGAATGCTTCGGCAGTACGAACATTGTATTTTGGTGAGATAAAAACTTTCAATAGAATTGTTAACTGATGTTATTCCATGAAAAGAAGTGTGGTATATATTTCTGGCAGTTATAAGACGATGCATTTTAATTTTGATTTCGTATTTAATTCAAAATAACATTAATATTGTACTTATCACTGCACCTCAAAATGTTAAAAGCACGTGAAAATTGAAACACAGCTGAAAGATCAAAATAAAAGATGACATTATTTCTTTTAAATAGCAAAGGTAAAGTCACAGACCAATAAGAGAACTAGTGGTAAAGTAAAAGGCTCATAACAAGGTTCGACTATAGACAAAAACAGACTGGACTGCGTATTTTAGATTTTGTATTTGTGTAATGCTAGCGCCATACATATCTTCAAAGTTTGAACACACAAATACAAAATATTTTAATAAAATTGTGTCATTAAACACTTGACCGTTATTTGAAACTTTATGGTTTGAGATAGGCTCTATGGTTTCGTGCTTGCCTGTTTGCCTCTCTTTCTACATATTTTGCCTTTCACTCGCACATCTGACGTCACTCTACTCGACCACCAGGCAGGCTTTGCGCGCTTGCTTCAACGGCGTCTTGTTTCCTGCAGCGCACGGAGGTGCTTCAACGGGTATCTAGTGAGTACATTAACAAATCTTTCTTCTTAGAAGTCAATTGTTGTAGATATCCTAGCCTCTTTTATTATACAGCGTGTTTGGTAATACCTGTATAATCCCGAAACATGGCCATACAACCTAGCACAAAGAACACAATTGATAGGTCAAAAAACAATTTCATGTAAATTGATATTTTCATACAAATATTTGAACAATTTGTTTTCAATTACTATGCTACAACCCTGTAAGCTTACACGTGCCGTCCCGGCGCACTCGCTCTTTCTCTCTCTCTCTCTCTCTCATTACCTCTCACTCTCTCGTTTCCTTGAATACATTTTGATGTTGCCGACGCGCGCACTCGACTACGTATGAGTTTACTTGTAATTAAAACAATTTAAGATTAAATAGGTACATACCTATAGCGTTCTAATCACTCTTTCAGCTTTCACTTGTCAACATTACCTACACTTCACCTCCACTTTATCAGTCCAGGGTCTCGATATGCCGGCCACCGCATAAAACACACATCTCCATTCGACTCGACACAGACCGTGTCGTGTTACTCTCGACGTAAAGTCATATCCTCTGTCTCGATGGAATAGGTGATCGGCCGGCCTACCTGTGGCACACTATGGAATGAACCAGTTGTATGTAACCAATTCACAAATGCCGCGAATCACCGGTAAGAAGGAAGACGTCGATGGTTTTCAGGTCTTCCTGACACGTGGCGCTCGTCATAACGCCGCCGAGCCGCAGCAAGATTACCGTCACAAGCACCGCCACACATTATCATCTCGTAATATTAGGCATTTGAGTACGAATTCATTGCACTGACCGCACACAAACATAATACACAGGTAAACAGAACGAGAATGAAAAACAAACCAAAAGTCCCGAAAGAACGAAAACGTAAGTTGACCTTCTAAATTCTGAAAACTCACAAGTACGCCGATGAAAGTCACGGACGCGACTGACGCGATGACCAAAACTACATAGGTTATTATTATTGCAACTCGAACACCAATGTACCTAAATCAAAAGTGTACCGATTTTGGGGTTCCGCGTCAAGAAATATTATTTATTATTAGACCTTTCCATTACAACTAACCTTTATTTAATTATCATTTAAACTAAGAATAAGAGAGATACTTAGATTATTAATATCATTGTATAAGTCCGTATTTTATTGTTTCGTGAAAATAACACGGCTTTATGAAAAAAATAACAAAACTTCAAAGCAAATAATCTACAGAACCTTACTGACACATCAGAAACCCGAGTTTCTCAATACACATCGTCGTCGATTTTATGTCTCTCTCGCTCCTTCTTGCATAGACTAATGTGAGCAATGGTGCAGATATTGAACTTCAATCAAAGTATTTGCAATTTCTTTTTTATTTTGACTGTATTATTACAGAAGTTTTCATATTAATAGTTTTTGAAACACCGTTAATCACAAGATTAGTGTTTTTTTATAGTTAAAAGTCATTTACTACTAACTTTTTCTTTGTTTGGAAATAATAAATTCCTCTCAGATGCATATTTATTCTAGGCATTTATCTTTAGATTTATTTAACTTCTGTTATTTTTTAAACTAGTTCGGCACATGGAGTCGATGACCAAATACAACACAACAGCTGTTTTTAGGGTTGTCAGCGTACAGTTTTACTTCGAAGAAAAAAAGCTGAATATCTAGGTCATGTGCTGGGTTTCAGTCTTAGTGATCATTTTTCTGGGTTCTATTCATCATACCGTATGTGCCATATTTGGGATTATACAGGTATTACCAAACACGCTGTATTTAAAATTCATGAAATGAATTCAAAAAATTTATTTATTTTTTCAAAGTAATAATTTTATATTTGGTTTTTTATACGACCTCCGTAGCCGAGTGGTTCGCACGCCGGTTTTTAAGGTGTCGCCATCTCTGAGGTCCCGGGTTCGATTCTCGGTCGGGTCCAGTAGAAAATGAACTTTTCTATATTGTCTCGGGTCTGGGTGTTGTGACACCTTCATTGTCTCATATACTCCATAATATGGGAGCTTTAGCTACTCATCTTGGAATCTGAGCAATGTATGTGATTTTTTTTATACATTATATATATACAAGTACGTAAATCTACAATTTTGCCAACCGTATATGAAGCATTTTTGATCAATAGGGTAGACTTTACTTTCTTTCGAAATTGTTCAATTTCAAATGTATAATTACTTATATTTAGAATACAACTAAATTTCTTTTATCTAGATATTTTCAGAGAGTCATTAAATCATTAATTTCATAATGAATAATTCAAATGATGGAAATGTTTACAGTAATAATGAGAATACATTACATAGTGATACGGCTAGTAACGGATCTCACAATCGAACAAAGAAACGAAATAAGCGTTGTCGCAGTTCCTCGAGTAGTAGCTCTTAGAGCTCCTCGTGTAGTTCTTCGTCATCCTCATCGTCTTGTACAGAGCCTGTGCAGTCAAAGCGTAACCGTCAACGCGAGATCGTCGTTTCAGTAAATTAATTCGCGAAGTGTGTCCTACGTAAACGAGTGTCTTATTACAATATGCCATCCACGTCGCGTTCGAATCGTAATTACGAAGAAATTATAGATGGTAACGTTAGCGAAGAGTTATTTCGAGATTGTAATGTTAGCATTTATTCTCAACCCGGTTTTAATTTTGAAATCGAAACAAAGTTAAAGGAACCCTCAGTTCCTAAAACACATCAAAGTTTTTTTTTTTTAAATATTAATAGATATTCAGCAAACTGAAAGTTCTTAGAAAATCAAAAACTGATTACATTAGCCAGTTATTAGTTTTATTATATCTTTTCAAAATATTGTCCATTCACGTCAATACACCGCTGCATGCGATGGAACCACTGGGAAAAGCACTTTGCCCACTCGTCCTTAGGGGTCTCTTCAATGGCATCGCGATACGCAGCCACCGCTTCTTCAGCATTCATAAACCGCTTTCCTTTAAGTTTTTCTTTAATTTTTGGAAATAAATAAAAATCACAAGACGCGAGGTCGGGGCTATACGGCGGGTGACCCAGTAATTCAACGTTTGATGTCGCCAAATAGTCGATCGTTCGCTTGGCGGTGTGCGACGAGGCGTTGTCGTGGTGAAGGAGGATCCTACTGCGAGGTCGTTTCTCTCGAACTTTTTCCAAGACAAGTGGCAAACAATTGGTAGTGTACCATTCTGCAGAAACTGTTTTTTGATCCTCTAACACAATTGTTGCAAAATGACCTATCCTTCCAAAGAACGAGGCCACCATTTTTTTTCCCGCACTTCGATCTCTCTTCACTTTAGTTGGCAACTCCTCGAAAGGAAACACCCACTGAGCAGATTGTCTTTTGGTTTTAGGATCATAACAGTAAATCCAGCTTTCGTCACCTGTTAGTATGTCGAACACAGCATTTGAGTCACCTCCGTTAAATCTTTCAATCATTTTACGACACCAATCCACACGATGGAGTTTTTGAGCCTCAGTCAAATTATGAGGTATCCACCGGGCGCAAAGCTTCCTGACCGCTAAATGTTCGTGGAGGATTTTGTGCACTTGACTCATACCGATGCCTAAGCTTGTCCGAATCTGTTGATAGGTCACTCTTTTGTCAGTCTCTATCATACGCCGCACAACACAGATGTTATCTTCAGTCGTCGCCGTAGAAGGCCGTCCCTCACGTAAATCATCAGTGAGATTAGTGCGACCACGTTTAAACTCATTAAACCAGTTGTAAACAGTCGCACGAGATGGGGCTTCATCGTGAAAGGCCAATCGTAGTCTATCATAACTTTCTTGTTGACTTAAATGACATCGAAAGTCATAAAAAATCATTGCACGAAAATTTTCTCGTGTTAAATTCATGATGACGTGACACAGACAATTTTCAATTTGCCGCCAAATCGTAAAACAAATGACAAATGAATGAAATATATACTCAGTAATATTGGCAAAGAGTTATATTTTCAAATTTTAGAATTATTTTTTTATTATATTGTTTACTAGTGGACGCCCGCGACTTCGTCCGCGTGGAAGTCGGTATCCCGTGGGAGTGAGAAGTTTTCCCAGTAAAAAGTACCCTGTTTGATAATAACGAACGGTGTTAAGTCCGTTATGCAGACACTCGGAAATCTTATAATCTTTCACCCGCATTAACTGATTTAGACGTTAATGATGAATTAAAGATATTTGAATGATAAAACATTTGCTGCGTTAACTTTTGTGTACTGAAGCAACGCGATGCTTTATTAACAGCCTTACGATCTTTGCTGCAATAGGGACACGATAAAACCGTGTTCCATTATGAGCAATTTCATGAAATCAATTCCTCTGAAATGCTACAAATTATTTGTGGTGATAAGGCCTAAGTAATACAGATGAGGAGAGACGCTATTGTAAATTTCGTTCGAGATCCGTTAATTAAAGTAGCCTTAAGAAAAATTCCGCCAGCCTGCTAACAAGGCTAACGAACCTCCCCTCGCTGGGGAAGATATTTCTCAATGCTCCCTCGCAGGGAAGCGCTCATGGATATTGTGCATCTACGCATATTTCCCATGCAAATCAACCTCCGCAAGGTTGGTATCAACCTCGTTCCTCGCAGGGACAGAAGGTACAAAGCAGAACATTTATTCAAACAAGAGGAATTGACTACCCTCCTATAAAAAACAGGTAGAGTACGAAAAGCTTTTGTGATCTTGAACAAAGCAGGCTAACGAACCTCCCCTCGCTGGTGCAGGTATTTCTCAATGCTCCCTCGCAGGGAAGCGCTCATGGATATTGTGCATCTACGCATATTTCCCATGCAAATCAACCACCGCAAGGTTGGTATCAACCTCGTTCCTCGCAGGGACAGAAGGCGACAAGTAGTGATTTTCATTCGGCCACTTTATACAATAGAGGTTTGGTACAAAGAAGGTCGTTTGAACAATAGAGATCACGATCACAATAGAGGACGTAAACATACATCCATCCATCCATTGAGAATAATGCGCACGCAATTAATGTAAGTTTTGACAAACAGGCACTAAAAGGGGGCCAGTTGTCGCAATATCATCACCGTTGGCGTTACTGGGTGCTCCATATTATATTCTGAGGCTCAATCAGGGGTATTGCATACCCTTTCTTCGGGGGTATTGCAAAGTCGTCTTTAGTTGTACCAAATCCTTACGACAACCGGTTTGCCACTCCTATCACCGACACAATGACATCGTTAATATTACTATTATAGAGTCAAGCTGTTCTCGAACCAGTCGAAATAGCACCACGCTTTCTTTCAAAGATGTTGCTTGTTCTAAAGACCGATGGCTCTCCACGGCCCATTTTCAACCGTTAAACGATTTTGTCATAACAGCCCCAAAAGTCACAAACTGGGTAGCCCAAAGTCTACGAGCAGAGGGGATACGTATAACTGTTACTGGGACGATTTTCTCATGACCCACTAAGATCAGCAGGTCTTACAATTTCGAGCTCAGCTCTCGAAAGAATGCAGTTTCTTGACTGGCAAGTAAATCTGGAAAAATCTCCTCAACAAAGCCTTGTTTTTCAGGGGATGAAAGTAGCGCAGCAAAAAAGAATTACAGCCTTATCGGCCTATTTAATTTTTCCAGCTTCGTAATCCCTCAAGGGCGATTACATATATATATATATATATATATATATATATATATATATATATATATATATATATACCAATCCACCCTTCTATGGCAAAGCGACAACAAAACAGCTATTGCTTACATTCGAAACGAAGGTGGAACAAAATCCGCATCTCTGATAAATATGGCATACCAAAACTTTCAGTTAATGAAGCTGCATTTAATTTGAATAATTGCGTATCACATACCGGGAAGGTACAACGGCCATGCAGATCATCTATCTCGTTTCTGATTACCACCAGAGTGGCATCTTCTACCTGTGTGTGCCTGTGATTGATTTATTTGTATTAAAGACTGCTCATGTCGTTGCGAATTATGTTTTTTTTGGACCAAAACGATGTTCATTCAATTTATTACGGAGCTTTTTCCCGTTAATAGAACTATGCGAAAGGTTGGATTTTCCTTCCTCCTTATCTAATTTTCAAAGAGTTAAGTCACCTCAACCAAACTCAAGGCACTTATTTCCTCAGTAGGATCGAGTAATTTGGTGAGCAGGTCTGAAATCCAGAGCATTGGTTCCACCGTTTACCATACCCCACCTAAGTCGTTACCTGATAGATACCTCAACGAATTTTTCCATCTTCGAAAGTACAAGAGATGATATTGGTATTGTGGATTTGTAGGGCTGGTCTAGTAACCTAACTGACTGGGACGAATCCCAGCTCAATCTTTTACAATCATCATGGCGCTCATCTACGCGCAAGACATATAGGGCAGCCTGGCTTAGGTGGCTTAAATGGAATAAGCTACATAAGTTTAATGCTTTTCAACGTAATGGTTCAGTATTAGCAAGGTTTTTAGCTTATTTATACCTTAAAGAATTATTCTCTTATATATAACACAGTATTGTTACGTAATATCCAACTTGTGTAATACAGAACTATCAGGTTCCCATAGTTCTCACGTGTTTATTCGACACGTTGTTACGGCAATTTCTTTTAAAAACCCCGTAACACACAAAACGTCTGTTTGGGATGTTGATAATCTTATGTCTTTTTTAAAACATTATACTTTGACAAAGAAAGCAAATTCTTAGTCTCTGGACACACTGCAATATGACTTTGTTTAGGTCGTAGAGTTCATGACCTTTATTAGCAGTAGATTTTGACAATTTTAAGAGAAATGACGACTACATTATTTTAAAATGTAAATTTATATATCTACTAAAACTATTGCACATTATCAAACAGTAAATATGTGATACCCTTATTTTATGACGTCTGTTACCCCATATTTTTATGCAATAAATGATCGATTGATTGATTGATTTATGGCCTAGGTTTGGATCTAAATCTGATAATTCCAACTGCAGGCAATCGGATTGGAAAATAATGACAGATACAAGTAATAAAAATCTCGATCCCGTTTATTGGGTAAATAAATGTATGAACCTATTACAAGATCGACAAATAATCTTTCAGTCGACGAAATCTTATCTCGTAGTAACTGGAGATCTGAAAATACTTTTAGAAAATTTTATAAACGTGAACGTGTCCAACTTTATAGTACGAATCAAAATATTATAAATACTTTTGTAACAATTACAAATTGATTAATTATATAAATTTAAGCAACGTCACTGATTTTGTACTACTTTCAGTTTAGTAATTATTACAAGTCAATGACTTAATAACTAAGTAAATCTTTGCTACAAAATATCAAGCTTATTTAATTTGATACTAAGATTATGTAGGTACCTCGTATATCGAACTCTATAATATGAAACAAACAATTGTGTAATTTTCTTTCAAATCCATTTTTCATGTCTAATGTATCTTACTATCACATTGGCGTCGTTCATCTCCACCAGGCGATAACAAACACGTCTCAAACCATAAAGTTTCAAATAACGGTCAAGTGTTTAATGACAGCGTTTTTCCTGAAATAATACGCTTATTAAATACTTACCTTATTTGAAACTTTAATTTAAATGCTGCCTGGTTGGTTTTTCGATTCAATGAAGCAAGCGCGCAAAGCCTGCCTGGTGGTCGAGTAGAGTGACGTTAGATGTGCGAGTAAAAGGCAAAATATGTAGAAAGAGAGGCAAATAGGCAAGCAGGAAACCATAGAGCCTATCTCAAACCATAAAGTTTCAAATAAGGTAAGTATTTAATAAGCGTTTTATTTCAAGAAAAATGCTGTCATTATTGTACCATACTCGCTTTCAAATAATTTGTGGTTATAATTGTCGCAAAAACACGTAGATTTTTATAACTCTAATTTGAGCACATGTCCGACGCCGACTTAATTATACTTATGAACTTAGAACCTACCTACCACTATAGTATAGAACACAGTGACGGTACAGTATGCTACGAAAAAAAAATAATTAAAAAAATGTCGGATAATGACATTGACGTTGACATGACATCTATGAATGACATGACAGCGGCTGATGTGATGTGCCAGTTTGCCAAAATAGGAAAAAACAGGAAAAAATCTACTTTTTCTGGAGATTTAGTGGTTTTTATTATAAAAAAGAATATATTAATTTGAAAACCTAATCACTTTTTGAATTCTGTCTCACCATGGATGATAAAGTCTTTATGTGTAAGTAACTGAGAAGTTTGAATACCACTTTTAAGAATACTGCTAAAACCCTATTGAATTTTTTATTATTTTTCATTCTAGGGACATCTGAACTCAATAAAAAGTTATTCAAACTTCGTTTCGACCATGATGAATTATTCAAGAAAAAGAAACAGCCATGGAGGTATAAAAATGTGTTCAATATTGATGTCAACAAATTTAAATACATTTTGCTATGATTAAATCACTTGCCTTTATATTATATATTTCGAGATCCCAATCCTATTTATACAAAGTGTAATAAAAATTTTATTGCTATTTTAAAATCATTGCTTACTCACTGAAATGAGTATGTATAAAAAACAAAAAAAAAATGTTTGATGGTTAACATTCTATATAAACATCATTTTATGTGCATGTCGTGCATAGAAGTGGAAGTTGCTAGATATCATAGTTTAACAATACTGTAGATGCAAATTAACATTATACAGGATGACTGATAAACTTATTTTTATATACATTTTAAGATACCACAAACTTAATTGTAAGCACAACTGATGTTACAGAGAATTTTATAAAATACTTATTGAGAATGGTTTCCCAAAAGAGATGACTGTCAATCATGTGAGGAAGAAGTGGTCGTATACCTATGATGTAAGTCATTTATGCCCATAATTTTATTTAGAAGAAAGGTTACATCTGCGTCTGCTTTTTATGTGAATAACATTTTTTATATATTTATATTCAGTTTTAACAAATAACTGTTTAGTGTTCACCAGCATGTGTAGCATGACGAACGCGAAAACGTTTTGTCTACACTCAAATGTCTCTTTTCTCAGGTACGCCCATACTATATCTCACTCTCAACCCGAGAAACTGACAAATGAGTATAGACAAAGTGTTTCTCGAGTTTGTCATGCTACACATGCTGAACAGAAATAAATCAATGCAGTGCTTTAGGAATTCGCAATAGTATTTTATTCTAAATGTGATCTTTTACTAAAATTATATTTTCAGACATATAGAATTGCTAAAAAGACCAAAAATAAAAATTGGAAATACTACAAATTGTTTGATAAACATTTTGGAAAATCTAAAATATTGGATAAATATGAATTTTGTAAGTATAAATATGAAATTATTGAATGTAAATTATATTTAAAATTACAAAAAATTGTGGGTGCGCCGAAGTGAGCCCCCTGTGGGAACCAATAGTACAACATTACAACTTTTAAACATAAATATTAACTTTTTAATTTTTTTTAGCTTTATTTACTGTACTTTCAATCATGAGATGGTAACTTAAAGCTATATACACACTGTCTACATCCAAAAAAACACAAATGATGAGCTGGTCTGCATACTACTTGAAAACTGATTTAAAATTATTTTTTAACAGCATTTCTTTTATTTACTGTTTCACTACTGGAACAATGTGTGGTTCAATACTGGTATAGTCTACAACTTAGTACAACCTGTATAGTCCACCTTAGACACATTACATTTACCACATTTTTTTAATAAGAATAAACTTAACAGCTATAAAAAAAAATATATATATGACAAGTAAGGAGTAGGAATATTGTTTTATAATGTTACTGAATTGTTTTGCTGCTGCAGAAACCACTATATAGACTAATTAACTTTCAGTCATTCTTGATTTGTAATCTTGTTTCAGGGAGTGATGAATGGCGATTAAAACTAATTACTTGTATTTCAGAAGCAACTAGCCATAAACTTGATTTACAAACAATGTGGAAGTATGTAATCAGTATTGATTATTTTTATTTATAATGAAATGATGACTTTATATTTATAGTTCATTATTTCAGGACTGTTGAAAGAGATTTAAGAAATCAAGATATGCCAATTGAATGTTGTATTCAAGATATAAAAGCAATATGGCAACATTTAAAGACTACATTCAGTGTGAGTATTAAACCAATAATGAAAAAGAAAGATATATAGCATTATTACAACTCTTGAAAAGTCAATTTTTATCTCCTACCATATATTCAAGACTCTGTAATTGGAAGGGCTAATGAGACTCTACAACATTTAATAACAATAACAACATTTCGACCCTAGAAAGCGAACACATAACCACAAACCCAAAATTGTACTTTAGGGAAGTATTGGCAGTTTCTGAATTGAGAAAAGTACAATATCTCAACTAATTATTCTCAATAACTTAAGTTTTTTATATTTCACATGGCAAAAAGTCCAAGCTTGATCAAACTGCTATCAACAATCATTAAAAAAATATTTTTTTATTTTTATTTCTGTATGACTTAGGTTTACAATATTTGTTACCTAGATTTATATATTGAAGCTGAAAAGCAAACATGTAGTAAACGGCGAAATCAATTTTTTTTTTTTTAATATTTTATATCTGTATAATTTGACTTGGGAACACCTTATTTATTATCTTGGACGTTTATAAGAATTATTTTTATAAACATCCAAGATAATAAAAGAAAAAAATCTGCTCTGAAGAACAATTTTGATTTTGTAATTTATTACTTGTTAGCTTTTCAGCTTCAATATATATATATTTCACTCTCAAGAAATATGTAGGGTTTGCAGGTTATTACATGTTTGCTTTCTAGCTTCTATTTATAAAATGAGCTGGGTTGTTTAATGAAATGTAACTTAAGCTACAAAATTATGTTGATATATTTCTGTAACACTACATTTTAGTACCCCTTTAACAGTTAAAAGAACCTGAAGAGAATGTCTTTGAAAAATTTACCCACTTTAAACTATTAGATGCCTCAAGTCTTCAAGATTTCTTTTACAGAGGAAACATAGGTTGAAATTGAAAAAGGGCACAGATTCAACCGAGTGGCCATTGTATGATGTGATGCTAAAATATTTCGAAAATTATGAACCAGACTATTTAATTAAATTGAAGAATGAATCTACAGTTGAATTTAGCACAAGGGAAAAGAAATTATCAAGATACTACAGGAAAACAAATAAGGACAACAATGATAATGACAATGAAAATGACTTTCAGTGTGAGTAATTTTAATTACATTACTTGAATGATATTTCGATGAAGTGAAATTTGTTTTTTAATTATTTATCAAATGAGTTTTTAACTATAACAATAAGTTGTGAAGAAAAACAAAAGAAGACAATATCATTATAAATAAAGTGGTCTGTTAAAAATTCTAAAGTGGGTAAAAAAAGTTATTTAATGTCTTGAGTATATTTTACCTCTATCTAAATTAGGGTTAACTTTAAGAGTGATAATTATCATTGATATATTGACAATTATAACGCTAATTATCTTTATAATTATAAAACAATACACAAACTCTTTTTGTACTTTAGGACTTGTTATTAAAGGGGAACCATTTTAAACAACAATCGGGAAAAAAAAATTAAAAGCCCCCTTTTTAATTAAAAAATGTTCAATGTGATTTAACAGGTAAATCTTTTGTTTAATTTTTATAATTTAAAACAAAAAAAAAAATTAATTCAATTATAAATACCGCTCTATATTTAAAAAATTGTTGCCAGTAACTATGGATAATTATCAGACATTTATCTGATAATTAAGTATTTAAAAAAACATTAGTTCCCGAAATGAAACTAGATATCGCTACGGTACTTTCTTGATTTCTCCATGACAATTCCGTTTTTTCTTTCATGTATAAAAGTAAATTAATGTCTGCTGTTGTTTATTTGCAAACAGGGTCAAAAGATATAACAGAAACATTCATACAAATAAGACTGCAAAATGATTGGCTCTTCAGCAAAAAGAAATGGGCTTGGAAGTAAGTTGTTTTGTTATAGAGATGAGAAAATTTCATTACATTTCAGAATATGATTACACAATAATATAATACAATAATATTTAATAATGGATAATGAAATAAATTGAGAAAGTAATACTTTTTTAGGTTACTGATTTATTAGTTTGTAATTACATTACATGATCACAGATTATGATTGTAATCATTGCTATTTTTTTTTAGTCTGAATAAGACAAACGAGTGGTGATATGTATAGACCCATATATATAGTAGCATAAACTTGGTGTCGACCTCTGTATTTTATCTTTTTGACACATGCCGCCATCCATATTATATTACCGATCACCCTTTCTCTTTCCCTAACCCTCCTCCTCTTTGCTAGTGGTGAACACCACTCCGTTTTTCTCCACTTCTCTCTGTTTTTCTTTTCTATTTAACACTAATGAAAAAATCATGAAAGATAATTACTATAATTAAATCAGTAACTGCATTACAAAAGTAATTGTTTATGCCCCATATATAAATGAATAGTTCAGTTCATAAGGGGCAATTGCTTTATTGATGTTTGTAATTTATTGCCAGTGATCTACGTAAAATCATGGTTGAAGAATACGGCTTTCCTGTTACGTTGACAAGTAGAGAGATATGCCGGAAATGGGCTGCAACTTTTTCTGTAAGTATACTGAAGGAAGAAACAGGTATCAGTTTTTTTAAGTGAAAGATTATCTAGTTTTATAGTTTGTAGCTCGAGTCTTTATTTTTATCACAATTAATCACACCATCATCAGCCCTTTGACTTCCCCACTGCAGGAGCTCAGGCCTGCCTTATGGCTGGTAGTAGGATGGGTCATGCCCTTGCCCTTCATGCTGGCCCAATGCGGAGTGAAGGGTATTAATGATGGCAAATGCAGTTGGGACCAACGGCTTAACATGCCTTCTGAAACACGGAGTAACTCGAGATATTAATTTTATTGGTCACCAGTCTCGTGATCGACCCTTCGAGCCGCGACTCTTATCCTTTGCGCTACCGAGCTACTCCTACAATTAAACACATGATCTAACATTTATATAAAAAAAAAAAAGTCCGTTACAGATAGTGACTGGAGGTAGATTCGAACCTAAGATCTACCACTAAGCGTGCTAACGACCTCTAATTTATTACTTTCGACGAAAGTGTGTTGTAATAGATGAAACTTATGTTTTGTTTTTTCTGATATTTTTAAGATAGCATTAATAATGCAAACTAGCTTGACAAGAAAATAAAAAACATAATTGTTTTTATATTTTACAACCAATCTCATCATTTTTAATTAGCTCAAACATTTTTATTAATGTTTTAAAGAATATGGAACAAAGCCTATCCATTTTGTAGCAAATTGAGACTAGTGCCATTCGAAAGCAAACCTTAAGAAACAGATTCATTAAGCCTATAAAATAGTTAGTTTTTAGTTTAAAAATAAAAAAGTGATCATAACTTCGATCTCTAATTCATTAATTCATTCATTTTTTAAATCGTTCACATAAGCATCTTCTAAATGACACCTAGTGTAAAATGCATCAAGGTGGGTACGGCTTCCATACAACAACGTTACCATATTGTTCTTTGTATGAATGATATAGGAATATCAGAAAGCCAAAGCGACAAACAATAAATCTTGGGTGTACTACAATCTATTGGAGGTCTATTTGGGAGAGGGAAGTCACCTGAAAAGTTTGAATCCAATTGTTAACTGTAAGTGTATTTCAGATCTATACCTCTATATTATAATATTATAAAGATGAAGAGTTTGTTTGCCTTAATGTGCTAACCTCAGAAACTACAGATTCGAATAAAAAAAATCGAATTAATTTTTCTTTGTGTTCACTAGTACATTTATTGAGGAAGGTTATAGGCTATATTGAATTGGAGTGGAGCAGCAATTAAAAAACGTTGTAAAAATGGGTATTCCACGCGGGCGAAGTCGCTGGCGGAAAGTTAGTAAAATATAAATTAGCGGTTTGTACATAAACTCTTCGTTCAGAATTATTCTACTTAGCTCGACTTATGATCTTCAGGTGTCCACTATTAGTCGAATATTTCAAGGTCGTTGCAAAACGGATAATCCGTTGAGCGTATTACTAATTAAAGATATAATAGACGTTAGTACGCGACGGATCACTTGTCGAGTATACAAAATTGAATGTAACATCATACATAATATATATATAGGTATGCACCGACCCTTATTACATCGTGTCGCTATTTCCAACTTACTGGATGCGACTCCAGTTAAGATGATTGTAAAGACGAATTTGTCTGGAGGTTTGGTTCTTCTTTGTTTCTAATTAAAATCAGCAAAAAGCGTTTTGTTTTCCTTTTAATATTTTTGTAATAGTACCTAGTGTATATATACCTATATGACGTGATTAATATTATTTACTCTTTCACAGGGCAAGAGCAATGGGTACATAATCTGATTAATGTAAGGATTGATTTGGATCATTTATTTAAGTTTTCAATGAAAGATCAAAGCGAAGGATGGAGGTATGTTGAATTTGTTATGTTCAAAATTGTTTTTCAAATATTACACACCAAATAACGTAGTGTAACAGCGAAGTTATATTTCATTTCAGTAGATGAGCGCATAAACTCTTATATATTGTATTGGAACTGGGGGTAGTGAGCAAAACAGCAAAATGAGACCTCATGTTCTCGTACAAATAGATCGCTATTTCACCGTCTTACTGGGTTTTGTTGTTGATATAATGCGTGTGGCGTTAATATTAAAAGTTGAGAAGCACACTGCGCTGCCTACAATGGCTTTTTTTATTATATTGTTATGTAAATTATTGCAATAATATTTTTCCTTTTGTTCAGAGAAGTCGAGAAAAGATTACGTAACCTCAGCTTGCCCCTTGATCACAGCCTGCTTGATCTTCCTGAGATTTGGATACACTTATTGAAGACATTCCGGGTAATTGCTATATCCATTCAATAATAAATATTATTTTAAATAAATATTTTTTTCATACTATAGCTAGTTTAGTTATATATATTTAATAGCTGGTTTTAAATAAAACGACACTGATAATTGTCATTTTAATGCTTTTTATTCTGTTTTCCTTCCTTCTTTAAATATTTTGATACTGTTTCATTCAGGGTTTCAAGAACAAGCACAAAGTCAAATCACTACAAAAAAAATATCACTTAGTGTATTAAATGTCTGATTCTTATTATTGATATTCATCATTGAACTATATAGAAAATATTTCAAATTTTTAATCTAATTTTATTGGATAAATCTTAGATGTTTTCTTCCAGTGGAAAAAGAAGTTTGCCAACAAAGGCATCTTAAACGAACATTGGCCTTACTATGACGCTATGGCTCGCTACGTAGAGTCGCATACCTCACAACCAAGAAGGCCAAAGGTAAAACAAAGAGAGCAAGACAATAGCGATATGGATGACACGGCAGTAGAAGATGATTGCGAGGATGATATGAAGCTGTTAGATCTCAAACAGCGCTGGAGTCTGGAGCCAAAATTAGAAACGGATTCGCACCAATGTCGGTCATGTTTCAATGGACAAGCTACTGTAAATATATTTGAGGAGATGGACGGCGATGGGATGGATATCGCTTGCAAGCTGAGAGTAATTGGTGGTATTGAGGTCAGTAATAATTTTTATTTTAATTATATAATTTTGTTAGTTTTCTTTGAAAACTGTAATATGCAAACTTTAAAAACTTTAAACTTTACAAATGCCAATGCAACAATTGTTTTCTCAACTGTACTGTAAGTAATGATACGATAACATCTTTGTATATTCAGGCTTTCATATCTCACAAGGGAAAAAAAATCCTCCAATTTATTTGTCAGCTAAGACCTTTTTGTCAGAAATATTTAAACGTTCATCATCAGCATCAGCCACAGATTTCACAGCTAGCAGAGGCCTTCCTTATGGTTCAAGTAGAACCTGAGCCAAGTGCGAATTAGTGGGTATTAACAACTGCAAAAGCAGTCGGGACTAACGGCTTAAGGTGCATGAAGCATGATCCGCCATGTTTGAGATTATATGTTTTTGGTCTCTTGTCCTGTGACCGGTTTTGCGAAAATTTCCGCATCACAGACTGAACATGCCAACCACTACGCCATCGAACTATTGCTAATTAAATGTCAAGAGCCTTAAAATCGAAGTCAATGTTTGTATGAAGTTCAATTAATTCAACTTGCAGTTCTTGTGAATCATCAACCTTCTCAATCAAAAGATACTGTTGTTTGTTTATGCCGCGTTTTTTTTATATCGCCTTAAGATTCCCGTTGACCAAGAATCATGAACTTTAGCAGAATATAAAATCTGAAAGCACTTAGATACTTGTACCTAAAGTAAACTTTAAATACAATATTATATTGTTAAACTGGGAGCTTATTATCTAATTTAAAATCTCTCGCAATCCTTTCAATTTGATAATAGAAAAATATTTAACTTCACCCTACAACTATTTGATAGCGATCGACGACGTTTTTTTGAAAGATATTGAAAGACCGATATCCATAACTTTACATTTATTGGAATTGCCTGAAGCAAGCGTTAGACGCAAACACTTTTGAAATTCTGTTTGCAATCTTTCCACAAGCGATTGTGACTTAAAAAGTTTTTATAATTCCATAAATCCCTATAACAATCATGAAAAGGTTTGCAATAGATTTTAAATTAAAATTAACCCGCAGATGTGTAGTGACAAAAAACTTTTTGCAGGTTAACAAATCTGATAATTTACCTTCACAAATTTGCGGGATTTGCCTTCGGGAACTTGAGAACGCTTACAGATTCAGAAGAAAATGTCAAGATGTCGATAAACATTTACGCAATGACACACTGAATGTAATTAAAATAGAAATTACCGAAAAAGTGGAAGAAAACCAAGAGAATCAAGATCACAATAATATAAATGTTTCGAGAGAAAAAGTTGAGCACGATGAGTTTGATGGCATGGATATACATTACGACGACGTTCCCGACGAGTCAGAAATGAAAAGTGATTCTAAACCGACGCTTATGAAAAAAGAACCACAGAAGGTGACAAGAAAGAGGAAAAAGGTTCGTAAACTGAGATATGATTATTGGAAAGTATGCGAAGTTTGCGGAAAGCACACGAGGAACCTAGTCAGCCATTTGGACATGCATTCCACGGGCAAGCCGTATTCCTGTAACGTTTGCGACAAGAGATTTAAATTTAAAAGTGGTCTAGTGATTCATAAGGCAGTGCACAATCCGACGCCTCGAAAGACCTGCGAAGTTTGTGGAAAAACATTCCATGTGTTGGCTCAGTATAGGAGACATTATGTTTATCATGCAAACGAAAGGAAATACGCTTGTGAAACATGCGGGAAGCGATTTAACACGTTAGATATACTAAGAGTTCACAATCGCACCCACACCGATGAGAGACCGTTCACTTGCCAGGAGTGTGGGAAAACATTCAGAACAGCAGGATGCGTCAGTAGACATAAGAGAATTGTACATAGAAATTTAAAAGTACAATAAATTTGAGGAATACTACATCGGATTTCATTATTTACGTTATTTGAGGAATTACTTCTGTTGACCCTTACTCTCCTTATCTCCACAAATAATTATGAACTTCTATCGGTTATCTTTCGACGTAACTGTTATTTGTGTTTTACTAAATAACCATATTTTTATTTTTCAAATAAATTACTTTTTGTTACCTATTTTATAGTACTCTTTATTACTGGAAAAGAACCACCAGTTAGAAACTACGTATTAAGTAACATGAACTACTAACGGTGTGGATGTCGGTGGAATCGTGCATCGTCTACTAACATTATGATCAAGAATATTGTGGTCAAACTAAAGTATTAATATATATATATATATATAAACACTTGTTCACAACAACATGACGAGGTAAGTATATTTATTTTTAATAAATAAATTATCTACCTATAATATTTTTAATTTGGCTCATAATATTGTTATAATACCCGTACCTACATTAAACATGTTATTTTTAAATAAAAAGTTTTAGTTCACGAATAGACGGCTCCATTAAATGTTGTCATCGTTGTTGATATAACCGAAATTAAAGAGCAATGTCCTTCTTTATCTTGTGCCTAAGATGTTTTAGTAGCGCATGTTTACTATAGATAGATACAGTGAATACGAGCATTATACATCAAAACAAAGATTATACACGTCGCTTGCAGGAGCACATAGGTAGGGCCAATAACCGTTGATCGACGGACAACATCCAAAAATAAGGTTTCGTATAAATCCTTTGGAATGTTGATCGAAATGTACATCAATGAGGCATTAATAAACAGGCGCATGCGTCCATCCGACCCTGCACCCGCGGCGCTGCGCTGGCGCAAGTCATCAAAGTTCATCGTCAGTTCGCGATCGGCTGCGCGCTCACGCAGTCTACTACTCGCTTAATTCAAATTTAGAACTTTACCGTGTGTAGCTGCGTTATAAATCCAAAACGAACAAAGGGTGCTTCCTAGTTTAAAATAGAATTAAAAGGCCAACATGTCGCTGTTGAGTCAGGTGAGTTTTATGTCTTATTTTATAATTTATGGATTTACTTATTGAACGAAATATTTAATCTTATTCATTTACTAAAGTTATATGATACGATTACGACACAGGGAGATTACACTTACCAGTATTTATGAACTCTCAAAATTATTTATTACAATTGCAATATACACCAAAATAAAAATGAAAAACTTGTTCGTAACATTTAACCATTCATTTGTATATGAAAGAACGACGTTGTTACTATCTCGAATACGTTTTCTACATATCCTTTTTAATGTTCGTTACTCGTAAAAGCTCTTTTGTTTTTAAGTACGTGTTATCTTTAGAAATAGATATTATTGAAGTTCAAGTTCTAAATAAAATATGTGTTTTAATATTTTATTTAGAACCTGTTCTTTACATCACAAATGGCTATTGTGTGGTTTTATAACTATCAAGAAGATATCAATAAAATAATTTAACCCTAAAATAATTCTTGCGGCCTTTCTAAGATATTCCTATTTTAGATAGAAAAATAGAACGAAAAAATGAAAGAAATTAAGGTCAACGATAAAAGTACCTTTGCCACTTTAAAATAATGTTAAACATAATTAGAAGTTGCCTGTATTCAATTCCACAAAGTAATAAGAGATAAGAAATCCTATGACATATACCTAATGATAATGTGTACATGATTTGTTAATTTACTTAATTCAGAAAATTGAAATCGAACGGCTACCCTAATGCGTGATCCATCAAAAGGAAACAACAACGGAACCGTTACAGAATTATCCGTCTGTTACAGTTGATTTTGCCTGAAACTACTGCTCCGATTGGATTGAAAGTAGCTATGTACCTACCTACATGTTATATAAGTCAGGAATGTAAATAAAGAAGTTTACATATAAGGAATGATGGATTCTCATATAAGTTATTTAGTTTTTTAGTTCTCTTCTAACGAAACCTAATTTTTCTATTTTGTGAACAGTCACTAATCTTTTCTACTGGAGGAAATGCATTTAAGAAATATTTTAATTGTCATGTAGGTTGTTGGTAAAGGGAATTAATTTTAATCTTCTCCCGCCGACGTGAGTTGCTTGGATTCCGGCCAAGGACTCTAACTAGATGTTACGGATCTTAATATTCCTTTCCCTTTGTTTATGTATGACGTCATTTTCGGATAGAAGGGACCGTATTATTACCCATTAAGTGTAAAGCCAAGTTACATTAAAATAATATTCTTTTCACTATATTGGCTTAAACAATAATGTCTAACTACCAATAAAATTTCAAAAGCATCCTAAGTTTCGTTTAGCTATGCTATGCTTAATGAGGTTTTATAAGTATATATTACCTTTCGGTTATTTATACGACTGAGCTACAAACGCTTACGTAGTAAATAAATATTCGAATTTATGAATTCAAGTGTCATTGGCCCCGGATGTTATAAAATTTATGAACTTATTTGAATACCAAACATTAATAGACGCAATTGGAAGATACGAACCGCCTTTTTCTTCTAACAGTACCTACCTAACAAATGTCATTCCACACGTACCAATTTGCTGGAAACAATTTGCAGCCGGGACTGAACGGCTTTATTTACGTGCCATCCGAAGCACGGAGGAGCTTGAGATAACACATTTATGGTCAAACATTCGATGATTGGCCCCTGTGAAAGTTGCTTATCCTCCACAATCTCAGACCGAACGCTCTAACCGCTGTGCCATTGAGCTTCTTTACTAAACAATTTTTTATCCGCAACTATCACAATTTCGGATTTGGTATGATAAAGGTTTCTTTCAAAGTGGCATACAATACCTATACATTCTTTCTATCTGGATTCTACATGAGCGAAGCCGCACACAGAGTAGTAAGCTCAACAAGATAACTGCGTCTCATCAATTTAATCAAATAATACAATCTCGTAATAATGATGAATGAAAATGGTTGATTTATTAAGTACGTTAACGATTAAATTGATTGATAGAAGCTACGGACTTATTTAGCCTATTTAGGAGTTAAACAGTCAAACTGTTTGTAGTTTCAAAGGGTTAATTCTAATTTTATATGAATTAATCGTTACCATACACGATTTCTTATTTTCCGAAAAAAAAAACGAACGAACTTACTAGGAAACTACAATATAGTATTTTATTCATTTTCATTATATTATTCTAATTATTAATAAATCAAATGTCAAATTATATTACCTATACCTATTTTTGTCGTAAGGGAATGCATTATGCATTGGCCCTGCCGCTTGACAGGTAATAGGTATAGGACATGGTGTTTGTGGGACTCTCCATCCGCACGGACCTCCCAAGCTAGTCAAAACGGAAAGTGGGTTACAATTAGCTTGCAAGATTTGACCTTCATTAAATTAAATAAAAACTTATTTATTTGATAGTAATGATAAACGTAGAAAATAAGCATCCTACTTATAAATTTATAATTTGTTTGTATAACCACAATTAGAAATCATAAAATTCCATGTAAGAAATGTTAATCTAATTTTATCGAAAACGTTTCCAATGGGTCAAGTCGCGATAACAGAACCTTGTACCATAAAGGTTATCTATTTTATTCTATTACTTCTATTAAATTAAAAATTAATCTTCGTTTAAAGTGAATCTTAGAATATATTTAAATTAGGTAGATAGTATCATGAAAACGATAAACTAGACATGTCTTTATAATATTATGTCGCTAACTCTTGCTTAGAATGGACAAAATCTCTATAATCTTTGATAAGTTAAAACATCCTAAGATATTAAAAAAATATTGATGTCATTCTAAATTAGATAATTTAAATTAGACGGCACTGTCTTAAACGAAACACGATTACTTACATTAAGTAGGTACTGTAATGGATGTACTGAAGTAGTTCTGGGTTGCAGAATGATAACTTTCGAATTTATACCCAAAGAAAATACTATAATTGATTTATAAATATTTATTCGTAGTTTTTCTAATGAGAAACTTGGCTGGTTCAGTTCGAAAAGAAATAATTATCAACCACCAAAACAAGAAAACGCGAAAAATTAAATACTTGAAAATTAGTGGCCAGCTTGGCTGTAAATCGTTCGGAGTGTATATCTATAGTAATTTACAGTACTCATTGACTATTTCCTTCGTATTAGTGTCGCGGAATACAAACACATAAAATATGAGATAAGTATCAAAATTAATAGGCACCAACTTAGTCATTGTTAGACTTCTTCATGTCTGCGTTACTTAGCTTGTTAATTGATTATGGAGTTAAGGCAATAGTCATCTGTTTCAAGAACCTTATTTAATAAAACCAACTCCTCCACATTGAAAACCACGATCTATTTACAATATCAAAACCATAAATAAAAAAGAAAGGTTGTACTTATACTATTAATCATGTTGAATCGTCCTACCTACGCGTCTCTTTGAAATATGTTTTGTGTCCCCAGAGAGTTTGGTGGGTGGCGGTGGTCTTGCTGTTGTTATGGACTCCTCACATGCACTGCCGGAATGTTACGTAAGTATTGTTGCATAAACTCTTCAAGTACCGTAATTATAATTTGTAACCTAAATAGATCAAAGGGCCTTCACTATTCGATTTATGACCGATAGTAAATATTTCTTAATTGGTTTGCTGTGCTTAATATAGTACCTAACTTCTTGAAAGCTTGAGAGCTTGTTTCAATGTTTATAATTGACCAGCCGGCCTGTAGGAAGCACGTGCCACTCTGCACCCGATTATTTTGATAACGTAAGTTGTAAATCATGGCCGGATTTAAATTTTAATATTTCTAGCGATAGTTAACAACTTACATAAATAAACATTGGGTTGAAGTACCTCTTTTTCAAAGTAAGTCTTGGCACATAACCTTATTATTACAACTTTATATTATTATTTCAAGTCTCTGGCTTCGAAAGGCACGTTAAACCGGTGGTCCCGACTACAACATCGTTAACATCCACCAAAATAGGACCGCGTGATGGGTTATCTCATGTTTTCATTTGAAATTTGTAAAACTGTGCTTTGCCATAGCGATTATAAGACTGAAGATGATGAGAAACATCACAATTTAATTGAGCTTTAAACACTAATACAAGACACAGTTACATAAAGTTCAATTAGGATGCGGCGCTTGGCGGAGTCTATGGCGAAGCGTTTAACATTAGACCATAATAGTCACGGGGTTATCGATACACATAAATCATCATTATACTATTACAGATGAATATAGTTCAACTCCATTTACGGTCGATAAATAATGTGCATTTATAAAAGAAGTTTTCAAATGCTTGCAGGCAGGTCGTTGTACCGTAATTTATAGCTATTTTATTATTAGGCTAGCTTTATGCTTTCATTTGTTTTTATTTGTAACTCCGGTTGCAGTAACCTACATATTACACTCACAGAAGTCATAGAACACCGCTGTAATGTGATTATTACACTAATAATAATTTCAGAGTAGGATTTTCACGCCATGATTCTTAGTAAACTAAATTGCATGACAGTGCAGTGTAAGATTTATCAATTCTCGTAATTGCATATGTTGTAAACTTCGTCTACGCTGAGTAAATGTTTAGTTTATTTCTTAGAAATAATGTTAAAATGCTCTAATACATGATCATAGCGGCAAAGTCGTATAAAGAGTTTTATTTAAAAAGACTTCGTAAAACTAGAGGTTAATACTATTAAGGGTCAGTGCATATCTGACGGAAGAGAAATCACGTTTTATCGGTCGCGCAACGTCAAAACTGACCACGGAGAAAATGTACCATGGAAAAAAATTCTAGTTTGCCATTCGATGGAAATTCTGTTGCGTACCAACTAACGCATATGTAATTCTGTGCAAAGCTTTATGGATCCTTTATGGATAGATTAGCACCGATCCGAACGTAAAAACTACCTGTAGGTACTTACCCATAATGAACTTAGGTGATATACGTGATATAACCAAGAAAAAAATCAAATATTGGACCTTAGAGATATCGATTTAGGTATTTGAAACTATTTATCTATTCATTTAAACAAAGACAGTAGGTAAATACTATCTGTAAAAATAAGAACTGTTTTTAATTCCTATTTAGACACGAAGATATACGAGATGCGATGTTGTCGTTAGTTCACATGTTCCGAAACTCTGAAACGAAACTAGAGCGTCATGAGTATCGGGAAAAGGCCCTGGGGGAACAGCTTAAGAAGATGCTGGGCGGCCTAGAGAAAAGGCATCGAGCTCTGGAGCCACTCAAAGGCATGATTTCAAGGCTAGACGAACGACTCTCAAACGTCGAAACTATTCTTTTGCAGGTAATAAAAATTTTCATCTGTTCGTTCCCAATACCTCACATCATCATCACAGTTAAAATGGCTATACTCGATGGAAAATAAACCCTTCGTAAATAAAAATAAAGAAAATTTCAGTTTCATTACTTTCATCCCTGTAACACTATTGGGTAAAACTTTTTGTGCAAAAGTGCGATTATCGAGTTATCAACGGGCGAAGAATCGACGGACATCGCACGATATAAGATTATTAGGACGCCCGAACTCTTTAAATGTTTATTTATTTATACTTCTTGTTACGTTGCTTATAAATGTTTATTTTAAAATTATTTAAGCACTTACATTTACAAGTAACAGTAACAAGTGTTTTTTTAGAAAGAGGAGCGCGAAAAGGCAACACAGAAAAAGACGAGCGAAGCACTCGATGAAATACAAAAATCATTGCAAGCTCTTACGACAACTATTAATAAGAATTTGAAGGCGTCCGCGGATCCGGAGAACAACCTCACCACAAACGAAGACACTCTCGGACTCAGGCTAGAGTCCACTAACGCCAAGATAGATGCTGTTAAGAATGAGATTGACGATCTCAAGAAAAGTTTAAGCAAGGTTAGTTAGTTATTCAGTTTTTGTTTTCCTTTATTTAAGTTACGGTCACCTCTTGAAAATGTAAAGAAGAGGATAAAATTCCATTGTAGATCGTCCAGTGAAAGTTTGTATGAGATCTGATTTCACGGGTTTGTTTCCACTTTAGATTACCACACTGTATAATGCTCGGCAAGTTGAACCTAAATGACAATTTTGGACGAACATGTTCCGTAATTAAAATTTCCTCTCTTACAAATTTGACATCCATTAGAGCTTGAAGGCGTCATTAAACTTTAATGAACGTTTGTGCAACTTACGGATACACTGCAAAAATAAAGTAATATAAATTCTAGTCACACGGAGCGGGAGTGGAAAGGCGCATTATTGACTTTCTGCCGTGGTTAGAAAAATTGTAGATCAGGGGCTGAAGAAGGTCTTCCTAGCGGGTTCCATTTTGTGTCAGTACATGAGATTTGAAAAAATATCGCGCGTGATTAATGTTTTAACGTTTTGTTTAACTTTAGAACATATTAAATGTGATGTATCATCTTTTTAAGGAATCCCTGAAGTCTATATTTCTAGAGATCGCTGTAAACTACAATCCGCTAGAAAAACATATTTTGGAAACTGGGAAACTACTAGATAAGTACGAGTTAAAGCTGAACGAGTACAACAAAGTACAGCCCGACTTCGTTTCACTCAACGAGGTCTCCCTCGCCGACGAAGCCTGGCACAACAAAATGTCTGAAGGTAACCAAATTGATATTTCTATGGAGTATAATTTGCAAGTTTAAAATATTGTAGCCAAAAATAGGCACTACAGTTATTTTAACTTGCAAATGTTAGAGAACATCACATAAGTTGTTCATATTCCAAGACAAGTAAGCTAACGCTTACCACCTCGTATGTTCATAAGTTTTGAGATGAAATAAAAGTTGCGTAACCTTATTTATAATTAACTTATATTTCTATATTTCTTATTTTTCAAACTTAAATTTTCAGTAATCAAAAAAGATAATAATCAACAATAAAATATAATTTTATTAAAAATTTCGGCCCTTGTTTTTAATGCAGGCCCTTAGACGACTTGACCAGTCATCAATGGCGGCACGAATCTTTTCTAGCGCAATTTGCTTTGCTTCTCGAACAAGGCGAACCCTTGTTTGAGTGTTCAGTGACTCCAAGTTTGGGTGGGACTTTCGGTAGGCCCTGAGCTCCAGAGATGTACAAAATACCCTGTACAAAGTATCTGGAATACAAGATACAAAATACTTTTAAATTAAGTATTTCAGATACCAGATACGAAATACTTTCGAGATAAGTATTTGAAATACTAGATACAAAATAGGTATCTTATAGATACTTTTTATAAATACAAATACTTTTCTAAAAAAAGATTTGAATTTAAGTTTGTTTATTAAAGACCACAAAAACCTAAATCTTAGACCAGATGGTTCCAGGGACAAAGTGGATTTTTTAAGCATTTTTCATTAGAAACAATTTTTGTAGGCTTTTATTTAGTTTTATGTGTTTGTACTCAAATCTTACAAGCTAAATTTCACCCACTTTTCCTCCATTTTATTTGTTTGTCAATCACAATGTAACATATACTTTAAGTTCTTGTATGTACTAAATGTTAATTGTCCTGTTTGTTTTATACTGGGTTGTGTTGTGTGTTGGCAAAATAAATACTTTATTATTATTATTATTATTATTATTATATAAAAATGCAAATATTTAATACATCAGGTTTAAATTATTTTTAATTTTTTCGTTCCTTTTTAATAATTTTTTTTTTTCAATATAGCATTGTGAATGAAAAATTGCAGAAATATAACAACAAGAATAATTATTTAAATTTAATTATAAAATTATTATTTATTTAAAAAGCTGGTTTTACGTACGACGTAAAATTACGGAGAACTGAAAATTCATTTTTTCCTAGTGAGATGAAGAGAGTGGGTAAAAATAAATACAGTACTTGGTTTTTAAAATTAATGGTGTGACTTGTGACGAGGTGAATGTGCGATAGTATGTAACGGAACGTATATTAACTTTTTTTGCACAACTACCGAAAATTATGCCCCTTTAGTGTGTTAAACTAATTTGAAAATTTTTAGTAGAAAATACTTAGCTTCTGTGGTTGATTATAGAACGTTGGTTTGTAGGAAAGGCTTATAATACGTAGATGTACCTAAAAAGACGTAGAGTTGGTATTGCTGGTACTGTTGGTAATGCGCCATTAGTTACCATCTGATCGGACAAATCCGGTCTCAACCGGATTTGAAGTATTAATTAAGTCTTTATCTATGAAATCTCCGTTTTTAATAAAATAAATGAAGCTTTATTTTCTTATTTCTATTAATCAAAGTAATCACCCATGCAATCAATTCATCTTTGCCAACGCATTAGTAGCTTAATGATGTCTTCTTGAAGAAATCAGCTGGATGGGAGGCAACAAATACTTCAAAGGCATTTTGTACTGCCTCTCGGGAATTTCTTTTCTTCCCGCTAAGACGTTATCCAAATTCTGGAAGAAATAGAAAGTCTGTAGGCGCATGGTCTGTTAAATACGGCGGATGACGGAGAACTTCAAACCCCAGCTCTTGTAGCTTGGGTACCGCCAATTGTGTAGTATGAGGTCGTACGTGGTCGTGCAGGAGCAGTGGAACCGAACGATTGACAAAACCTGGTTGGAGTTGTGCCAGCGTCATTGTGTTCAGTTCTTCACAATACACACAGTAAATCTGCAGTAATGCTCGTCCTGTTTGGTAAGAAGCTGTGATGAAAAGGTTGCTGTTTGGTGGTCTAACGCGGATGTATTTCATCCGCGTTAGACCACCAAACAGCAACCTTTTCGTAAACCAATAACGGGCAAACCAATAACGGGTGGTGCGTTCGTTTGTAGTGTTCGCTCTGCAAACGTTGTAATGTTGCGTGCCGCTTTGCTACCACGATGGCACACATACTCCATAATTACTCGAATTTTTAACTTATCCATGACGACGAAAAATATTCAAATGCATTGAAAACAAAACACTTACTATTGAAAAAATGACGATTTTAGAAAAAATAATTTGATAGTAGAATTACCAGCCAAAAAAATGGTTTGATTTTAAATGGCTAATACAGCAGAACGGCAATTACATAGGTAAAGACCTAATATTAAGACAGGACTCCGCCAATTTTTTTATTGTTTCTCAATAAAGATCCCTTGAATTAAATGGTTACTTATTAAAGCAAAATCTACTATACGATTACATCACAGATTGTGTTGTATTTTTGAAAAATAAAGGAGTATTAATTGACGATGTCAAAGAAATTATTTGAAGAATTTTTTCTATTAACAATTATATTTTTATGACGAATTAGTTGAAAAGCAGTGGGTAATTATTTTCAATTTATGCAATGACAGCACTCGTTTCCGAACTACTGAAGATTTGTCAGTATTTTTTTGTATTATGCCTCATAATGCGAATATTGATTTTTTTTCGCTCATGAATATGCAGTGGTCAAAAGATAGAAAAAGATTAACTGTTGAGTCAATAAAAGCAATATTGCTTTGCTCACGGGATATAATTTCAAGCATTTGCCATGTATCGAATTTCACAGTGAAATTTCTTTAAAAATAAACTTTTTGAATGCTGTTGTTAGTGGAAAAAGTATAATGTGCAAAAAAATAATAAAATTTAATAAAGAGTTTAATTGATATACTAAGTTTTATTTATAGCATATAACCGGGTTTTTACATAAATCAAGATTTTTTATTGCTTGTAACTGGTTATTCGATTTCAAGCCCTATGCACCATCTATCAATTTTTACTAGGGAGGGTGTATTACACCGATATAACCGTACGTTCAGTTCTACGCATTTACTTTTTAAATGACACCAAACAATGTTTGGATTCGAGTTATTTTTAACTAAATATTCATTGCGTTGATAATTGAACACTTTCTTTTTGTAAATATGTATGTTTTAGGCAAAGAATGTTTTGTGATATTTATAAAATGTAAGAAATAATCTTTTTATAAAGTATTTTATCAGAAAAAGTATTTAAAAGATACTAAGATACTAAACAAAAGTATTTAAATACAAGATACAAAATACTTCCTAAAAAAAGTATTTTAGATACAAGATGAAAATACGTATTTTGTATCTTGTATCTGTATTTCAAATACTTGTATCTAAGATAAGTCACATCTCTGCTGAGCTCTAATTCAGCCCTTAAACAATAATTCAGCGGGCTAATGTCGGGGCTGGACGAGGGCCATTCGTCCACCGCGATGAAGGCCGGCACATTTAAAATTCCAAATTCAAAATCGGTAAAAAAATAACACATTTTATTTTATTTTTGCAATAAAAAGTTTGTCTCGAAACTTATGAACACACGAGGTAACATCAGGGTCCGAGAAAATATGGAAAATTCCAATTTTTAAATAGACCCGACCGGAAACTGAACACAGTACTTTAAAAGATGGCGATTCAGCTATGGAGTTCGTTGATACAACAGAAGCGCTATTGATTATTATCGAATACATAGAAGACAAGACCAGGATATAACCCACCATTCGGGCCCCAGTAGATAAATGAACACTAACAACTGCAAATGCAATCTAAACACTAAACATGCCTTCCGAAATACCTAGGAGTTCGAGATAATAAATTTTTGACCCACCCAATGACTGGCCCTTACGAAAATTGTTTAAGTTCCGTATCGTAAACTGAACGCGCTAGCTGTTCTCCCGCTACGGGTAAATTATGGTCATCCGCGTATGATGTATATTGGTGAAGGAAACACAGTCCAGTAGTTTGCAAACAAACAGATACATCTTTCCTATTTTTAATATAAGTTTAGAAGAAATTGTAATGTTTTAGTTCAAAATCCATTGTGCTCTGCTATCTACATTATTTTTTATCTAAACAAAGATACATTTCGAGTTTTCAAAAAGGAATATTATATAACTTGTCACATACGTAGATAAGATACACTAATACAGAACGTTAAAGAGATTTAATCTCTTTTGAATTTATAAATTTAGTGATTTAAGATTAGTATACCATTTTACTGGTAACTTAAAATACTTGTCAAATGTCCCTCTTCTTTTATCAGTGATGGAGCGACAAGAGAAGGAAATAGTGAAAATCAAGAAACTATTGTCAGACGCAGAGGGCCTATGGAAGGAGCTCCCCAGTCGTACGGACCTACAGATCTCTACTAATCATACATTAGAAGCCATCGAAAGTGCCAAGGAAGATCTCAAGGAAAACGACGAGAAGTGTAAGTTTCTTCCCAATGGATAGTTTGCAGTTCGAGTTAGAATCGAATAACATCAAATAGGGACCAACCGGGCAAAAATAATATTAGCTGCCCTTTTTTACTATAACCTATTAATATTTAATCTTTAAGTAGTTTTTCAAAAGCTAGGATGTTAAATATTTGATAATATTGTTTGATTTGTGTAATAATCTTCTAAGGCTTCTTAATGAATAAAACGTATGAAACCATTTTTAAATAAATCTCCTCGTCGTAACTTACCTATTTCTTATTCTTCCAGTTGTCAATAAAGTAACTACAAAGTTAAGAGAATTGACTGATCGTCTGGCGTCCACTAACGCGGATATTCAAAATAGTCTCACTCAGGGCAATACAATGACGGAACGTGCTTACAACGACATATCGCGTAGTTACGAGTCCCTTCGTAAAGAGGTAAAATATTTTGAGAAAAGATTAAATAGAGTTGTTTTTCAAATGAGAGGCTTGAGTCAGGGGTGGGGAGAATCCGGGATCCTAAAAGAATGCTTCCAGCACGCGTAGCATGACGAACTCGAGAACGTTTTGTCTACACTCAAATGTCACTTTTCTAGGGTGCGCCCATACTATATCTCACTCTTGACCCGAGAAACTGACAAATGACAAAGCGTTTCTCGAGTTTGTCATGCTACCCGTGCAGGCCCAAGATGCTATCCTGTAAAAATACAGCGCTGTATTCGACGCATTCCACTAATATATTTTAATTAAATAATATATTTAACAAAATAGCAAATGCCGGTTCTCTAACACAGTAGCGTTTTTCATTTTCTATTTAAATCTTGATATATTAAAAACTACCTACATCCAAAATCGATTCTGGAAACTGTCACTATCTTAAGTAATCTGCGGAGCGATTCCGTAAATATTCAAACCCGAATTCCAATTCACTTAGGTGACTGAATAGGAATTCGGGTATAATATAAGACTGCCGCTGGATTTCATTTTAATTACAAACAAAAGTAATCGTGTTGTGTAAAAGTTTCGGGACGCTGAACGTGAAAATAGTTATCGGAATCAAGTCGAAGTGATATCATTTGACTTAACTTTCTTGTAAACATTATTTCGACCGACTCTATTCTTTAACAGGTTCAAATGATCACCAAAAATGAACACGTGCTTCTTCAAACCGCCGACAACGTGATTGCAACTAAAAAACGTATCGAATATGGAGTTCACCAGATCCTAGCAGAGGTTGGAGATTTAGTTAAAAACCAAGGAAAGAATCTGAATAAAACTGTCAGCGAGAGGTAACATTAATAAGTTGTAAAAAAGCTTTTACAACTGGCCATTTTTTTGTAGAATTTCTACATAAAATGTCCAGATGTAATATACATGTACGTATATACTAGCTTTAGCCCGCGACTTCGTCCGCTTGGTATAGTTACTTTGAGCAACACTTCCAAAAACGCTAAAACAAATATTTATTCTTTATATCGGGTAAAATACCCGGAGGGCGACCGCCTAACTCATGGACGTAGCCGTAGTCGTAGCTATAACCTACGCTTTATCGATATTTCTTATGAATCTGTTATTATTCTTTTAAAATTGTTTTTTTTTTATTTGTGTATTTTATCAAACATTTGGTTTGTTTTTTTTTCTAATAGCATTGTTTGTATAAATTCGACATTTTATAAATTTCGTTTAACTTTAATAATTCAGCAAACAAAAACAACTAAAAGCATTGATTAAATATGTAAATTATAAAAAATGACTAATTTTAAAACAATATCAACAGATTCATGTGTAAATCTTATAAAGCGTAGGTTATAGCTACGACTACGGCTACGTCCATAAGTTAGGTCGGTCGCACCCCTGAGCATAAATTTTCACGATTTTATCTTAGACAATGATGAACTTCCATACAAACTTTAATTTAACAAAACCAAAGAGTTGAAATAAAAGTATCACAGTTAAAAGTAACCAATGCTTATGGTTTAGGCGCGAGAGTTTAACAGAGATACGCAGATGTACTTTAATAACCAGAACGTTACCCAAAAGAACAATAAAAATCACATTTGAATGGTCGACTTTTGAATTCAGTGATTTATTATATTTGATAAATTTTCCATTCACAATGTTATACTCGGAAATATTCTTAAAGTAAAATATTTTAAAATCCACTTTGTTCCCAGGGCCAACTCCAAGATGGGATTCAAACACACGACCTTTCGCAATCCGGGCGACTGCTCTAACCACTGATATTGAGAAAGGTTGTGGGTTCGCATCCCATCTCAGAGTACCAGGGACAAAGTGGAATTTTTAAGCAGTTTTCATTGAGAATATCTTTCAGAGCGATTTTTTTTTTCCGCGTTTGAATTGAGATTTGTGTAAACTAATGAGAACTCATGCAAGTTAATGTATATGTTGTCGCTAACTGGTAACTAGGTAATATCTGTCCAATTAGGCGGCTCGCCCTATAATAGAAAAGAATAGCATATATTTTCACACTTTAACATTTTAACATGGCTTTTTTGGCCGCTCCTGGAAAATATCTCTAAATACGCCGACGCTGAAACCGATACGGACAGAGTTACTTCTCACTTTTTACAAAAATATTTTAGTATATTTCTTCTTATAAATCAGGTTTTATTTGAACTTTATAAATGGCTGAATATCACTAGTATTATCTAGGTTTAAAAGCTTTCTTATGCATTCAAAAGGTTCGACAGCGTTCAAACTACGCTTTTGGAGAACCAGTCGAATGCTCGCAGCAATATAAGCGATAAGATCGAAGCAGAGATGGCGCCAGTGTGGCGACAAATTGGCATCATGTATAAGCAACTTACTGCGAACAAAGAGTCCTTAGATAAGTTAACTGTGAGTTCCCTGTACATTTGTATTAATTATAGCGTGGCATATAATTGGCAATCCGTAAAGTAAAGCTTTGCGTGATTAAATTGAATTCATAAACGATGGGCCTTGTTATATAATAATATTTACATTTATATAGTATAAAATATTAGCTTATATCATAAAAATTAATGCCACGTACAAAATGAAAATTTTCATATTAAATTTTCAAGTTTTACCCCAATAAAATTTCTAAAGCGCCAAATATTTATATAAGAATTTTACTTATAACAATTGCAAATGTAACTATGCGCTTTCTTGACATATATAATTTTGCTTTCACAGGAACAAACGGTGCGCTACGTAAACGACAGCTCCACTTCTATGGATCACATCAGTGATAAAGTAATTCAAATAAATCTTACATATGTATAATACTTATTTTAAAGCTGTTTAGCTCTCGTAAATGTGCTCTTTTCACCTGCGTATGCTGTGGTTTTTTTTTATGATAAAATTTTTTTTGATGAAAAAATTTTTATGATCAATTTAAGAATTTTCATGATCAAATCAGTATTTCCGGAAATTAACCCGTATAAAATAAAGTTAAAGCTCTTTATATATTAGATTAGAAAAGTGTACTCATAGAACCATACACCGATGTGCTTAATCATACGTTTCGTCCTGATAGGCACAAAAAATCTTTAATGTTTGCAAGATCCTGTTTGATCGCTATTTTTATGTCTTTTATGCGTGTTCGTGGTACGTTGACGCATTTTGATACCGCAAATTTTGATTTTAACTCAACCTTAAAGTAACGCATTAAAGTCTATATTTCAATGTTGTTGATACTCGTGTGTAAGCTTTAGCTTGCTTTTTTCTGCGCAGACAGATTTTGCAGATATTACTAATTAGTAGGTATGGAGTCTCCGTACCCGAAAGTGTTTAACCGCGGTAAAGTTAAAAACTATGTTTTAACTAGTGATTAGTGACAAGGTCAAAATATTTGCGAGCTTACTAAGATGCATTCATGTAAAGTCATGGTGGTACCCTATTTCGTTGTTATCATGCGCAATAAGCTACCAAATAGTATTCAACTTTATAGAACAAATCGTTTGTGCAGTTTTCTATATTTAGTTTTACTAATTCCATTTTTCAGGTGGGCAAGATCACAGCACGAATGGCGGAAGTGGATGAGAATTTGAATTATCTTCTCGGCCGACTGTCACTTGTGACACAAGAATTCCTACAGATCAAGACAGGGCTTGGAGAAGCTCTAGACCAAGCCAAAACTCATTTGAGTACAGTGAAAGACGAACCAAAAGGTAAGTTTTGTTTCACTTTAGATGGAAGACAGGCAAGAGAAATTATTTTATTTGCTATCACTCACTGTATATCAAACCATTTAGCTTAGTCTGGAACTTTGCGAAGTTGTGGCCGCCAAGTCTTCTATTTGTTGTTAAACATATCGTTATATTATAAGATATTTAAATAATAAGTATACTGTTAGAAACATTTCTTGCTAACTGTCTAGCTGTATATCCGTATTTATTTTTCAACTGCAATAAGGAATTTTACGCAAAGCTCAGTGTAGATGGCATATACTACATATAGCAAAAAATTAATTCAAACGGAATATTATCGATTATTTGAGAACTTTTACTGTCTCAGTGGGAACACACACCTTATAACACGGCCACAATAACTACTAATGATCCCGCCTTATAAAGTTCACAACAAATAACACATTTACTCGCAATGCACCAACTCCCAGAATGTGCATATTGATCAGATATAATTTAATAACAATTGCATTGTTACATTTGTTTCAGATAAAGGCCCTGGACCTCACAAAATATCAAGTTAAGGAAATACTCATCATTAATAAGATAATACTAATTTACTTTTTAAGAATAGAATTAGAACATGACTGAATATTAAGAATTTTGTAATATAAAAATAAAACTCTCAAGATATTAACTTTTGCAAATATTTAATCTCTTTCATAATTGTGGATCTATATATTTATATTGTACAAGTTATATGATACAATTAAATTTTATTGTGACCGATATCTCAATGTCACTTACAAGTGAGCGTAAAACCAACAATATACACCTGACAAGAATCCTCTAAGAAAATGTGAATTAATGAACTGTACATATATAACCATACATTGATATAATAATCTTAAATAATATACACACATTTTATTTGTCTCCCTTTGGTTAGTTTTATTAATCCTGATTACAACCTCATTTTCCTATGTGCAATTAATATAAATGACAAACGAAGTAACAATACTGAATTTATTAATCCAAAAACGTTACATTAAAAATTCCGTGCCATTATTTGTGAAATTTATACACTTATAATTAATTACATTTGAATAAGTGGTAAACACTCGAATGTTACAAAGGAAATCGAATATAAACAGTGTAAACCTTTTTAATATATTGGCCGTATTATTTTACGTATTGAGTACGGATATTTAGGACCAAGTATATTTTATTATTCAACACATATTTTTAACATAGGCTATGTTACCACATCTGGCGGGAGGCATGATACGGAATGCAATACCACTTACAGGTAAATTCTAAACACTTCGTTGTTATTGTAACAGCCTAATGTGGGACACTATATATACTAAATATATAAACAATAAATTCAACAAAAATCAACACTGTTCCAGTCAACATGGAATGTGGATTTGTCCAGACGAACCAGTCGCCATTATTTCTTTCGGCGGATATTTATATAAATGCATATAAGAATGTTTCAACTTCAATTAATAGTATGTCCAGCATTAATAGAGACGTTAATAAATAAAATGTAAAACAACACTATTTTAAAGAGGCAATCTTTTAATGGCAGTGGCATACCTAACATTCATAATAAATAGCACTTGAACATTTTTACATTTTGAATCACTGTACATGTCCAAATATACATGTACGTTACATTATTGCAAAAAATATTTACATTTCCTTATTTATGCATTAAAAAAGCACTTAAAAGCCATTCTTCTTTACACCACTTCCCCGAGAACTACCCTAAAAACCAGACTAGTTACAAAAAAATGCATGCAAAAAACAACCAGTTACTAGATTAAAAAAAAAATTATTTTCATAACCGCTGAACAAAAAACAAGTAACATACTAAGATAACCACAGTAAAGCTAATTCTGAAAAAAAAATTAAAGTCTTGTTAAAAAAAAATTAAGTCGCAATTTTGTGGCAAATCTACGCAACGGCAGAGTATGAAAGTACAATAAGCTTCCTATGTGAAGTGAGTAAAGTTGTCCATGAGACAAAACTGCTTCATGTATGCGACATCTACACTTTGTACAATGCGGTATCAAAACAACGAAGAGGGACGTCGGCTCGATATTCATGCACTGCTCTCTGTCCCACCTTCCTAACTCCCAATTGTAGGCTACAATTTATAATTAATTAACTCCTAACTAAGTCTCAAGTGTAAAATTGTGCCACATAAGCGCGATCTCGACGGGACATCTAAAGCCGAACGCAATTAAACCAACTTTATAGCGACCCCTAGATTATTCTCATTATATCTCAGTATGTCTATTATGGAATAAATATTATTAAATTCCTGTAAAAACAGAGTTTAAAACCCTGTAAAAATTAGTACGGTATTTTTAACTACAACACACGCCTCATATAAAATTACACACACTCTCTACCTGATGCTTATTACGAGTGGCATATGATTGATGTCAATTTGGAATCACCTACAGTGATATATATATGGTATATAATAGTAATTTGTGGCCAGATATAAAGACGACATTTGTGTGCCCTAACTCTGCCCACATGTACCTGATACATTTACTCAGTTTCTATCATGACACTAACATGATAGCACTTACATAGGAAGACATACATCTAGACACATACGCCTTTATATATATATATATATATATATATAGAAAACTTAAATCCCATAAATGCAATGTAATCCATTTATATTGTTCATTATCAGAGGTCAATTATTGTATTCAAAAGAACTGGCTAAAAATAAATCCAGGTTGGTTACCTACATGGTGTGGGAGGAAATCGTTTACACAGAAAAGCTTTAACTTTCACCATATCTCAAATCTAGGAAAACAAAAAAGCAAATTAACAAATGACCACCCCATAAATCCGAGGCACTTATATGATCTTAAGAATAATGATATACATCTACTAACTAGTGGTACCAAATGTTAGCTCATTGTCATCCCGTGAAGGACCCGTTGATACAACGGGTGTGACACATTTAAAGCTATGGACATGTTTCACATACTAGTCGTTATTAATGTCTAACCTAACACGGAGAAAGAAGGGAGCTATCATACACGTACAAAGTACTTATCTATATTACCTACATTCAGCTCTTATTCTTACATCAACTGATTGTTAACCAGTGCGATTACATATAAAATTGGTGTAATAAAATGAGTATCCAACCCCAAATATGCCTAATGTGCTTTCTTGTTAAAATATATTATGGTGTGTCATCCAGTGAAGTTGAAAAAATTTAAACAAGTGCAGTAGTAAAAATAGTAAATCACATCATCAAATCATCAATTCTTACATTGTATTCATCTTAAGGTATTTTATGGATAATTATGTTAAAAATAGGTGCCACATCAACCTTTTCAACAGCCCAGGATACGAAGTGGAAATTCACAACGTCCACGCATGACCTATGTATGTACATATCGACAAATCGCAATAACAAAACAACAATTACTTTATGTATAAGTACTTTCAAACCGTCGCACATATTTTTTTTGTACAAATTCAACGGGTTCAGTTATTTCTGACCGAACATAACATCAATAGGGATTCATTCAGTCTTCACGTGGCACTTCAACGGAAATAAAAATATAGAGAAAGCTAGTCAATCATCAATTCCTATAGACGTTGTATTACAAATAGGATCTCTCAGAGTGTGCGTTCACGTCCGCTAGTTTGCCGGGCGCATCATAACCTCTTCGAGACGACTCTAGCGCTTCAGATCGAAACGATCGAGGGCGTGCATTAAAAGTGGTCGAACCTGCCACGCGAAGCGTTACAAAATATTAATCTTATGTACATATTGTCGCCGAAGATAATAGTAAGAACTAACATCTATGTTAGGTGCGGGGATATAAAAGGTGTGGACGCAGAGTTTACCTCCGCGTGCTCTTGGAGGAGGGGCGCGAGTGCGAGTGAGTATGGGGGGTGGTCGCGCCCCCCCCCCTCTCCTAACTGGAGCACGACGCCGGCGACACCGGCGACAGCGGTGAGTCGCGAGGGCATCCCGACAACGTCACCACCACCTGAATGCAAATACTCTTTCAATTATGTTTCATTGTATATAATTAACAAGTAACAAATATTCTTAATTGGTAACTCGCATACCATCACAATAATTGTAAATATTCTCAATAACACTCATCAGCCACGTATCTTCTCTTAATAATACTCGGTAATTATTTAAAAAAATTATAAATGTGTGTATCAATTAATAAGATACAGATAATTAAACAGATAAACACAGATATTAACAGACTATTATTAAGGGAAGAAATATAAAAAAAAAAAACAAAGTTACCTCTACTTTGTAATCTTTTTTTATTGACAAAATTTTATAAATTCATGTATCGCCCTTTATATATGATGCAGTTCTGTAATTTTGAGTCACAGCTTATTTGGACCCTATTAATTTTTACAAAAACAGAATAATAATTATTGGTGTACAAAAATAACAAATAAACGTTTTTTGCGTACCGTTTTGGAGATAATTTGAAGATAATGATTTCCATATATCAAATATTTAAAGTTTAACAGTGATAAAACAATAATAAACAATAATCAGCTGTTCGCCCCGGTTAAGTTAACCACAAAGTATGTACAAGTAGCTTCCAGTAGATGAAAGAACTTTTGAAAATCAGCCAGTGCCTAGTTGATGCAAACAAACCAACAATCAAATCTTATTCTTTATAATATCAGATTAGAATTTCTTCGACCCCTCTTATATGCTTTGAGGAGGTGGGATACCAGTATAAAACAAAACATAGACACTAACATCCTTATAGCAATAAAAACATAGTCATAACAGCACAAAAGATAATTCTGCAAAATTTTGGATCTTGAATAGATCAAAAGAGGCTTTTGAGATAACAATTAGGATGCAAAAATGAATATGTATTATTTTTGCTGTGTACTGTATCTCATTTCGAGATTTGCTATTTTTGCAAATAACTAGGAATAAACAAAAATAAACAATCTGTTATAAGATTCAATATTTTGAATGTTATTTGTAATCAATATTCAATTGAATAACAATTTACCTATTTTAAACAGTAGGCATTGGATATGGCATAGGCAATCCATGGCACCAGTAAATAAGAGAAAATTATATTATTGTCCTGGGACTTGTCCTCTTCGAGATTATTTGACATTAATACTGCTTTCTTTCTCATCACTAGCATCATTGCAAAGAACCTTTACAAGCAACTTGAAAGTTAAAAAAATATACATACCTTTCGGCTTCCAGCATGATTTCGATGCTCACAAAGCCAGACCCCTTGCCACGTCCCCAGGTTTAATTTGCCGTCTGTTATGGGAATAGTCAGTGAGGATCCAAGAAAGCAAGCTTTAACATGTGCAGGCTGAAAATTCAATCATACCATTAAAAATGTTTTACTTTATTTACAACTATGAATATATTTAGGATTTTGTACTTTATTATGCCTAAAGTCGCATAATTTAATATCTAACTTGTTACTAAAGCAATGTATATAGTATTGCCTTAATGACACTTTTCTGACAATGATGAAACATTATAACATTTCAAGGATAAAAATACATTTATAATAATATATTTGCAATTTATAGTCATATATATAAAAATACATTTATAGTAATATATTTGCAATTTATAGTAGTATATATGGCACCAATTCAGTTGTACCAATCTCTAAAGATTCTGCCCATACAGTTTTTTTATATAAATATCAAAATCTACAAAACATTTTTGAATATATATAGTGTAATAACATGGAATTTTGCAACAAAGGATAAATATGGATTCTACAGCGTTCATTATGATATCATTGGTGTGTAGGAGCTAATTGTCCTTTGTTTATATAGTTTATAAGTAATGTTACACATGTTAATTATTATCAGTTCACACATATACATTGCATATCTTAACACCAGCAAGTCTACCATGTAATTTAATTGGTAATATTTAATACAAAAGACAGAATTCAATAAATTAGGCCTACCAGGTACACTGGGTATAATAATATAATAAGTTTAAGAAGAAGTAATATCAACCAACAAAAATTTCCATCCCTCACCATATATTGAGTGCATTTAAATCTAATGCCTATCAAATTGAAGCCACCACAATTATACTACCTACTAGTAGCTGGTTTATCACTTGTGGGGGGGAAGGTAGACAAAGAGATGATTAACATGATATTATTGCCCGGTTTCTCAATTGAGAATTTGAAGTTGAGCACGTCTCAAACCATGCTTAAGCCACTTTAAATGTCATTAAAACGTGTTTTCATTGCTGATTTATAAGTTTTTAATTATCAGTTGATAGCAATTTGGTCAATCTAATACTTTTTGCCATATGAAGCGTAAAAAACTTAATTTATTAAGAATAATCAGTTGAGATTTTGTACTTTCTCAATTCAGAAACCGGCCGTATGTTAATTACAATACTTTGCTTATTAAAAAAAAATATTTTGTTGGTATAAAATACACATTTTATTCATGAATACTATGGAATTTACCATCTATCTCTTATAAAACCAGTATTAGACCAAATAAAATCCAGCAATCATTAAATATCAGTTATTAGATGATGAATACAAAATTGTATAAGATATTAAACACAATCTAACAGAACCTTAACATAATTAAGGTTCAATAGTGTCAGCTCCACTGATTAAAAAGATGATTTGAATAACCAATTAAAAAGCAAAACAAGTAGACAGTAAATTAACACAAAACCTAGTTGCTAAAAAACAACTGACTACTAACTCAACAAAAATGTCACCTTTGGAAATTATAGACAAGTAGTGATTTAATTACAACATAAACATGTGGAAAGACTTACCATATCATCAGGCCCTTCGCATGAGTGGCGATAAGGCAAGCCTTCTGGTACGATTTTATTGAGCATCATTTCCATATCGTCTCTAACATCAGGATCCCAGCTCTCATTTAGAGCTAGACTTGCAGATGTGTGCATTACTGGAAACAACGTGAATCAATGATCAGCTGGTCTAATTTTATGCTTAAATTGATATACAAGCAATTTGAAGACTAATATCGAATTCTCGTGGTTGGAATATACCATTATATATATTATAAAATATGAAAAGCGGTAGAAGATGCATCATCGGCAGCAAGAACGCAATCGTGACGGATGATGAACACTCACTTTGGATATGGCAAAGGCCCACAGCAAACTGGGTCAGCTCTGGCACCTGCTTCAAGATCTCTTCAGTAACAAGGTGCACGCCCCGGTGCTGCGGCCTTAAATTCAGCTTCCGTTGAAACCACGCGGATCCGATTTGAATTCCTCGGTTCGAGGCCATGTTTAATTTTTAAAAACACTACAGAATTACCGCAAGAACACAAACGATCTTACACAACATCACTTATGACAACCTTTACACAAATTAATCCACAATTATCATAAAAGATTCATTTTCGATCTTTAAATTAGTAATAAATATAACGGAGGTTATAGGACAGATTCGACACCCTATTTTCTGCGGGAAAGTGAAATAGCAACATGAATGAAAGAGAAACTTGTATTGTAACTGGTTAATGTTGTCATTATAAAAAATAATTTTATAAAATATTGTTACAAATTATAAACGGCCACTGGTTAACGTTTTGTAAATATTAATAAATTAAAACATAAGAACTTCATTGATAATTCCATTTAATAGCACTGTAATTAAACAAAAACTATTTGCATTACCAAAATACAATCTTAAAACAAATATGTGTACATAATTTCATTGATACTATCTTATAACCTTTATTTAATAAACAAATTATATTCACGTAATTAATATACTAAGAACCTTAATAATGTAAATATTCGGTAGCTAGTTAAAAATAGTTTTCATTTGTTATTTTTATTTGGTCACACTAGTAAGGTCACATTTTAAGAACAGATTTGAAGCGGGAATTTTGATTTTTAAAAACAGTCTCTTAGATTTTCTTCGCTGGAATCTTTCCACGTTTTTTATTAATGCAAAGAAACTTCTTAAATTGTATCAATATATGCCACTCACTTTGATATATTTTAGAAATAACAGAATATTCTAACTTTCAATTGTTCTGACTACTAGAACGATTTGCAAATGAAATTAGTGGGAGCGCCGAGGGATGATAGCGTTTGTTAGGTGTGGCTAATAACCACTCCTTGAAATTAGGACAATTACATTTCCCTTCAATTGGATCGTTTTGTAATTGTTTTGCCACAACTGAAGTCGGTTCTGTGTGTGTATAGAAATATAATTAAGTAGTTTAACAATACAGCCATGGATCCTATAATGGATGTTATAAAAAATTCTGAGGAACCAGAATGGCTTGAAAGAATAGTGGTGGGTGAACTTAGACTATGGCAAATAATGTTTCTTTGTTTGGCTGGAATAACATCGATAAGTAAGTGAACCTATATTTTAAATGAATACTTAGCTGGTATTGTCTCGTTTAATAATTAAGTAATAAATTAAAGTCTGTACAATCCTCTTATTTTCATGGTTGCAGTCATAATGGTGTGTTGCTGCTTCCGTTTCCGCATTCCACGGACGAAACAGCAAATCGAAGCTGACTATCAACGCCGGAAAATCACCTCAAAATTTCGCCAACAACTAGAAACGATCCAGGATTCAAGAATGGACGCGATGTCTTTGAAAGATGGTAATGAAAAGAGGTCTGGTGCTAATTTCTTTACATTTTATTAAAGGCGGAAATACATTTATCTTTTTGTCTTGGGTCGCAACAGGAACATAACAATTTCATACATTTACCTACTTTGGTTGAAAATTTTTATTTCAACTTAAGAGTGCGGCAGTTGCGGGCGTCGCGGTGCCGCAGCTATGCGGAGTCACAAACCAGCCCTCAAAACATCACTGATGTAACGACGCCGTATACACCGCAACTACCTCGACTGTACGATATCGCACCACTTAAATCAGCCTTAGACTGCATATTATATTATGTCGCAACATATATATATCCTTTTTCACTAAAGTATGGAACGACACCCGACAGCCATGGCTCAGGTTCGGTGCAAATCTGACAGAAAATCCATCAAAAGTCTCACGGAAGTATGCGTTGCGTTTACTTAGCCATGGAGATCTGTTAAATAAGCTTCCTATTCCTAACAAAACACCGTTTTTGAACAAACACCATGGTCGAGTGTCTTGCTCATCAGTTTCAAGTCATGCAGTCCCGCAGCACAGCAGGCCAATTCTGCTAATGTTTACGTAATAATGACATTTCCAGTAGCTTGCATTTTGCCATTATATTATCTACCTGAAATCCAATACTGTTATATATCTGTCACCATTAATGTGTGTGGAAGACATTGCACTAATAATATTGAACTTAAGATAGTACAATGTTAAATGAAAGTCGTTGAGATTCTATTGCATTGTGATGCGATTATTACGTAAACAGCAGAATTCGCCTGTGAGCCTACCACATGAGCAACTAGATTACTTTGATCTGATTGGTATTAGATTCCATAAAAATGTACTCAACGTTTAAATATATTTTGCTAGACAGACACAATATGTACCTACACTTAATTCATCAGGTTGAACCAAATACACTAGATTAATGCCGTATTGAACGTTAAGTGAATTTTAACTACGCAGTAGGCCTGCCGGATTCCACTTTGGACGAATCAATGCTGTAAATGAACTATTCTGTATTGTCTTGGGTTCGTTTGGGTATTGTTTTGGTACATTTACACATACATAATAAGAGCATCAGATATTAAGTTTGGGATCTAACTAAAGAATTTATTTATTTTCGTCCCCAATTACCAGACTGGCAGATGCAGAATTAAACAATCATTTAATGTAAACGTACACCTATCACTTTGACGGCTAATATGTAATTATTTACTTAAGAGGTAGCTACAAACAAATGTATCCTTAGACAGGTGGAAAGTTTAAATTACGATAAGATAAACTCTGAGACGAGCATATGATCTCAAGTGCAACTCAATGTAACAAAGAGATTCTACGATTAAAGAAGGCTATTTTAATTTAATGTACGTATAAATAATTTGTTCACGCAAGCATTGGAACTGTTGCACAGCAAGACGAACTACAACAGCATGGAAGGTGACAATCAACAGGCAGAGTCTCAACAAAGTTCAATAATGTCGCCGCAACAGAGTAAGAATTTTATATTATCGAATTTGTGGTAAATATACTGAAAAAACCCTATTTTTTATATATGTCTGTCCTCATTTTGTTTAATTAATTAAGAAAGCGCTCACTTTGAGTTGACCGCTCCCTTAAAGTACGGCTAGTAGTTGCATATAATAAACATACAAAACGAAACCACAGCCTTGATTCCTACTATTATTTAAGAAACTAAATAATTTTGGAAGATGTGCGTTCATTGCCGACGGGCATAGCATGATTAAATTGCTATGCTAGTTCGTCAGTGACCGCACCTAAAAGTAGTGCAAGCAGTGGCGTAGCTAGGTAACCTAGGGCCCTGGGGCAAATAAAAAAATGGGGCCCACTGCTATCAAAACTGGTAAGGGATTTTTAAATAAAAACATTTAATATACAAATACTTTAAAAATGCTAAGCAACTTTATCATCAGCTCTTTTTCGTGCGTGGGCAGATAATAAAACTATTAAACACTAACAACATAAATTATAATTATTTTTATACTTGGTGTAGGTATTGGGCAATAAAACGAAATAGAAAAGATTCAAGGGTTTATTATATATATATTTATTCATAGATACGTTGCACCAGCTTACTGGTATTTAACCTATCGCCATGCAAGCTATTTACAAAAATTATCAACAGAAATATTTTGACCAGAACTACTTGCAGAAGGCTGACAAAAAAACTTGTCAATTTTGAGCAATTTTTGTTTACTTTCTTCTTTTTCTTTGCGTTTGAGTTTAAATGCACCACTCGGTTTCTTTTTTTTGTCCATAATATTAGTTTTCTAATTTATTTATGCAATATTTATGTAAGATTGTACTCAAGTGGGTACTCACTGTTCACTGACAACGTTACAAGTAAAAGGAAAGGGAAACGTATTGATACGATACAAGACGTCGTTTGGGAATCCCCAGCAAACATTTTAATCGCCGCCAGTGTTACCACATTTGGCGGTTTAAAAATGTCAAAAAAACATCACGTAATTAGTGGACGGCCCCTACCGCATGTGACTTGTATTTTTTACGGTATTTTAAATTATATAGTGAGTAACCGAAACCTATAGATTTCTTTACGTAACTATGTATACGTACTACAATCAAATAAAATTGAACTTTTGTATGGACCAGTACAAAAAACATATTTAACCATTAACTTTTTAACCATTCTCGAAAAAAAATCTTGGCTCAAAAGATTCGAGGGCCCCCTGAGCTTGAGGGCTCCGGGGCACTGCCCTGCCTAGCCCCTTGGTAGCTACGCCACTGAGTGCAAGGTACATCGGACAGGACATGATTCTAACTATAGTACTGGTAGTGTAAATACTGGGTTTCGCTTGTCAACCGATGTGCCAAGGGTAGGGATTGGTAGGCAAGACCAGTTTAAGATCGTGGTCAGGCTTGTCTTACTGACAAAAAGTTTGTCGTATGAACATGGCCACCCGTGTTACCGCCACAAACTGCACCATCGGTCTGCCAACATTTCATACAGTATTTTTTCAGGTTCACTAGAGGCTACGTACCAGCCAGAAGGGGGACAGAGGCCGGAACCGCAGGTGTCAGGCTTGAGTTTCGCCAAGATGGCGGGAAAGGTGGCCACGATCTCCAAACTGGGACAATCAAAGTCACCCACTTCACCTACCTCGCCAGCACCCTCGTCAAACAAAATAGAATTCTAAATTTTTAACTTACAACATTAAGAGTACAATTTATGGTGTACTTTATTCTTTTCTGTGACTTATTTCAAATATTCATACAAAGTTATTTTACTCACTCGGAGCATCATAAGTTTTATCAGATTGTATTATGTGAAATGAGCTCATTAATAAGGTTTTTGCCAATTTTTATCCCTCTCCCATTAATGCCACATTGAATTATAAACCGCTGTTTTAATGATTTTTACTGTATTTTTTTATCACTTAAAATAGTATGGTGTTAGCAATACGCACACGTGAGCCGGCATAGTAAAAAATGACTATGTATGCATAATGTTAGAGGATATACATTAGATAAATGCAAGCAAGCAAGCAATTATTAGTATTTCACAATGTAGAGCAATTTGATGGGCTGCAAAGACTTTTGAATGTAACATTAAATATCTGTATTTCGAAGTCAAAATAATCTTTATTCAAATGGACTTCTTAAATGTATCTTTAAATCGTCATACATTTTTCCCTACCACTCTACTACTACTTAGAGTCCTTAATCCCAAGACAAAATCGATTGTATGTCATAGCATTTCCCCACAACAAGATTCCGTATGACATTACACTATGAAAGTAACTGAAGTATACTAATCTGGCAGTATCTATCGTATATTAGTTACCTTTATGTATCTTTTTAATTTTAAACTAGAGTGAAATGTCATCTGCAATCAAAACAATTTCAAGATTATACCTTACGAAATAAGGCAAGTCATTTATGTATATTAAAAACAAGAAAGGACTAAGTATTGAGCCCTGCGGAATATCCGCTTTAACTTTCAATCCAGAGTATCTTTTGCTATTGATATCAACCCTTTGCACTCTGTCAATCAAATATGAGACTATAAAATGCAAAGTTTTCTCTAAATCCATAAGAATGAGTTTTCTAATCAGTGTTTTATGAAAAAAACAATCAAATGCCTAGGGTAGATCACAGGAAGGATCTAACGCGTCATACGAGTCCTCCAAGACATAAAAAAATTTCTTGTATAATAACACCGGCTTCTGTGGTTGAGCGACGTCTTGTATTCTTGTAAGTGTTTACATTTCATCAAGCATGATTTTTTCAAAAATCGTACTAAACGTAGGAAGCACGGGTATAGTTGTAAAGTTAGTGGGGTCAGATGTGCTACCAGTTTTATATAGCTCCTAGGATTGTAGGTATTGTCTCAATACCTACAATCCTACAATAACTAAACATCAATGAAACTAATCCATAAATCAGCGGTTTTCTTTTCGTTAGCTGATTAAAAAATGATGTAATTATATCTTTAAGATTATTTTAATTTTCCTTTAAAATAGATTCAGCAACAGTATTTAAGAATAAAAATCGTCAGTATTTAAGAAAAAAAAATGTATTTAAGTCGTCGAATACGTACATGGCAGCTCATATACTACTCGTACGAATTAACATGACACCTGATATTGGCTATTCTATTCTCCGAAAACAAAATTTCGTCTATATTTAAAATGCCAATACGACTGCAAAGAAACTCATTCTTCGATAATAATTTATGAAGCAACGATCTACCAATTCTCTTCATGGATATAATATTAAGAAAGTTATAATGAAGGACTATTCGATATTTGCTGATATTTTCGAGTACAAATAGAATATGCCTTCAGATATTAATTCGTACGAGTTATAGCTATTCTATGGTTTCTTGAACTTTTAAAACATTCTTTATTTCATCATATTCTTTTTAAAACACTTTTTTATTTCATCATAATCTTTTTAAAACATTTTTATTTCATTATATTAGTGTTTGTATAAATAATTATAATTTTGTTTAATCAATAAAAATCCAAAATGCATTAAGATGTTTTCTTTAATCTAGAAAATAAAAATACAGTATAAACGGTATTTCGAAATCACAAGAATAATTACATATTCACAAATAACTTCTATGTTCTGCAGTTTGCAAAATCTCACATTAAAACTGACAGTAAAAACAATTACCAAATTGTAAGAATTAACTTTAAAGTAACATTTAACTTACATTTTATAATACATAAATAATACATCTTGCAAATAAAAGTTACATAAAATTCAAGTTAGCTACAAAATTTTATTAAATAGTTAAATTGTCTCTACATGCATGTATTACTCCCCATTCTTACCCATACAATCCATATGATTTTATTAATTTTGTTTAACTGTCATGTTATAATAATTGTATGTTTTTATATTATTTTATGACTTAGCATATACATTATAATTTCTTGTCTTACGTAAAACCACTGACTTGAAACTTTGCTTTGATAGCTTCACCACTCAGTTCACACATCGACGTATATTCTGTGACACACCCAAATTCATTACTCCCCAATTTATTACACTAAATAATTCACAAACAATAATCTTATGAATGCATAGATGTTACCTACAGTCTTTGACACGATCATTTAGCCCCTAGATGTTTTGAACAGCTTGAGCAAACATTTTTTGGTGCTTCTGTGCTCAAAACTAAATGCCCATGATATATTGATACCATTCAGTGTTTACTAAAAATGACACTACATAATTAGAAGATAATAATAATAAATATTAGAATTTGCAAATAAGTTTGGCTAAATTTCGAACACTATATAGGTACTCTTTTAAAATTATCGGAATAAGAAACGATGTGTTGTTTTAAATTGCACTTAAAATTAGATACAGTATTTTATCGTTTTCTAACCTAGCGACTCTATCAATCGGTGCCGCGGTTTCGAACCGAAGCAGCTGGACCAAACACACGGAAATAAGGCCATTGCATTTTAACCATCCAGTATATTTTGGCTGTGGAAGAATCTATTGAGAAGAAATACTATACACTTTCACTTACGCATTATAATTGAATCAGACCTACCTAAAACTGAAAAATTTATTTATTAAAATTATTGTTCGTATATTGCATTATCATTATGGAACTAAATACAGGAGCAGTGTTTAATAATAGTATAATTCGTACATGTTTGTGCATCATACCTGTTTTGATAATTCACAGATATATGTTGATTCAACTTTGTTAACCATATAGGCTACACTTTATAATACATTTCACCCTACACGAGGATAGGCAATTACATAAATGACATCAACAAAATCAGGTAAGCTAGAAGGAAAGTTCAAATCTGCGGCGATATCCGCACGCACTAGTATTAGGAACCAGAGTTACCTGCGTGCACGCCGCAGTGGTCTCTTTATAAATAGAACTCTCATTACAATAAAGCATAATTTTGCTATCAACAAGAACTACCGCAACATTATTACTCATCGATTTTACACTATGTTTTAAGAGTTGACAATAAATATTTATAATACAATGTGCACATTTCAATGCAGGATAATATGATAACATTACGTCATCTGTCGACGACGAGAAACTCCGGACGCAATTCGTTAAAAACGGATCACTGTGTTACTATGATAAGAACTTTGTGACGTTTCAGTTTAGAGAAAATGATTTACAGTAATAAATAAAATATTTAGTAAAAGTTTATAAAAGAAATACGCACATTGTTGGACATTACTAAACGCGTCCACTAATTTTTCGAGCCTTTCGCAGACTCGTGGCGCGGCCATCGGTTATTTTAATTATAATAACACGCAACGTTCCACGTACATACGCAAGTTCGATGGGACAAAATGTATTATGCGTCGTATGTGAATAAGTACTAAAGCCGGCCGCAACTTGGATGCATTTGTCTTATAAATATGTATAATTAAAAAAATTCGTGAAAATTAAAAAAAAAAGAATAATGTGATATCAGTTCTGTTGCTGAACTCGTATCAATTTTAAGAAGTACATCTATTTTCTGTTATTGTTCAAGACACAAAATAATATAATGATAAACAAGCTCATATATAAATTTAAAATAAACGCATAAAAATTACAAATTGCATTAAGCTTGACTATAAATTATATTAATATTGTTATCTTAATTTCAATTTACATTGACAGCTCTATTATTTGTTTTTCTATATACATTATACATATGGACAAAGCGAGAGATGTTGCATTCGAATTGAGAACTTTACTAAAGATGGACATTGGACACGTTTATCAGACCATGCCACAAAAGTACTCATATCTGATGAGTTGATTATTGAGAAAGAACCATAAAACAGAAACAATATTTACAAGATTTTAGGTATTGGAAATAACACTTTCTTCATCTTGACAAGCTTTACGGAAGCTGACGTATATAAGGTTACGTATCCAAAATGCGGTAGGCTCAAGATAGCCCGCTGCGTGGGAGTGGTCATGTTCCGTAGCCGCTCGTGTGTATTATATGATCTGTGTGCGTGTGTGACTGCATGTGTGTGTATTGTTACCGCGCCGCGCCCGTCGCCGAATACTTTCAATCTCGCCGTACAAACGTTCTTCCCCTGAAAAAATTGCCTCGATTATATTATATGAAATCTTATGTTGTTTTAAGCTTTCATGGTCATTAAGATTTGGGTGATAGGTTTTTTACTTTGGTCTAATCCCGCAAATTGCTAATGCGCCTGGCCGCCATTTGGATGTCGTAATTGCGTACAAAAACCAGTACCGATAACAAATAAACATTGGTTGATGAGTATACTTATTAAGCTAGGTAGGATTAAAGCAGACCACATGTTTTTGTTATGTTATTGTTGGTTTTGTTTTGCTATTGTTAAGTTTTCTTATTACTTGTTATGATTGACTAAGATAGCAACTGCTATTATGATTTTCACAATAAGTAAACCTAATTTCACTAATAATAAATATATCTAATGGCTCTCATTTCATTATTACTATTGGTTTTGTTCAAAAAAATGTTCTTACTGTTTGTTGTCGCGTTATTTGTAATAAGCAAATTTTATTTTAATTTTTTTATTTATTTTCCATATACCTCAATATTTACATATAAATTGATTTTATTTCCAAAAATTCATGCAATGAATTAACAAACAAAAATTTATTAAATTATTTTAACAATATTTGGGGATTATTCATAAATATTTCAATAATTAATAAATAATTTATCTCTTGCCTTTTGTGCTATCTATACTTTCTATTTTCATATGACGTCACGCGGTTGTAATTCAGACAAAGTAACAGCGCATTAGGAATTTACTGGACTTTTAAATGTATGTACTCACGTGATGGTCTTGCGTTCCTGTGCGCGGGGCTGCGGTCTCGCGCGGTTGAGCACCTTGAGCAGATCGCCGGCCTTGGCGCGCATACGCGAGTGCACGTACACCTTCGAGCACTTGATGTGGTAGTGCAGGTAGTCGCGGAACATGTGCAGCAGGTCGATAGTGTTCTCGCGCGACTCCGCACACGTGTGCCGGGGGAATAACACTGCGTACACATACATATGTGATCATATTTTGACAAATTATAGAAACCAAAATAAAATGAGTTAATAGGTAGACATGCGAAAAACAGTATTATAACGTAATGAAATTGGCGTATTGGCGTGGCTCGGTGGCGTAGTGGATAAGCGCCGTGGCGCGCGATCATTGTTGATATGCAACCTTCACAAGGGTCGGCCACGGGATGGGTGAACAAAAAAAAATTTTTTTTTTCCAATTCGTATTGGGCTAGCTTGGAAGGTCATGGCCCATTCTCCTTAACAATCCATAAGGAACTTCCTTATGGATCCTGTCATAAGTCCTGAGCCCTTGCAGTGGCGACACAACAGAGGTGATGCGGAATACGACATTAAAGCATTACTCAGTACTCTAAACATGACCTAAGACAACGCGCTATGCGAATAGCCGGATACCTGTCACGTACCTATCACAGTACTAAATAGTTTTATTCTTATTACATAAGCAATCAACTATGTATAATAATATTTAAGTTGTTTTTTTTTATATTTTTTGTGTCATGCTTAATATATAATTACAGCTAATAAATCTAATTGGACTTTTTTTATATAAGCCGAAAATGACCTTGACCTTGCCGCGCCGGGGGCGCCCAATTGTTTATGTGGTATTACATTACAATATGTCGATGTCATGTTTGCTGCCATGCCATGGATAGTGTCATGTGCCATGTCTAATTTTATTGGGTAATACGCACTATTTCAGTACGCGGTTGTATCATATTATGTATGCATTACTAACAGTACTTACACATCTCTAATAATGGGATATTCTACTCTATTTGAAATAATTAAGTAAAAAAAGTCATAAACCCTGGCGGTTCACAAAATATCAAAATATCCAATATTTGATACTTATCTGATACATATCGGATATATATCATGCATATGAAATGCTAAGATTCTTGAGCTGCTGGTGAGGAAAACCTGAAATCTCTAGTAAGATTGCTACTACGGGCCAATGTTGCTACCGTCATATCAGGTTGGATAATTTTCTAACTGAGATTCAATATACTTTTTTTATACCCGCGAAAATGCTATCTTTCATATTCATGACGTCATTGTGATATACACAAAACAGATTCATAGAGTAGAAGATTAAAAAATGTCAATAAAACAGTCACAATGCCATATTAAAATAAAAAGATATAAATTTGATTTATTTATTGAGCATTACTGTAGGACTAATGTGACAGTTGTCGCCACAGTGATATGTTTCAAGTCAGGCGGGTATGTTTCAAGTCACGTGCAAAAAGGCAAAACACACAGGCAAAAAGTCATGACTTTTAAATTTAAGGTTTTTATTATACATATTAGATAATTGTGCAAATTTATGACTTAAAATCAGAATCTCTATGTTTATTAGGATGTTAATTTTAGTTTTTGTGCAATTTCATGACTTATTTTTCCCTATTACTACCCTATTCATCTATGCATAGTATAAAATGAAGTCGCTTCCCGCTGTCTGTACGCTAAAATAATTTAAACAACATAACGGATATTAATGCGATTTTCATCCTATATAGTGATTCAAGAGGAAGGTTTACATAAATAATACAGGACCAAGCGGGCGTAGTCGCTGGCGGAAAACTAGTTGTTAATAAAGAGTACACATAATATTGATAGTTTTATTTTAGGTTTGCATGTTCCCGCTTTACTGAAGCACCATTTCTTAACCTCTGGTCGCCCAAAATGCAAATGAGCTAAATGAGTATTCTGGCGATTAAAAAAAAAATTATTTGTATACTATGATAACAAATTTTCATTCGATTTTTTTTTTGCCTAGATTTGTACTAGGATGACACTATTGATATGTTTTTAATTAAGTTTTATTAAATTTACACTTACATTATTTGTCAAAAATATATAAAATTATACTTTTTACAAAAGATTTAAAGAGTTTAACCATTTTATCGAAATCACTACATAGTATAAAACAAAATCGCTTTCTCTGTCTCTATAGCCCATGTATGCTTAAATGTTTAAAACTACGCATAATACAAGACCACGCGGGCGAAACCGCTGGCGGAAAGCCAGTAATTAATAAAATGCACTCACCAAATGTTACATAACTGATATTTTCCCCTACTTTAGCTTCGGTATCCATGAGTTCTAGAGGTGGTTCCTTGTGTGAAAAAAGAACCTAGAATCAAACAATCAAATTACTATTATAGGAACATAATGACACAACAAAATCAAATCATATAAAAAATTTCATGTTAAAGAACTTTGCAATGAAAATGCATGCAAAAAGCATTTCTCATAATATTTGAATACCATTTGGTTGACAATAAAATAATTTTATAGTCATTCGTAAAGTCCTGTCTGCCCTCAAGCTGTGTTCGGAGGCTATAATAGCGTAAAATGCGTAAGCGCATGTTTGATGTTCTTGACAGCGTGATATGACGCGACGGTCGCGAGTATACAAGTGCAACCTTAATGTAATGCAAATTATTAATAATGAAAATTAAAGTAAAATATATAGGTAATTATACGACATCGTCAGTTTATTATATGCCTTGTTTGATTATAAACTATCATAGGTTTGTGGCTAGATTAGAATAGAATAATTTAGTTAGATTGTAAACTGATGATGCTCCCAAGGTTGTCTGCCCTCACATTGTTTTGACTTCAACTTGTTCTCTTTTAATACTTATAAAATGGTAGTAGTGTTTGTGTTGTGTAATGATACACACCTGAGGAGCAGTGTGGGACGCCCTTCTACCTTCTTTCAATTCTTGCATGAAGACTTTTCCGATTACCATATCATCTTCGTGTCGAAAAACTGTTGAGAAGACAACTGTCACTCGATCTTCTTGTGCTTCAACATATCTAAAATATAAAAACAGATATATTTAGACTTTTTTACTATAGAATTGACATTAGTCTATTTTGACATCCATAATCTATTATGAACTTTGATATCTCTGCACAACTAATTGTCTGTTATATGTTTTAAAAATCAGTCTCAATTATACAATATATAAAAAACTATACTAACAGTGTCTCATCCTGCCTGTAGTTGATGACGGCGCGCTTGTGTCCAACGTCGCCATCCTCTTGCAGCCGAAAATAGCGTTCGAACACAGACGCAAAACAGTTCCTCTTCAGCAGACCCACCTTCTTCACCACATCCTCCCAGTCCTCTGGGATATTCTCCATGTCCAGCAGGAGCGACACATTGTATCCTGATTAATGAATTATAATCAATTATACAGTAACTAGAATAATTGAGAACTGAAAAATTGAGGACTGAGAAAATGGTAATCCACTAAACTTAACTTTGTGCATTACATTTTAATACACAATTTCGCTTTTTATATATGTAAAATTAAGTTACTAAACGATCAACTAAAAAGGAATGTATATATTTTTTTTATTATGATTGGAAAATGTATATAAATAATCTGGTCTTAGGTAAGAATGTATTTTGTAAAATTAAAAAAGTAACCACAAAGGTTCCATCACTTTCAAAATACAGTAGGTATATTATCATCATCATCATCAAAATCTAGTCAATATCGACATATAAAAATAATTTTGTAAAATATGTATTGTTTCACATTATTTTGTTATCATAATAAATAAAAAGTAGTCACCAATATATAGACCCATAATATTCGTTACAATTATCTTATCTATAATGTCTGCACCAACAAAAAAAATCTTATCAATAGGATTTCTTGATAAAACTATCAAATGAAAATTTTAACACAGTTGAAATCTATTGAAGGGAATGATACATAATATCTTAGACAATCTCCATAGCCACACAGACTCACATGGATTCAAGTTGTCATCTCATGTACATATTTGAATTCAATCAGTGATCAGGTCAATATAGTAATTTACTTTTATATATTGTCTTACAAGTACTATTTCGAAACATGAGATAGAATACTCTATTAAGATATGAATGATAGTAATAATGTAATATAGTAACTTGTTAAACAGGTTACAAAGTAATGCAATATTGCAGCATAATTTTTCTACTCTATTTAACTGACATGCTAGTTGATAATTGTGATCTAGTATGTGATAGTAACAGAGAAATTCAACATGTAGAACATAAATTTCTAACCAGACTCTGTGTCTGTGAGTAATGATCCATACACCCTCTTAAGCAGCTCATCCGCACCATGTTCTTCTAATTGCTTATAGAACTTCAATGATATACTAACCTGGAAGAGAATTCAGAAAACATACTTTAATATAATTATAAGATTATTAATGTCCTCCCTACAGACCAATTATAGCAGTAACCAATACTAAACATTCCATTCCATAAACAGTGATAAGAGAATAATGATTCATATTTATAAATGGATTGATTTGAAGTGTTACATCAGTATCCCATTAATTTTACATTTCAATTACTCTATTACCCAATATCTAGGGGGAAAAAGATTGCATTTCACACACAAAATAACAATATATTATAGCAAATGGGTGGTCTATTCTATTTGTTAATGCCTTCTTTATGGAAATGACACTGGTATTTGCAAAAAATCCATTTATGCCAACTTTCATCACACCGAGGAAAAATGAAATGTGAAAGCAAGTGAGATGGATTTGGAGATAAGTGATAACAAACCCTTGAGATCCCAGTTATACAGGTTTCAATGTTATAAATCTATATGTGTAATTACTCAGTACTTACCCTAACTTTGGTTTTATCTCCATTGACATTTGATATATGAAAGAGAACTCCATCAAAATCTGCAACTGTCACATCTATAGATTCTGGCTTTAAACTGAAACAAAATCAGGCACTTATTCATAGGCATCATATTTATTAATATCAAAGGACCCAATACATTATTAGAGGACCCCACCAAATGTTATATTAAATTATTAATATAACATTTGGTGAAATTAATAATTTTTCTTTTAAAATATTACTAATAAAATGGGAATAAAATTCAGTCAGTTTCCTTTTGTGCCGGCATAAAAAAATCACTATTAATATGAACTTGTGTATTGAATAAAAAGCACAAACTAATGTAAAATCAACAAGTCTTACAGAAAAGATTTTTCTATATAATAATAACATTATTGTCAAATACTTTATAACTATAGCAAAGAATATCTTAAACAATTTATATTCATTCTTGAAAAAATATAGTTGCTATTACTTCATAATAACAAATATCACTCTGTATTCGAGGTTTGGTGTTGTTTACCGCTATAGGAATTCGAAAACATTTTACAGGATGTCGTTTCCGCACCTAACGACACTAATAAACAACTGGTATGAGTCATATCAGCAGAAATGTTGATAGACACTACCTTTGCTACGTCACTACCTAATTTCTATACTTATCAAATATTTTGCCTGATGTTCGTAATCAATTTAAGGAGTGTACCATCAAAAAAATATATAAGGTACAGCGTCCAACGTGGGCCCACCCTGGGAATTGACACTTGTCAAATAACTTGGAAGGGGGTTAGTTATCGAATACATTTACACGTAGGGGCGAATTTCTATTACATACAAGTCGTAAATTTAAGTTCTCTTTTGTATTAACACAGAAGAGATAAATAACCGTGAACTATCTCATCGTAAAGTAATGTATGTACTCACCGCGCCAGGGCATTTTTATATTTCACAGTTAGAGTTTCTTCTATAATCCTATTATTGATCTCCAGTAAGATCATTATTTTAAATTTTATAACCTACTGTTTTCTCATAAAATAAACGCCTATAGCACCTTCATTTAATAATAAAAACGGGAAACTGTAACGATGACCGCCCGTTCATAAACGACAAAAAGAATTTTCTAAAAAAAGGAAGCATGTAGTGTTGCCAACACTTGATTTTTTTTTATCTGTAACACAAACTACTTATGACTCTGTAAGGGAGGAGCAATGAGTAAAGTACAAAGAGCTTGAATACTAAACTGGAATATTATTATATTTAGGAAAAAGAGAGACCTCTTGCGACTTATTTTTGCCAACCGATAGACAGCAGCGCCTCTGCATTTCTGAACCCGAAACTAGTGTATATATATATATATATATATAGGTATAGGTACCTATCTATATTACTATTTATTTGTATTTGTAGCTAGTTATTTAATACATTGCCTTTAATAACGATAAAAGCAAAATTAATGCTTAGATCGCTGTTAAAGACAATGCAACAAATATAAGACATATTTTATGAATAGGGGAAGATGAATAAAACAAATTGAAATACCAATTTATTACTTTATTCAAGAAACAAGTACATTCTATAATAATTCAATTCAATACCTATTTAGGGCATTCCCAACAATTCTAGACTAACCTTATGGTTCTGTATTTATTAAATTAGTAGTGATCAAAAATTCTAAATCTAGAAGAATAATAATAATAATAATATACTTTATCTTTATTGCACACAACACAGGAAAATTAACAAATTACACAGCATGAGAAAAATAGTACACAACAGGTGGCCTTATCGCTAAATAGCGATCTCTCCCAGGCAACCTATGGAGGAAAATAAATAAATAAAGAGAAAATAAGGGGGAGTGGGTGCAACAAGCAATATACAAACCAGATAAATCCAATAGACTAATACACAGGGAAAAAGATAAACATAATATATAGAAAGAATGTATAAATAAGTTCAAGACATGGAAAGCAAATAGCTTATAACCTGATCGCCAAAAGTAGTCAATGAGCGAGCTTTCGTGATGCTCTCTGGAAGAGAGTTCCATAAACGAACAGCGTGTACAGTAAAAGAAAAGGAATAGAAATCAGTAGAGTGGCGAGGAAACTCGAGGGTGAGATTAGAAGAAGATCGAAGTGTAACATTGGATGCAGAAGAGAGGAAACTTGAGTTTGGAGCGAAATTGAGAAATACTTCAATTTTACAATTTGCATATAGTTATGCTTTATGAATCAAAATATATAGTTATATAATTATTTTACTTTATATATAATTGAATAGCTTTTTATATGCGATTTTTATAACAATACCTAACACTTTGTTAACACAAACCAAAGCTGCAATAGAGAACTTCAAAATAATGTAAAATAAGAGTAATATTTTTTTAAGTTTATTTTTGTGATATCATTCACTAATAAAAATATCTATTATTATCGCGGCGGATCCTTCGCGGGGTTTATAAGTATGTGATTTTATTTTTATTTTGAAGATCCCTTACATCCAATACTGAACCTTAGCAATAATGAAAATGGCCGGCAGGCATTTCCTAATGTTAACCTTATAATAGTATCTCGATAGAATCTGAACGACTTGTATTTTACCAAAAGTTCAATATTATTGGTGCAATGTCTTCCTCACAAATAAATTGCGTCAGTTTTATAATAATATTATACTTCGGGTAGATAGTACAATGTTAAAATGCAAATAATTGAGATTCTATTGAGATGCGATTATTACTTAAACATTTGCAGTATTGGACTGCTGTATGTATGTAACTCAACACTTATTGTATTGTATACTTACTAGCGAATATAATGAAATACCCATAGCAAATATTGTTTCCTAGATAAGTCTACAAAACTATCTAAAATATAACGAAATCAATTATAAATTTTGAATAACATACAATCAGTTTGTTTGTTAAAACATAAATATAATCATTCGCGTTAACATATTTTAAATTTTTATTATTATACTGAACATGATAATCAACCAATTATACTTATAGGTTGATACCTATATAAATTGGTTCATTCAAACAAAGAAATTAAATTAGTCAATCACCACTGCAATGTAAGGTACACTTATCCACTCATTGCAGCTCACCTTTGTATTAGATTATTGACACATAATAAATACATGATGTCTTTATTTTCTGTTTTTGTAATGTATTCGTTTATTGAAATATAATTGCGCTGATTTTTTCATTTCATCGTCACCGTCATATGTAATCTTTCCAGACAAAATTCGATTGACTGACCTGGTCCAACTGTGTAAAATCACATTTAAAGTGATATCTACAAAATATGATTTTAATTCAACTTTATGAATGTGACATCTAAATGGACACTCAATTAACAAATCTTCATATAAAAGAATTGACCTTTTTATATTATTTTTTGAAACATTTTTTTTTAATACAGAGACAGCAATATTTTGTATACTTTTAAAATATTTTTCCATTTCAGCATTTGGGTAACACAACCATCTTTTATTACAGTATTCTTTGCGTCTTATGAAATTGTTATTAATATTATTGTTCTTTTCTAATATATTTTTTCTGCAGTTCTCACATTTTTTAATAATTTTTTTTAAACATTTAGTTATGACCCAGCCACACACATAATTACTTTGCCCAGCATCATTCTCGTTTAACTGGGCATATGCTTCCAGATTTAAATTATAGTTGATATTTTCGGAAGCAACAGGAGTACAATCAATTTTTTCTTTTAAATAAAAATTTAAATTTTGAAGGCACTCATTTGAATCCTCCTCACAATTTGCTCTTTTTGAGTGAGGAGAACTCATATTATTGACCATTAAAGCCTTATAAGCTCCTTCAAAACAGACAGTGTTTGGAGCAATATTTCTAGCCCCATAACTCCTGATGCTTCCGAAAAAATTTTCTAACGGGTCTTGATTAAAATTTCTTGTGAGAACTGCATCCATATCATATTTTTTATTTAAAATTTGCCAGATGGTTTGCATTCCCTCAATCGTTTTTATTAAATTTTTAACAGAAGGCGCTATTGATTCAGTCAATCTCACTTTGTTCACAAATTTAACAGTTTTTAATATTGTAATAGCATTTTTCCACAGCTGATGGTGTGGAGAATTCCTTTTAAGAGGACCTTTATAAATTTTTCCATTACTTACTGTATATGAACTTCCGTTTAATGAGTCGAATATATTATCGATCAATAATGTGAAGTCAATTAACTGCTGGCATTCTGTAGGGACTTCACCTCTAGCTGCCAAATGGCTGGTGACAACTGCAACACTATGGCTAAATAGTTGTGTAGCCGACTTGACGCGCATTTTATTAATTTTTGCTTTATTAATGTGTTCTTCTGTTAATTTGTTTAATAATCTCAATTCTCCTTGAGCCTTATCTGCATGATATATTTGTACAAAATACTCCCATTTAATAGTTTTTGTTTGATTGTTTACAGTATAGTATAAATCTTTATTAAGAAGATTATTTCTTATGCCCTTTATAAGGTGCGGGGTATCATATAAAGGGATAATTTTTTTTCCGTATAGATATAATACATCTTTTTGCCATTCTTTTCCTTGGCGAATATACGTGGCTTTCGTTTCTTCAATTAATTCTGTGATTGCTCCGACATTAACTGCGCTTTGGTCGCAAATTGTTGCAACCACAATCAGACCTGTCTTCAAGACCTCTTTGATAACACTTTTTATCAACTCTTTTAATTCATTTTTTTTAAGGCCACTAGTAAAATAGTAAGCTACTGGTTGTTTATAATGTTTTTTCACGCCTTTTACCATAAATACAAGAGCGTGATCGGCGAATGCTGTGTCTTGATTGGAGGCAAATCCTGAAAATTTATCAGCACTGCTATCATAAAACACCTGAGGTGTGATCGACATTTCATCGAAAATGAGAGTGCACAATCGATCAGGTACTTCCTGATCGTTCATAGAGTGCTTTATTTTTTCAAATATAATTTTGTTTATGCCTTCGCTAATTTTAATCTTACTTAAAACACGTTTCATAGTTCTACTTGATGGTAAAGTGAAGTATTTAGACAAAAGTCTATAGCACTTTGCACTCTTTTTGAAAAGGGAAAGACATAAAATTTTCTCTTCTGTGGAAAATCTTCTTCCTTTTGCGTCTTTCTTTGCCTGTTTTTGCATTTGTATAAATATTTGAGCAGGTTTTTTCATGTTTGCAATAACATGTTGAAAGTATACATCATTAGATATTTTTTCAGCATTAACAAGACGTTGTTTCAGACTCTGAGTCTTTTTACGCAGGCGACATAAATTTGACTGTAGAGCTTTTATTTTATATTGATATGCTCTTGCTTGGTAGCCCATCAACGCAACTGAAAAAGGAAAAAATATTTTGATAATAAATGCAATATCAGTGATTATCACTATAATTAAATTAGATTTTGTAATAATTTGTCTAAATTATTACACTTCTTTTTACCTTTAACTGGTTGCTTTTTCTCACATCTGCTTATAACACTATAGCTATGTTCCTTAACCACAGATGTACTGCTCTGATTCATAACATCTAAAAATAAATACAAGCATTATTTTAAAAAATATTGTAGAAAGAAATATTTATTTGTTAGTGGATATTATTATAATAAAATAACTGTAATACCTGATGTATGAGGAGCTATAGATGAAAGATTAGGTTGGCTGACAACCGCAGAATGTTGAGTAATCATTTCATCTGAAATATATTGATAGTTTTTTATAAACTTGAATCATCTCAAATATATATGCCATCGTTTCTTAACCACTTGAGAAACGATGGTATATGTAATAGCAAAAAAATTATATGTATTGATATAATTTAAGAGAAGACAAAATAATCTCTTATTACTTTATAAAGAATTGTGTGCCTCATCATCAGCCCTTTTGCGTCCCCATTGCAGGGGCAATAATTTTATATATTTATATTATTTATTTTATTTTATTTATATTTTATTAAAATTTGCTAATACACTTATACATTTACATATTGTAATATCTTTGCAGGAAACATGTTAATATTATGACTACAAATTCTGAAATTTTTATTGTATTTGAAAACATCAAAATATTACTAATTTTAAAACCTTACCTGAAGT